GCTCCTCACGTCCCGCCCGTACACACCAGTGACTGCGTTCATCACGTAATAACCTGCATCTGACTCAATGATATCCATAAGTCCAACCTGAAAATTCAAATGTCCTGGGTGTAGTTGACCCTAATGAGGCAGTTACAGACACAACTTTGACCCAAAAGTCTGATTTTTAATGAATATGCACTAAAATGCCAGGGAATAAGGCCAGGGATAGAGATACACTTCTATTTTAGATCCATTTACACTGCGATTCAGTAGGAAAAAAAAGTGATATTAGTGTTTAGTGGCCCTCTAAAGAACAAATGAATGAATGCCTCCCACGCCAGTTCTTTTTTTATCACCCAAAACTATCACATTTAGTCATAAAAACTCCTCTCCGAAGTCCAGTTGTGTGTATTGGATTGGCAGTCTGATTCTTTCATTCAGTCCCAGGGCAGCTGTGGCGAACACATTCCTACAGACAGGTCTAAGGTCCGGAACTGTGCTAAGTATCACAACTCTGAGCTCTTTACATTAAGGAACCACTCACCCATTCACACACACACACACACAAATTCATACAGCAGTGTACGCATGCAGACACTGGGGTGAGGTGTGTTCAGTGTCTTGCCCAAGGACACAACGGCAGCATTCACCTGTGGGAGCTGGAATCAAACCTGTGAGTCAGTGTACCGATGAAGCTTATAAATGTGCTAATTATCACAAGCTCTTTACATCAAGGAACCACTCACCCCTTCAAACTATATTATAAATATTCACACATATTCACACACACACATTCGAGAGACAAGTTAAGTGTCTTGCCTAAGGACACAACAACATTCATCCGTGGGAGCTAGAATCACCCCTGTAAGTCAGTGTACCAATGACATATATGTCGAGAACGGGAATCGAACCACTAACCTACCTACTGAGCCACTGTCGCTCTATATCGCCTTTGATAAAGTCACGACTAAGAAAAAGCCTAACGATAAAAAATGTAATGTTTAAGGCTGGATTATAGTTCTGCAACGATTCATCGCACTCTGCCACCGTCGCCTTGTCGCCGTCGTTTCTGATTTATGGATCTGCGTCAAAGTCTATGCACCGCAAAGTAATTCACCGCTACAACGCAAAGTGGTGAGGATTTAAAACTGGTGCTCGTGTTTACAAAATGAAGTGGGAAAGCAGAGTACAGGAAATGTAGGTAAAGCCGATCTAGAGACGACCAGTCACAGCCCTTATTGTCTGAGTCTCTTCCACCGGCTGTCTGCATCAGTTCAACGCGTAGTTAGTAGGGATGTAATGATAATAATCCAAGTCTCACGATATGATATTGTCATGGTATGAACCTCAAGGTACGATATTTACTCTGATATTGTGGGAAAACTCACGATATGATGGGGAGGCTCACGATTAGGGATGTAACAATACCCAAATCTTTCGGTACGATATTTATTACAATATTTTGTGGAGGTTAACAAAACTGTTAATATGCTACTTTTTCTTCTTAAAATGACTTGACAAGACTTAATCCAAACAACTAAGACTCAGAAGTGTTAGAACTGTTATTTCTTCTTGTAGACTACACTGAAATGGAGCAAAGGATCATGGTCTATGTAGTTCCTTCTGTCTTTTTTTTGCCATTGCTGCACCATAACTCTTCATTTAAGCAAAGACACTTGTGATTCGAAAGATTTTGATGGTCCACGATATTATTGTAAGAACTTTGATGATACGATATCACGATATTTTGGTTATTGTTACATCCTTAGTATTTAGAAAATTTCTGAGGTGCACATTGGTCACGACGCAGACAATTTGACGCACGACCATAAATTGGGCTTTAGGATCAATACTTCTTGTTGCTGTATCTACTTATACAAATTATACCATTACAGTACAATTTTACTACCTAAAATCTGGGTATACATATTTTTGACCACAACAAAAGTCAATGTTGTTATCAGAAAGTAGGGATTTAACAATAACCGAAATATTATGATGTCAAGTTGTCAAAAATCTTAGAATAAGGCTGCATTCTCTTGTGCTTGGGACTCGGGGAAAACTGACCTCCACCTTGAGAAAGTGCAATGGAGCGGCCAATCAAATCGGGGTTCCGAAGAACACAAACTCAAGTTAGTTCAGTGCAGACGAGTCAGAGAATTCTCTTTTGGTCATTTTGATATGTTAAGTTATGCTTGTATAGAGAAAGTGTCTTCTAAAAACGTCTGTAGTGGCATTTAAACTTTTTTTCACATCATTTGACAGTTGAAACAAGTTTTTTTCTGAACATGTAAAAGTCAAACTGCCATAAATGAGTCGCCGAGAGTTAACCTTAGCTAACGGACTCAATTTATAAGCGGGAGCTCGCGATACTTGACATTAACTTCCTCAGAGTTCAAGTCAGAGGGTTGAGTTTTGAGAGATTCGGATGTCGCTCTAGTGAGTGTATGTAGCGTGTCCCAAATGTTGTTCTACAGACTGTAAATGGGATTCATAAGCAAACAAAATAAACATTCAACTTTCTCGAGCATCCATCATTTTCCCAACTATTGCAACGGAACGAATTTACAACGGACTTTGGGAAAACGGACTCGGATTTATCCACTACCGACGGTTAATAAAATGCATCAAAATATCGGAGGCCATCACAATATATCGAGTCTCAAGTCTCTTTGCTTAAATGAAGAGTTATGTTAATGTTCATGTCTTTCTTATTCTGTAAAACACTTTGAATTACTTTGTGTAAAAATTGCGTTATACAAATAAACTTGCCTTGCCTCACCATGATGCAGCAATAACTACATAGACCATGAGCCTTTGTTGTTGTCAGTGCACAGTACATGAAGAAATAACTATTATTGTTCTTAACTCTTCATATTATAACAGTACCAAAGTCTTTTCCAAGGCTTTTAAAAGGGAAAAGTAGCTTATTCACAGTTTTGTTCACTTCCACAAAATTCCACAGTTTGATATTTATTGCGATATCCTGAAAATTTCGTATCGAGGGATTTCAATATTGTTACATCCTTTTCAGATAGCCTATATGTTATTGTAGTGAATGACAAAACGACAAAGATAAAACATTGTATAATTATTACCAATAGGCCTAAAGTGAACACAGTAGGCCAGTAGATCTTAAGGCTAATTAAAGGCCAAATAAAAACCTCTGTCTGTGTTAACAGCTGGATTCAATTCCTGTTCGAATGTAATCTTTTATCTACAACTGCAATTAATAGAACATTTGAGTAATAATATCATCGGGAAATTAGGTCTGTGTGTAGTTATTATAATTGGTACGGAGGTTATACGCTAAAAGAGGCTACAGAACAGAACAGAAAGAACATTTACAAGGGAGAGGCTCAATTAAAGATTCTATATTACACAAAATAGTTTCTTGTCAACTTTAAAAAGTCATTAAACCTTCTCACAAAGCTTTACGCCGCTCCTAAACAAAATCTGAAAAATTCTCCAGAGTGGGTGGTGCCCGGCGGGTTGGGGGGAGCGGGTGTGGAGCAGTGCCCGGCGGGTTGGGGGAGCGGGTGTGGAGCAGTGCCCGGCGGGTTGGGGGGAGCGGGTGTGGAGCAGTGCCCGGCGGGTTGGGGGGAGCGGGTGTGGAGCAGTGCCCGGCGGGTTGGGGGGAGCGGGCTCTGGAGTGATGATTGACAGCTGACTGACAGACACAACAATCCAACACAGCACCAAAAAGAGCAGACGGTTGTGCTCGGGTCACGGCGATTCCCTTTTCCCCAGACACAACGGGACATGGCGGTGCCCGGCGGTGCCAGGTAGGGGGCGGGGCTAAGAGGGGCTCCTCACATCCCACCCGTAGACGCCAGTGGCTGCGCTCGTCACGTAATAACCTGCATCTGATTGGCGCCGTTAGTCCAACCCGAAAATTCAAATGTTCTGGCCGTACTTGATCCTAAAGAGGCTGATACAGACACGACTTTGGCACAAAAGTCACATTTTTAACAAATACGCACTAAAATGACAAAATAAGACTAGGGATAGAGATAGACTTCGATTTAGACCCATTTACACAGAGAATCAGTTTAAAAAAAAGTGATTTTGGTGTTTAGTGACCATTTAAGCCATTTTATAATGATGTAACCTTTTCAAAAACACACCTGGAGTTGTGTTTTGCTTCATTCACATGTTTGAATAACTCTGCATTATTAGCCTGTCTACATCTCCAAAGCTCAAAACGCTGTATTCCACATTGTGATGTCATGAAGTGTCAGTTTGTACGTTAGCAGCTTTACTTTCCCTTTCGTTCCGTAGAGATTGGCAATTTCAGGGTTAAAAATGATCCAAATGATTCTAGTGAAGGTGTTACGAGTTTAAAAACACGGTGGAGCACTTCCTGTATTACCACATGACATCACAAGGTGGAGCAGCGTGTTTTCGGTTTGAGAGAAGCGTGCAGGGTGCGTGTGTTAAACATGTGTGAATGAAACAAAACACAACTCCGGGTCTGTTCGTGATGGGGAAACAATATTGTGACACAGATCAGAAAATAGCGTAATCCGGGTCCTTTAAATAAAAATATTGCATTAGGATTGAACGGGGGTGAATGTTGCTTTGTCCTTCTATTTTATAATCGAATGTTATCAGATATCTAGGCCTCTGTATAAATCTATAGAGTGTTTACGCCTCTCCATGCGCGCGTCCTCTCCTCCGCTGACACCACCGCACGGGGGGGAGAGACACGGGGGAAGCCGGAGCACAGGAGCCGAGGAGCGGGCAAAACCCCCTGAAATCCCCCCTCTACCACCGCGTCATGGAACATTTGCGGAACCTTGGGCCCTCCCCTCGCCTTCCCTTCGTCCCCCCCATTAAAAGACGTCCACCAGCGCCAGAACAGCCACACACAGCACCGACACAGCGGGCGCACGGACACTCGGGCTCCCGCGACCGAACAGCGACACACGGCGTAGCTCCCAAACATGTACCGTTCGTAATCATGGAGGTGGAGGAATGACGGAGAGAGCAGGAGGGGGGGTGAGTGCAGGGCTTACCCGGGGACGAGAGCCGCAGCGCCGGCGTGGAGAGGTGGCAGTGCGCGCAGGGCTGGAGGAGGCTGGCTGGCTGTTGTTTGGTCGCGGGCGGAGAAGGAGTTCCGAGGGGGGACAGAGGATCGGGTTTGCGCCGTCAGCGAGCTTCAAATGTCCCACACACACACACACGCCTCCCTCCCGCTGCTGTGGAGAGGCGGTAGAGGGCGCTACAGAGGAGGAAAGTGTCATAGGAAAAGACTGTAGTGTCCATAACAGAGGGGTCACATGGAAGATTACATTGGATCAGGCTTCTGTAGGATATTTACCAAGAGTCCAGGATCATTAGTGACTTCATTACCCACTGCTTAATTGGTTTTGATTTAAAAGGCTATTTTCTGATCTTTTTTAATGTAATTTCCTCTTCACAAACAGAACTGGAGTTGTGTTTTAAGACACATTTAAGATGAGGTCTGAACTGAAACTGAAAACACTCTGTTCCACCTTGTGATGTCAAAACAAAACACAAGTCCTGGTCTCATCTTAAATGTGCAGGTTTGTGTGTTAAACATGTGAATGAAACAGAACACAAGTTCAGGTTTGTTTGTGATGAGGAAACGACGTTAGAACAGATCAGAAAATAGCCTAATATGAGCCTTTTGAGGAGGTAACAACATTATAACATGGCTTAAAGCTCACAGGAATCAAGTTTACATAATCTGTGACCTGTGAATAGGCTATCCACTCGCAGATATAACATGAAAAATATTTACAGGTACACTGTGTAACCTTTCCTCTGAGGGCATCACCGCCTACCCGTCTCCACCTTCACATTCCAGGTTATGCCGCCCTACAAAGACAAAAGATCTTAACTCTCCAGAGTGTGAAACTGAGAAAAATCACTTCAAAATTTCTGTTTTGTCCACACAAAAGTATAATAGGTCGGGCTCCCAAAACTTGACAAGCAGTTGCTATAATGAAGAAATATTTGAGCTCAAAATTGATCTTTGACCTTATTTGTCACTTCCTGTTCTCTGCCTTTGTATCATGAGACAAAAATAAGTTTTAGTGCAAAGACAAAAGGCAGAAGCTGACGTGATCATTATTTGTTTCATTCATTATAAGAACATCTCTCCAAGCTCCAGTCATCATGGTGAAATGATCTAGAAGAGTTTTGGATTTCCTGTTTAGTGCTGATCAGGATCGCAACACTTACACAGTGAAACACTTTGACACAGTGACTTTGCAGTAAAGTGTGTACAGTATGAACAAATACACCAAATACTTTCACATTTAAAGATCATTGAAGTATAACTGAATACAAAAGTTTATTTATGGAATGTGTTCAGACCCTGTGCCAAGGCCGCAAAAAACAGAAAAAGGCGAGAGGTTGGACTTTAAAATAAAATACATTTATGAACTAAATCACAAACAAAATATGCACCGTTTCTGCCTTTTGTCTTTGCACCACTCCTTATTTTTTGGCTCATGATACAAAGGCAGATACAGGAACTGACGAATAAGGGTCAAAGCTCAATTTTATGCTCAGTATTTTTCAGGATATTTATTCTTATGATAAAGGAGATCTCAAATACAAATAAAATGACATGAACTCATTTTTGACCAAACATGATGTTATGACGTTGTGCCTTTGTGGGGTAGTCTGGCACTGGCATTAAAATGTGCATTTATACTTTTACAGGTGTTTTTACAGCTAAAAAGACCTTTAAAAACCTGCATCCTTTCTGTAAAAGGGACAGCCTCTCCACAGATCTGACTCTGTGTCTTAAATCCATGGAGTATTATGGAGTGTAATGCTGTTGAACATTCCTGTCAAAGAAATAACATCTCCATGGAGACAAGCACGTTGCCAGTAAAGTTCCACAGTGCACCATTAACAGCTAAATCAAGGTAAAATTCCAGCTCAGAATGTATTGATTTTGTGACAGATATTTGGAGTATTTGAACCAGTGTAGTTTATGAGAGGCTGAACTGTCTAAGAGCTTCATAATCCCATCAGATTAGGCAAAATCTTTTAATTAGATCTTCATTATCACTTTAAATCTAGTCTGGGATTAGAGGATGCTGTGAAACAGGCTAAAGGATTTCAGGATTACACATATTAACAAGTTCCATAAGAAAACATTCTAGTACTTTCACCTATGTAAAATCTATGTAAAATCTGTAGCTATAGTGGTACTTATTGTAGTTTATATATATTTATTTATTTTTTATATATAATAAGAAATGTATACAAAATTATATGTAAAATCACAACTTTTTTATTTAAAAATTGAGACAGAACAACTTAACCTGAGAAAGTTCATAATAGTGCAAAATACAGAACCACTTCACCAGTTTTGTAAATCTAACTCAAAACAGACCGTTGTTGTATTGAAAGTACAAAAAATTAAGATTAAAAATGCCACTTTTTAATGTTAAATTTGCATTGATTCAACACAAGACATTTCTGGAATATGTCATCTTCTCATTTCAGTGCAGTCCACACGATTGAAAACAGCATCTTCTAGAATCATTTCATATTTTTCCCCTTCATATCCAAATATTTAACCCGTAAACTTCAAAATTTACATTATTTTAAAAGAGATTTAAGATTGTGCTTTGTTTTACAGGTTTAAGCGGCTCCTGTGATCTTGAGCGTCCAGGCCCACAGGCAGGGCATCTGGTTTAAAGACAGAGTAGGCATGTGCACCTTTATTCCACTGGGTTTCACTGACTCCCATTTCAGAGCTCCGTACCCCAACAGCTCCACCTGCACCAGAGAAAACATGGAAAGAATGAATGAGACTTTATTTTATTTATTATATTATTTATTTATTACTTTATTTTGTTTATTATATATTACTTATTGACTTATTGTACTGAAAATGACTCTGTTATTTACTATGGATGTAATAATAACTGAAATATCGTGATATCGTATCATCAAAGTTCTCACAATAATATCGTGGACCAACACAATATATTGAGTTACAAGTCTTTTTGTTTAATTGAAGAGTTATTGAAGAGTTGTTACGGTGCAACAGTAGCTAAAAAAAAAAAAAAGACAGATGGAACTACATAGACCATGATCCTTTGCTCCATTTCAGTGCAGACTACAAGAAGAAATAACAGCTCTAAACTTCTTTAAGTCTTAGTTCTTTGGATTAGAGGAGGAAAAAGTAGCATGTTAACAGTTTGTAGCCTCCATAAAACATCACAATAAATATCATACTGTGAGATGTGTATTGTAAAAATATACTGTATTTTCTGCACTATAGGGCGCACTTAAAATCCTTTCATTTAATCGTAAAACGACTGTGCGCCTTATAATCCAGAGCGTCTTATATATGAATTTATTGTTGTGTCTTAGTACGACTTTAGTAAAGTACAAAGCCGCTCCACTTGCAGCATTACGGCTCCCATCGTCAGGAGCATCAGGAGTAATACAGACTGTGATTCCTTTTAAAATCAAACTGCACCTGAAAAGAGACACACTCACAACACCCACTTTAAACTCAAGACTGTTCTAAAGTGAAAGTGCGAGCTGCGTGGGAGCAGTGGATGAGAGAAGAAACACACATTCACCAAGACAGAGAGACAGCGCCGAGTCATTTACACCACGATCTGCCAACGGATCGTGGACGCCCGGGCTAAAGATCAGGATCAACTGTGGTCCGAGCTTTCACCAAGACCAGAATCATCACTGAACTGAACTCCAGGGAACAGTAACCACACTGACTCGGAGAATGACGAGAGGGATGTGGGTGTGCTGGACGCCAGAATCACCCAACTGTTTGAACTATTATGACTTATTGTGAATACATGAATAATTTAGCGTCTCAGACAGTATTTTTTTTACGTGTTACAATTGAACAAAGTTGAGAGTTATTGTGAACATGTTAAATAAAGTTTGACTGACTTATCTAACTGTTGTGTTTCTTTTAATGCGCCTTATAGTCCAGTGTGGTTTATATGTGAAAAAAGTTTGAAAATAGACCATTCAATGACAGTGCACCTTATAAACCAGAGCGACCTATAGTGCGTATAGTAACAAGAGATTTAGATATTGTTACATCCCTAATCATGAGCCTCACCACCATATCGTGAGCTTTCACACGATATCGCAATAAATATCGTACTGTGAGGTTCATACCGTGATGATATTGTATCGTGAGACTTGGATATTGTTACACCTCTTATATTTACACAGAATCATTCCTGTGATAGGTTTCATGAGTAGGCTTATGGAATCAGTTATAACCACTATTTATAGATTTAAAGATATGGCAATGGTGTCAACATATATTCAGATTTTATTCTTGATACTTTGCAGCTGGTGTGAAGCTAACTGGAAGCACTACTCTGCTTGAAGCTCTGTAGCTCAGCTTCAACTTTAATGAGATTTATTTGAACACAACCTGACCAGAAAGAACTTGTGTGGAACTACAGCAGATGAGAGGATCTGTGCGCTTAAATAAGTGTCTCACACAGAAAATGACAGTCACAAGCTCTCACCTTTTAGTTGAAAATCAAACACCTAAAAAGGACGAGAACACTCTTATTCTTGAGTTCTTAAAACTTTTTTGTCGCCTTTGCTAATGTGTCTATTGTGTCACCGTGGGAACTGCTGAACTTTCCGCCGTAGAGATGCATACAGAACACCCCCAGCGTGATGTCACTGCAAACTATGAACATCTTTGAATGAGGGAAAGGTCCTCACAAAATAATTTGAATCAGGAAGTAATCATTTGGCTCAAACATCCTGTTATATGCAACATTTTGAGGACTTTTTCCCCATTCACAAGATGTAGTATTATATTTTAAGTTGTTAATCACTATGGCAACACTATGGCAGCACTATGGCAAAGGTTTTCATCATTCTGAAACTCTGAAATGAATAAGATGCATTTGCGTGAATGTTCCAAAATGTGATGATGTCATAATTTGGGGCAGGGGCCTGTATAATTCTGTGTGAGGTTCACTGTTTCTGAAATGTTCTCATTATTTGTTTGGTTTAGCTCCATAAACTTGTCATAATATGAATCTTATGGTTTAAAATTCCTTTCAACTGACAACAATCACATCATTGGGGTTAAATAATGGCACCACTTTCTGAAGCTCTTGTACAGACTGTATATATAAATGGACATAGTTAAAGCAATGTGTTCCCATGTGGCTCTTCTGGCTCCTTCTGACTCTGGCTCCCACTGACTTACATTATAATATTGTGGCCCCTGTCTGTACCTGCTGCTATGAGCCTCGTCATTTTGGTCTTAAATGTTCATATTAACCCACTCTACATGATCCTGGTGTTTTTAATTTCACTTATTTTGTCCGCTAAAAAAGTCCTATTCCTAATATAGAGTCTGGCTCCAAATTCACCTCTGTAACTGTGAGCGTTGCGAGCTTCATTTGAGCTGAGCACTATGGGAGCCGTCACACTCGCTTAGTTCACTTCTTTATACAGTCTATGGATTATAATAAAAAATGTATTAATTTTTTTATTTATTTGAAAAGGGACAATGCACATTAATCAACGTCAAAACAATGTAAATGTGCCCGAGTTCGCTGATAAGAGCTAATTTGCAATCGGTAGTCCTTTTGCCAGATGTGAAAAAGGCATCCTAAAAGAAAATACACTTAAAAGTTACACATCAAAAATTACACAAATGTACAATAAGATTGCAAAAATACAATAAAAGTTTTAGTGTTCACACATTTGCATTTCTAAAAGTCACTTTTTAGCATTCTTTTTAAAAGCAGAGAATGAGGGAGATGTTCTGATGGCTTCAGGCACAGAGTTCCACTGATGGGACGCTCTGACGAAAGAGAAAACAGACTATTTTCCTATGAGGAATAATGTAATAATAAAAAATAATTCCACTTCTGTTTTTTTGTTTTTTTATGTTGACAGAGAAGGTAATGTAAGGTATAGTTTATTGATCCTTCATGTGGGAAATTCATTCTCTGCATGTTAAACATTAATATATATGAACCATAAACCAGGTCAACAAATCTGCAATCTCACAGTCTCCACCTGAGGATTCTGACCTGTCCCCAGCTCAGGTCAAACTACAGAAATTCTACAATGTGAAATGTCATGTGAACTCAGCCTATTCATCTCTTTCAAGGAAATGATTTCTTCCTGATTTGAAGGATTTTGTGAGGACCCTTCTCCATTGAAAACTTAGCTCATTTCAAATCTAAATATTATATTACTGTAACAAAGTAAAGTAAAGTACATCTGCGTGTCACATTTTTCAAATCAGGCAAGAATCCTGACGCCTGAAACCCATGAGCTGAGGTAACCTGATCACACCACAACAAAACCATTCTGTGAGGGATTTATAGAGACCAGTAGAGAAAAAGGTGCCTTGCTCATAGACACAGCGGCATACACAGAGCGGGTTAGATTCCCTTTCTCTCTCTCACCTGGGTCTGTCCCTCGGTGGGCACAGGTTCACCCAGGACCACGGCTCCAGAGTCAGGCCACTGCAGCAGAAAAGCAAACACGGCCTTCTCCTGTGGCTTACACGTGTACCTGTCCAAATACACACACACACACACACACACAGACACACAGACACACACACAGACACACACACACACACACTTCATTATTTCCATGGTAACAGAAGAGTTACAAAGTGAAATATTTGCAAATTGAATTAATATAGTAGAACTGGAAAGTCTGGTTTAAATCCTGGTTCTGTCCTGCTTCAGTCCACGTTAGTCCTGGTTCAGTCCTGGTTTAGTTCAGGTCTAGTCCTGGTCTACTCCTGGTCCAGTCCTGGTTCAGTCCTGCTTCAGTCCAGTTTCAGTCCTATTCAAATTCTGGTCCAGTCCCAATCCAGTCCCAATCCAGTCCTGGTCTAGTCCGAGTTCAATCCTGGTCTAGTCCTAATCCAGTCGTGGTCCAGTCCTGGTTTAGTCTTGGTTTAGTCTTGGTTTAGTCCTGGTAAAGTTCTGGTCTAGTCCTAGTTCAGTCCTGATCAAGTCCTAGTCTAGTTCTAGTTCAGCCCTGGTCCAGTCTTGGTCCAGTCCTGGTCGAGTCCTGATTTAGTCTTGGTTTAGTCCTGGTTCAGTCCTGGTTTAGTCTTGGTCCAGTCCCGGTTTAGTCCTAGTCCAGTCCTGTTCTGTTGCTGCTCTAGTCCTGGTTCAGTCCCACTCTAGTCCTGCTCTTGTCCTGGTCCAGTCCCGCTCTAGTCCTGGTCCAGTACCGCTCCAGTCGTGCTCTGGTCCTGGTCCAGTCCTGGTCCAGTCCCGGTTTAGTCCTGGTTTAGTCCTGGTTTAGTCCTGGTTTAGTCTTGGTTTAGTCTTGGTTTAGTCCTGGTCCAGTCCTGGTTTAGTCTTGGTTTAGTCCTGGTCCAGTCCTGGTTTAGTCTTGGTTTAGTCTTGTTATAGTCCTGGTCCAGTCCTGATCCAGTCCTGATGGTCCAGTCCTGCTGTAGTCCCGGTCCAGTACCATATGTTTGCAGTGGTGGAGTCGTTTTGTGCTCTCCAGGCTGAGCTGTTGTAGATTCCTTCTCCGTTGACCTTCAGCCACTGTCCCATCTGCCTCAGACGCTCCTCAAAGACGGGCGAGATCCTTCCATCGTGAGTGGGCCCGATGTTCATGAGCAGGTTTCCTCCGCACGAGACCGTTTCTACAAGAGACTGAGAGCAGGAGGAGGAGAAGAAATATGGAAAAGTTACAAATAGGAGATATATGAGAGAAGATTGTCCCAGGTCTGTCGGGATAACAATTGTTGATGTACAATATATCACTACAGAGAAATATAGTGATAATATTAAAACTACTTTATGCAACTGACACAATAACAATAAAGCAAGACAAGATAATCCAAGTAAACCATTTTGAACAGTCTCATTAAAAGGGCTGAGCTGTAACAAATAAATAACAGAATGAACCAAGAATCAGCCATAGAAGTGATTTATTCTCCCCTCTACAGCTCAAATCTTATCTCATATTAATTAAAAACAGCAAAAATCTATCCATTATTGCAAAGAAATTGTACAAATGATAAATACTGAGCTCCAATGTATACTTTGTATATACTGATCTATTCTTCACTTCTTCACTATATCTGAAGTCGATATAGTGATTATGGTGACAGTCCTAACCATCTTTAGTATGTTTAGTTTAGGTGTTTTTTTTAGTTGTTTTGTTTGATATTTATGAGAGAATATTTTAATTAGGAATGTTAGATAAATGGCTGAGCAGAAATAAACCATCCTCAATTTTTCAAAATTATCAAAAGAGTTTAAAAAGTCATGAAAAGGGAAAACTTATTGGAGCAAATGTTTTGCAGCATTGATAGCACAGACAGGATCTTCTTTCACACTGTTTTCTGACCTATTTCCACTCTGTTCCACCTTGTGATGTCATGTGGTAATATAGAAAGTGCTCCAGCGTATGTTTAAAATTCATACACTTTCACTATTAATTAATTAATTAATTAATTATTCATTGCATTTATGGCGCTATGCCTTTCAAGATACCCAAAGCACTTTACAATTCATTGTTCATTCACTCCACACATGGTGGTGATGAGCTAGTACTGTAGCCACAGCTGCCCGGGGCAGACTGACCAATCTGCTCCGACCACCACCATCACTCACACACACACCACTTTCATACCAGGCAATGTGGGTGAAGTGTCTTGCCTATGGATACAATGACCATTTTTTGCCACTGGTGCCTCCTGTGGCTCCTGATTTCCCAGTGTCTCCATCCAAGTCCTGACCAGGTCCTGCTGAGCTTCTGAGATCTGATGGGATCAGGCTTTGACAAGCCGCTATGGCCACTAGAATCATTTGGATTATTTCAGACCTGGAATTGCCAATCTCCACTAAACTTTACTAAGTTTTATGAATGAAACAAAATACAACTTTTGATCTGTTTTTGATGAGGTAACAACATTCTAACATAGTTTAAAGATCACAAGAGTCAAATTTGATTAATAAGGGAGTTTTAACATCAATAATATGCTCTTTCCGGTTCTGTTTAGCTTTAATTTCTGCTCATTAAGTCAAGTTCCATGTACTGGCAGAAACTGAATAATTTCACAAAAAATACTGTATGTATATTTGTGTACGTTTGTGTACTCACAGACACTAGTTCTTGAATAGTGAGGTAGTCCTTGAGTGGTGCGTTCCGCCTGTAGCCCCAGCTCTGTTTGTCGATGGTCATGCAGTTTTCCCACTTGTGTTTGAGCAGGTGCCCGGGCTGGTATCTGTCACTACACGTGTAGTAACCTCCGTGCTTGCAGATGGAACCAAACCCCCAGCGATCATTCGTCACCACTGTGTCTCGCACCGGACTGAGGAGGAGAGGAAGTAGAAGGTTTATCACATTTACTTTGGTAACTACACCGGAAGTTGAAATCACATGTTTCCAATTGTCTTCCTGGTTCGTGATGTAAGTGTGAATAGAGCCGATTGTCAGTGTCAGAGTCAGTTTAAATTTTTGGACCTTTGGTCATTCTTTCTTTGTTATTAAAGAACTTTAACAGCAGCCCTGTATTTTGGGTCGTCCCTCTGTTTCAACATGACCAACACTTGATTAGGACTGAACTTTTATTCATACAAAGCTGTTATTTGCAGGATCAGTAGCAATTGCATAACACATTTGGATCAAATTTGTATTAACATAACTGTGTTTTTTTGTGGGAAAATTGGCAGCTTAAGAAGCTTAAGAATCGATATCAGTACAGAAGCTGGATCAGTGCATCTCTAATGAGGATGCCAATCTCTCGTTACTGTAATAATAATAATTGATATTTTGATAAGGCCAAAGATACTGTACAAATACTTTTAGTCAGAAGTATAGCTTTACAGATTTTACTCCTAAAAACTGTGGCTAGTCATTTTTAGAAGACCCTGATTCCTCTATAGAAATGGGTCTTCTGCATTTGACCCAGTCTTCAGTGTCTCTGGGTTAGACCTGTCAGGAGCAGTGGGATCTATCTCCAGATCTTGGTCTAGTCTTGGTCAGGACTATGTTAGCTGGAGGATTTGACTTATGTGCATGTTTTGGGTTGATGGAGGAAATAGGAGTGCCCAGAGGAAACCCACCCAGACACACATACATATATACATTTCCCCTCGATACGATAAAGTGTACCTTAATTTACCGTATTTTTTGGACTATAAGGCACACCGGATTATAAGGTACAATATCAATAATGTTGAATTCTCTCATCTATTTTCATACATAAGGGGCACTGGATTATAAGGCGCAGTAAAGGTTGTATGGAGGATTTTTTTGGTTTCAAATTGTCAATGATTAATGATAATGAGCATTATAGAGGTGCAGTAGCCTTGTAATTATGATGACCAAAAAAAAAGAGAATAAAAATTCATCAACTCTGGACGTGGTGGGGACAGATAAACATTTGCCAATAGATAACGACACTGCCTCGTTATCTGTTAGCTGACAGGCTGTCAATCAATCTCCCTACGTTTCTAGCGTGACTGACTTGCCTGCGCGCCGCCGGTACGTGGTTTACGTACGCCTGTCACGCAGTCCACAGACGCAAGACGCACAGACGCTGTTTACTCCACCAACGCAACAGTTCTTAGCGGCTTTTTTGACTTATATCTTCCTCGCAGTTCGCACAAAGTTTGTTGCAATGGCAGACAAGAATCCAGGAGCAGTTAGCCGCAAAAGAAAGTCCGTTTTTGAGATTGCTGAAAGAAGAAGACAAGGGGAAAAGCAGCGAAGCCAAACTAAGGTGATTCTTGTAGATTCATTCCAGCGATGGCGCGAATGAAGCAGACGAAGAGTCTAAAGACTGACACACTGGTCGCCAAATTACTCCTGGACAGGTCACTTCTGCTTATTATGAAACCGTACTTTATTTCCAAGAGCTAGTCAAACGTTTTTCAGGACACGAAAGCGATATCCTATGTCTGAAAACGTAATTTTCAAGGCAAAGAAAGAGTCCGCTTGCTGCTGCGTGTTGTAGCTAGTTCATTCGCACAGAATCTTTGCGCACTCTTCTCTGCACCCTTTCCTGCTCCTCTCCCCGCTGCCCGTTCCCTCCGTTCCGCTCTTCCCCTGCTCCTCCTCACTTCTCCGGGCACGGAATCTCCGCGCACCGCTCCCCTCTCCTCTCTCCCCTCTCCTCTCCTCTCTCCCTGCTCCGCTCTTCTCCCTGCTCCTCACTTCTCGTCCGCGAACGAAATGTCTGCGCAGCCGCTCCCCCCGCTCCTCACTTCTCCGTCTTGCCTAACCAACACTGTAGTTAGTTGTTTACAAGTCATGTGCAGCTCACCGGCTGTAAACAAACCTGTTTCTGGCGTAAAGAGGAGGCGGGAGGAGGCGTTTCTACGTAGGAGCTGTAGGGGAGGGGGGGTGGTTTCACGCATGCGCAACATTTGAAAAAGGACAAACAGTCGCTGGATTTCTCGTTCCTTGGAAAATCCTCTATACAACCTTTAAGTGAAACAAAACAACCAACCAAACAAAACAAAACTTAAAGCCACATGGCTCATTTGCATAAACTATAAGCACTGAAAAAACAACTCCTCCTTGTGCGCTGACACGGCAGCTTGTGTCGGAACTAACTCCACAGGACTCCAGATGACAGTAGCTATAATGCTCGGACAATCCATCAACCGGTGCGGCTTCGTAGTTTACCAAAGTCATTTTTTTGACAGATTTTTGAACGCTGTGTACCACATAAAATCGGTTCAAGGTCAGTAAACACAACCAGAATTAATACATAAGGCGCACCAGATTATAAGGAGCACTGTAGATTTTTGAGAAAATGAAAGGATTTTAAGTGCGCCTTATTTATTTATTTATTCAATAATTTACCAGGTAAGTCAGTTGAGAAGAAATATTAGCTGTTATGAATTGAATTATGGGAGTGTGATATTCAGCTCCAGTCAAATGAAGCTCACCGATACTAGCGGTTACTGGAGTGAATTTGGAGCCAGGTCCATATTAGGAATAGGAATTTATTTACGGAGAAAACAGCAAAATAAAAAAAATAGGATCACATAGAGTGGGTTAATATGAACATTTATATAAACAGCCTATTCCCCCTCTCTGACCTGTCATTGTAGAGCCAGGCGAGGAACCCGGTGCTGTTCCAGTATTTGTCAGGTGCGTCTCCGTCTCCGTCCGACCACAGCACCTCTGGTTTGTATTTGCTCACCAGCTCGTACAGCTCGGGCAGAGTTTTGGTGGAGGGGAAGACGTTTGAGGTGAACTTATTCTCTTGGTCTATTAGAAACAGTGGGTTGAACCATTCGAAGAGGGAGTGGTAGAGCCCCAAACGCAGGTCACTGTGAGCTCTCACGGCCGTGGAGAGCTCGTCCACCAGGTCACGCTTCGGTCCAACGTCAACCGCATTCCAATTCCACGAGTTTTTAGACCCCCACAAAGTGAAACCTGGAAGATAAATTTCAAAACACAAATTTGACAGGATTTTAAAAGTGCATTGTGTAACTTTTCTGGTGGAGGGTACGCCACATGCTAGTCTCCATGTTGATGTACTAAACATGTTTATCCGGAAATGTTCCACAGTACAGCATTAAACTTCTCTATCTCCACGGAGGCACACAGGCTGAGGTACAGATCAGATCGGTCTTTAGAAAGATGTTATTGCTTGGCTTGGTATGTTCCACAGTATGGCATTACAAGTCTTTTCAGCTTTTGTTTCATTAGAGGTGATTTCATTGTTCAGAAATACTTTTAAAAACAACCATTCTCACGTCATTGGGCCCGCCTCTCCATTGATCTGATCTGTATCTTGGCCTGCTTGCCAAGGATCTGTCGCCTTGTGTTTTAAAACTTGTCCGTGGGACCATTAGTAGGTTTTGGCAGGTAGACCTCAGGCTACAGGCCGAGATGTATGACTTTATCAGATCTGCGATGGAGACAGGAGTCTGGTCATGTAGGGCCCTAAAGGTCAGCACCAGGATCTTGAAGTGAACACGAAAAAGAACAGGGAGCCAGCATTTTAAGATGGGACTGATATGCGCTCTTCTGCTGGTGAGGGTCAGAACCTTGCAGCAGAGTTTTGGACCACCTGCAGTCAGGTAAGTTCCTTCTTTCTCAGGCAGATCAACAGACTGACAATAGTTTAGTCTGGAGGACACAAATGCATGGATTACCATCTCCAACTCATCTTTGGAAATCATCATGCGAAGTTTAGATATGTTTCGCAATTGGAAAAAGCAGTTGAGTGAGTTGATTAGAGTAGTGTTCTAAAGACATCACATCAGCACAAAATACTACTAGATGTCTCAAGTTGTTTTTAGTTGAATTTCCCTGAACACCTCAGTGCTGTTTCAGGTTGGGTACAGCGCTTTCTGGAGCAACAATAAGAGTCTTGGTTTTGTCTGGGTTCAACTGAAGGCTGTTATCTCTTTAAGAAAAGTTCCCACTAGGAAAATTACTAACAATAAATATTTATCTTGAAAAGGTATAACTTTATCTATCATGTATTGAAGAGTAGGTTGTGTATAGAAATTATTATTTTCCAGTCAGTACCTTCGTGGTGTTTTGTTGTGAGCACGATGTATTTGGCTCCTGAGGCAGAGAAGATGTCCGTCCACTCATTGGCGTCGAAGAATTCAGCAGTGAAGAGAGGAGCAAAGTCCTGGTACGTGAAATCAGGAGGGTAATTCTTCTTCATAAAGTCCACATAGGCTGGATACTTTTTGTGCCAGTAACACCTACAAGGACATTCCAAAATATTGGTTTTAGAATAACAAAATACATGCACACACTTTACTTCAGTTTTTTTCTAACCATGTTGAAATTAAGTTCAAGTTTTGCATCGAGAACTATTTTGATTTTAAAGATGCATTGTGTAACTTTTCTGGTGGAGGGTTCATCAAATGCTTTTATCCATGGAGATGTTATTCCCTTGTCTGGAAGGTTTCACAGTATAGAATTAAACTTTCTATCACCATGGAGACCAAACCAGACCAAGTTACAGGTCAGATCTGTGGAGAGGCAACCCAGAATACCTGTATTTACAAATATTTTTGGTATGTATGAAGGTATTTTTGAGCTATAAAACAACTTAGTAGAGCTGTTTAATGTCACACTGTGGAACATTCCAATCAGAGCAATGACATATCCATAGAAACACGCAGGTCATGGATCTCCAACCAAAAACTTATACAATGTACCTCAAAATCAAAATAATATAATAATTCCTAATTTATTTGACTTTTTTTAGTTCTAACAATAATATTTTGCTCAGTTTTCAGCACTGAGTATTTGGAGATTTTTTCATTTACTACTTATTACTACTTCCATTATAAACTATAGATTAAAGTTTCTTAACAAAAGGAAAGTGACTGGGTTGAAACTGCATTTGGGTCCCGTGAAGTGGTAACGGAGGGAAACAGGGGCAGACTTTTGACATCAAATAGTTCTTATTCAGAAACTAGAGGAACTATTGAAATAAGTAAAGTATCAGAATGTAGGAAAGAGTTACACTCCAACAGGGTCAAGTTAAACCTGTGATATTCTTTCAAGTTGTTGACAAAAAATTTAAAAACTCATGTTGGTAACGGAGGGAATGAAATATGCAGCACTTTTTGGGCAATAAATCCAAACAGTGATAACTCTTGGTTCTCACTTCCATATCCTTAACAAACTGGTTTGAATATTTGCTTCATATAGTTTTCTACCATATGGTGCAAGATTAGGTTGAAAAACCTCTTACTTTTTGACTAATGAGATTTTTTATTAAGAAAGATCATGGTAACGGAGGGAAAAGTAACGGAGGGAAAATTGTGCAAACAAGTAGAAGGTGCAGGATTTTACATCATTTGTCAACTTTTTTCTTCTGAATACTTTAATATTACTTCAAAATGAAAGGAAACTATTTCTATAAAATATGTCAGTCCTTCCAAGTTAATTTTTATCATTTTAAATACTTTTTTTTGAAAATTCATGTACCTTCATCAACAGTTCAAAGATGGAATAACACAAGATATGATGAAATACATCCATTTATTTGACATGATTTGCAGGTCTTTGAAATTTGGGAAATAATTTTTGTTCCATGTTTCATACATGGTCTGTTTAAAACGTATGGAACTTTAGAACCAAAAATGGTACAGAAAAAAGGTCAACAGTTTCATAAACTAGAGTACATATGTATCTGTTCAATACATTTTTATATCAGATGCATTAACTTGAATTTTTGGCCTTGCTGTTTACTTCTGCTTGACCAGGCCCATTTAACACATTATTTGCCATGCCATGTTTTTGTTTTTCCCCTGACCCCTGAAACAGACCATTAAAGGTGCATTGTCTAATGTTTCTGGTGGAACTTTCATCTCCTGGTTATTTCTATTGATATGTAATTGGAGTGCTTGGAATGTTCAGCTCCAAAATACCTGGAAAAATTATGTTCCCAGTGTCTCCTATCTAAGTACTAACCAGACTGGACCCTACTGAGCTTCTGAGATGTGACGGGATCAAGCTTTCGCAAGCAGGTATGGCCACATAATAATAAAATAATAATTACATTGTGAAACAAGGGTGTAATTAAGGAAAATTGTTCTGCACTTGGCCCTAATGTGAGTCAGTATGGTCACATTTCTTTGTGTTTTTGTCATTTTTAAGCAGCTTTTCTGTATTTTACCTAAATAAATGACAATTTATGTCTCTCTTTACTGTTGGCAAGGATCAGATTGGTCAAAAATAGGGACACCTGTGACATTTCTTGTATAAAATTGGGAAAAATCACTGGTTTTGTATAAATCTGCGGGGACAGGGGACACAGGGCTCAAAACTGGGACTGTCCCAGGTAAATAGGGACGTCTGGTTACCCTAATCTTGTCCTGAATCCTGAAATATCTTAAACTAGAACTGAAGAAGCAGATTGGATGAGCTGCAAAATGTATTCGACCAAATTAACTTTTGTCCAGTTGACAAATTGAATTTCTCCTTTTGCCATGGATTCTACTTGGACGACTGAGGGATTATACACACAACGAAAAATAAAATTAATAAACCAAGTTATCTATAATTAAAAATAGCCTCTTATACTTCAATTCTGTGTAATAAGTCAATTATTATCAATGCACAAGCTGTTATAACTAATTGCAGATCATATTTGTGTCATTTCTCACCAAAACCACTCGCTGCCAAAGCTGGGCACGGAGAAGACTCCCCAGTGGATAAAAATACCAAACTTTGCCTGATCAAACCACGGAGGAAGAGGTCTGGAGTCAATGGAGTCCCAATTTGGTTCATATTTAGCTGCACAAGCCCCTAAAATCAACAAAAATACAGATATTAAAACTGCTGATGATGCCATGGCTGGTTAAAACACACGGAATCCAAAGTTTCCCGTGTGAGTGGGTTGTAAAGGCATCAAAATCACAAGATGAACGAGAATAAACAAGGAAGTAAACCAAAAGAAGGCGGTCGAAGGGGATTTTAGCACTTTTTTGACCTATCATAGAAATAGACGCTTGATATCTACACCTATACGCAAAGGCGGGGTTAAGAGCGATACATAAACCAGATCCATGCACATAACGCTTTGAATTCAACTCCGCACGACGCTACGTAACAAAACGAACGCACAAAAACAGATACGCATGCGCTGTAGAAACCTTCGGCTAATGTTTTGGTTTTGCAGCTAGCGTCCACATGAATGGCTACATCGACTGTCACTGTCATATCTCTTCTGGGGATTTTGACAAGGTTTAACAATAAATATAACATTAATAAAGCTTTGTTTAATTGTGTTTTATTAAAAGAAAAGTAACCGTTGCTTTTGTTCCTTGTTAGGACCTGGACGATGTGATTGACAGATCTAAAAAGGTAGGTTACCACTATATTATTTCCTTATTTAATACTAGAAAATGTGAAAGCGCATTTAAATTTGTGTGGTAACAAAATCCCATGTTATTTTTATGTTCCAGGCTGGATTATTAGCAATTTTAGCAGTATCTGAGCATTTTGGAGAGTTTGAGAAGATCATAGAGCTGTCAAAAAGGTGAAACAAGAGTAATATAATGTATGTTTTAGTTTTATTTAGTTTCATTTTAGTTAGAAATGTAATCACTTCTTTATTTTTTAGGTTTCCAGGTTTTATTTTTCCATGTTTGGGAGTTCATCCTGTCCAAGAGGTTTCACCAGAACAACAGAGAGGTGCAAATCCACAGGTAAGAATATAGTGTTAAACTAGAATCATATTTAACTGGACAAGTTTATACTGAGGAAGATTTCCTACTATTAGTTTACTGTTCTACATTATTAAAACAGGAATTGCTTATACTTATACAACCACCAATCACAAGCAAACACACATTGCAACAGATTTGCCTTGCTTAATGGCACAAGTATAGTATGTATGTATGTACAGTATGCATATACAGTGTTTAAATGTTATTACCCAAAGTTCCCACCTTACTTAAAAGAGTTTCTAATTCCATTAAGATCAGCATATAACTGACATCACACTGAAAAACTATTCTTTAATGTTCCTACCATAAAAAAAGAAAGATCCATCTGTTTAAGGCGTCAGTCTTCAGATACTTACAAACGTCCTGCTCCTGTTTTCCTTAAAAATGCACTTTTGTTTATGTAGTTGTAGTTGCTTTTTTCTTCAATAATTTACAAATATATTTGTGGGGATGATAAAATCAGAGAGATGTATATCTTAGGATCCTGTATTGTATAGTGTGAATCTTGTGTTGTGTTAGTCTTTTGTTTTGTTTTGATTTGTTCTTTCTTTTCTGTAAATGCTATTTTTGTTAATGTATTTAGGACCCCCTCTCAAACAAAGTGTTACATCTCAAGAGTCTTCCCTTATAAATAAATAAATATATAAATATATATATATTTTATATGTATATATATATATATATATATATATATATATATATATATATATATATATATATATATATATATATATATATATATATATATATATATATATATATATATATATATAGTCAGAACGCAAGCAGTAATGACAGCACAGGCAAACTTTTGGTGTTAGTGTGAGTGTTTCCCTGAACTGAGCTTACACATGTATGAAGAAAAGCTAATATTTTGGACTGTGTAATTCTAATTTTATAATTTTTAAACCAAAGTTGTTACTTATACAGTATGACTAGACGTAATCAGGCCTGTCGATAGAAATTTGGGGGTCCAGACCCGAAAGCCTCACATGGATCCCCCTCTAATGTAAATAAATAGGAAGAGGTCCAGTTCTGAGCCCCTCAAACCCTGGGGCCTAGGACAACAGACTCCTATGTTCCCCCCTCTCTCTCTACTGCCCTGGATGTAATAGCCAATAGGATTTATCAGCTCTCTTGAAATGGTCTTGTATTCTAGGGCACTAATGTTTGAAAGTTTATTTATCACTGTGTTGAACAAAGGATTTTAGCTTCACGTTACTAAATATTCATCAATTTTTAAAGGTGAAATGTAGAAGATTTTCATAACTAAATATAATCTAATAATATTTCTCTCTCTCTCAGGATCTGGATGCTGCTTTACCGATCATAGAAAAGTACAAAGACCAGCTCGTTGCCATTGGAGAGGTAGCAGTTTTGTTTATTTGTCTGTTGTTATTACCTTTTATTTCAGTCAAAGGGGAAGGGGAAGTGGGTTATTTTTGATTATTCTAATTTTGTAGATTTACTCTTTGTATTTTAGGTCGGTCTGGATTTCACTCCTCGTTTCGTGAGCAGAGATGAAGATAAAGAAAAACAGAGACAGGTCCTGATTAAACAAGTGGAGATCGCCAAACAGCTGGACCTACCAATGTAAGAGACAGGACGGCACAAGGCAAAAATATAAATTGAATTGTAAAACCCGCTGCAGGTGTAGTCTTGTGAGTGCAGTTTGAGTTAGATACACAGATATGGAATAGGTTTGAGAGCACCCCGTTTTTAAGAATTTCTTTAGTCCTTTATAACCCTAGATTTAAAGATGCACTGCGGAACTTTTCAGGCTGAAGATGCTATTGTTTTACCTGTAATATTCCACAGTGTGGTATTAAATGTATACAGGATGCATTTGTTAAATTATGGGTGTTTTTCTATCCCGGTGGTGTCTCCTGCTTGTTTCTATTTAGATTGAAAAGTTTAATGCCATACTTTGGAATTAGAGATAAAGCAATAATAGTAACTGTAATAATTAGCGAGCCCTCTGCCAGAAAAGTTACACAGTGCTGTTTTCAAGTTGAGCTGTTCACTCCCAAAAAGAAGTCATTTTGTGTCTTGGAATATGCAAAAGTTGTAAAAACTTCACCAACTGGTAAACAAATTTGGACTTTGTACCAACAATTTTAAGAGGAAGGATCTTATGCAGGACTAAAGGATCTGGCACCAACATCATCATCAGAAGAGAAGGTCGAGCAAGTTTGTGAAAAACTCTTGCGAAGCCCCAAGAAGTGTGTAAGGAGAACAAGTTGAGAAACCCAGATTCCTTGAATCACGGTTTGGCGTACCAGATCCTTTAGCCCTGCTTAATCAGACTTCCTCTTTACATTTTTGGTCCCAAGTCCAAATTTGTTTACCAGTTGGTAAAGTTTTTCCAAATGTTGCATTGAAGCTGCACAGTCTTGGGTGAATATGTGCAGCAGATTCTAAGACACAAAATGACTTCTCTTTGGGAGTGAATGGCTCAACCTGAAAACAGAACAACAAAAAAACATTAAATATAAAATATGATTTGTTTTTGTACATTCTGTGAAAACTTGAGGTTATATCAACAAGAATTGCTAAAATTACTGACCTGTGAAATGATGTCAAATTTTTGGGACACCCTGTACATTGTTAAATTGTTACAAAAATACAGTACTACAATAAAAATTATAATTTCTTTTACAAACTAGAAACGTCCACTCTCGATCGGCAGGAAGACCCACCATCCACCTCCTCAAAGAGCTCGGTAAGAAATCTACTAAGGCAATTAAATAGTAAAACTTTGCCCAAAACAATGTATACATGTTAAAACTATGTCTGTCTAAAATATTTTCAGGAGTGGAGAGAGCTCTGCTTCATGCCTTCGATGGGAAACCGTCTGTAGCGATGGAGGGAGTAAAGGCTGGATACTTCTTCTCCATCCCTCCTTCTATAATCCGCAGTGAACAGGTAAAACTGTCCAAGGGAGACAGAGATAAAGGGCCCTGATCTATGTTCTAATGTAGTTTCCTCATCACAAACAGACCGGGAGTTGTGTTTTGTTTCATTCACACAAGTTTAACACATAAAACTCTGTGTATTTATGCTGAGTTCTTCTCTCAAAAAGAAAACTCTGTGCTCCAGTGTGTTTTTAAACTCCATACGCCTTCACTAGAATCAGTTGGATCATTTCACGCCTGGAATTGTCAATCTCTGCTGAAATAAAGGTAAAAGGAACTTGAAAACTACTGCTTCATGACATCACAAAGTGGAACTGAGTGTTTTGAGCTTTGGGGATGTACTCAAACATGTGCGAATGAAACAAACCACAACTCCAGGTCTGTTTTTGAGGAGGGAACAACATTATAATTTGGCGTAAACTTCACTAAGGTTAATTTTACATAATATAGGACCTTTATTATCAACATTTTTTGGTCATAATGTTGAATTTGTTGTTGGTGGTTGGATTTTCACACTCTCTGTTAATGACTGAATGAATGTTTATTTTTCTCTCTATTTTTCTCTAAGAAGCAGAAACTGGTGAAGCAGCTTCCTCTGGAGAATATTTGCCTGGAGACGGACTCACCTGCACTGGGCCCAGAAAAACAGGTTTGACTTTGATTCATTTGCTCTACTGAAATTGAAAGAAACATTGCAAAAAAGAAAGTTATTATTTCCTATATGTCCACCAGATGGCGCCAGACTACACACTATTTGCCTTCTTTGCTCAACTATTAAAAACTTAATAATGTAAAGTGATACTAAATTATTATAGGATACAAATGAACTACAATCTTTAGATTTTGCCATTTTTTTGGTCATTGACTTTTGAATTTGAAGTGATACAGACTGAAAATTCTTTGTTTTATGAACATCTGACTTAGTTTAATGTGTATAGACAATCATGAGTTATACATTGACCAAATAAAAGTAAATGAAAAATTAAAAAGTAACCAAAATCAATGTTATTTTGACCTAAATCATATACAGCTCTGGGAAAAAATAAGAGACCACTGCAAAATTATTACTTTCTCTGATTTTACTACTTATAGGTATGTGTTTGAGTAAAATTAACATTTTTGTTTCATTCTATAAACTACTGACAACATTTCTCACAAATTTCAAATAAAAATATTATCATTTTGAGCATTTATTTGCAGAAAATGACAAATGGTCAAAAGAACAAAAAAGATGCAATGGTTTCAGATCTCAAACAATGCAAAGAAAAGAAGATCATATTCATTTTAAAACAACACAATACTAATGTTTTAACTTAGGAAGAGTTCAGAAATCAATATTTGGTGGAATAACCCTGATGACCGTTCATCTTCCTCTTGATCACGTTCCAGAGGTTTTCAGTGGAGTTCAGGTCTGGAGATTGGGCTGGACATGACAAGGTCTTGATCTGGTGGTCCTTCATCCACACCTTAATTGACAGAGCTGTGTGGCATTTGAGCATTGTCCTGCTGGAAAAAACTGTCCTCAGAGTTGAGGAACATTGTCAGAGCAGAAGGAAGCAAGGTCTCTTATTTTTTTCCAGAGCTGTATAGATCCCTCACAATGTGAATAGGCACAATGATCACGTTTTTACGTAATATGTGTTAAACAACAAAATAACTCTGCAACTTAGACCTTTATAAACATGTTTAGTATTAGTGTATCATGTCTGTCTTCAGGCTTTTCTCAGATGTAAAGTTCTCAGAGGTGTTTAAAATGTGGGTAGCACTCACACCTCACAGTAAGAAGCCTGGGTGGGTTTCCTGTGGGCATTCCTGTTTCCCCCATCAACCCAAAACATGCACAATGAGTCAAACCCTCCAGCTCATGTTGTCCTCAATAAGAATTTCCTCACAATGGATTAACAAAGGTCTTATATCACGAGTTGACTCTTGTGAGCTTTAAGCCATGTTCTAATGTTGTTATCTCCTCAAAACCTGACCTGGAGATGTGTTTTGTTTCATTCACACATTTGAGTAACCCTCTATTAGTTTAGGTTGAGTTACTTATTTTATTCATACCCGTAGGTAAATTTCTTTTGCAGATTTGAGAGGCAGATCCCACATTTCACATTTTATTCATCTATATTATGTACAATAAACACATATAAAAACACAATTACAAATAAAGTGTTACAGAGCTCCAGTGCAGAAAGGCTTTGTTCCATAAATAATTCATTCAATTCATCCATCATACTTGGCTAAGATCACAATAAATATTAAACGTACTAAAATCAATAGATAAATAGATTATAATGTATTCATAAGTATGACAGCAGCTGGAACAAAGCTCCTTAAAACAATTCATTCTAGATCTAGGGAAGCAGCTGAAACTCTGAGTTTAGTGGATGTTGCACGTCTTGTAGAATCCTCTGGGACGTCCTCTGTAAGTGTCTTGAGTGCAGAGAGTCCAGGCGGCTCTGAGGAGGGACAATCACCTCACTCACCCATTTAACCAACTGATTCAGGGAGCTCTTGTTTTTAGCAGAGATGCTCCCAAACCATAGTCAGGCTGACCCCACCTAGTGCCTCTGCTTAATTTCATTTCTCTCCAGTGACTAGGTCAGGAATCAAAATACACTAAACGGTTCACAAAACCCCCGGAAGTACAAGTCCAGGCACCAGCCAATCAGAGAAGAGACAGACATTCTGTATTGGCAACTACTCCCAAGATCGAGGATTTAAAGCCGAACAAAGAGAATGTTTGGTGAATTTTATCAAGGGGAAAGACGTTATTGTCCTTCTTCCTATGGGATTTAGGAAAAGCTTCATATACCAGTTAACCCCGTTAGTCACGCATTGCATACGTCACGACCAAATAACAAGGATTGGTTGAATGATAAAAAGTACTCACCTTCTGTCAGGCGAACAAATTCTAACACTGTGAGGTCAAACCGGCTGATGAATCAGGCTACCCAAACCATAAGACCAATGAAAAAGTTCAAACTGATTCCATAAACATTTTATTGACCAGTGTCGTCATGGTTTATCTACATGGTAGAAGGATAATTTCCTCAGACAATGAAGGCGCTGGTGCCTCTTTTACACACAACACTACAATTATCGTCAAAGCTCAATTTAGAATGAAAGACTGTGCCAAGATACTTACAGGAGTCTACACACCCATTCTTCTTCTTATTATTATTAGTAGTAGTAGTAGTCTGTCTACATCTCCAATGCTCAAAATGCTCTGTTCCACTTTGTGATGTTATGTAGTGGTAGTTTTCAACAGCTCCTTTTTACCGTTCTACCGTCAGTAGAGATGGTAATTCCAGGGCTGAAATGATCCAAATGATTGTAGTGAAGGTGTGTGGAGTTTAAAAACAGTCATCACAAGGTGGAACACAGTGTTTTCTGTTTTCCTTAATATACAGGTTTTGTGAATGAAACAAAACACAACTCCAGGTCTGTTTGCGATGAGGAAACATTATAACAAAATCAGAAAATAGTTTAATATGAGCCCTTTGACCTTTGTCGTTGCAGGTGAGGAACGAGCCACAGAACATCAGAGTGTCGGCCGAGTACGTGGCGAAAGTGAAGGGAGTTTCTCTGGAGCGAGTGATGGAGGCGACCACTCAAAACGCACTCAGACTCTTCCCCAAACTCAAAACCAAAATAAGACTTTAAAGATGCACTGGGTAACTTTTTGATTGGATCCGTCACCCGCTTGTTTCTATGGAGATGTCATTGTTCTACCTGGAATGTTCCACAGTGTGACATTAAACAGCACTACCTTACATTTATTCAATCACAGGTGCTTTTAGAGCTCGGAAACACCTAAAAAAAAAAAAAAAAAGAGTGAGCGGGGTCGCCTCTCCACAGATCTGACCTGTAACTTGGTCTGATTTGGATAACGTGAAGATAGAAAGATTTAATGCCATACTGTCAGTGTTGGGACAGTTACTTTTAAAATGTATTCCCCTACAGATTACAGATTACATACCCCAAAATGTAGTTTGTAACGGAATCCATTAAGTTACTTGAGGTGAGTAACGTAATCTGAATACTTTGGATTACTTGGTTTACTGTAGAGAAGCAAAGACTAGGAAGTCTTCACATAAGATGTTTTGTCTGCAAAAAGACAATAAAAAGCCCAGACTTTACTGAACCAAATTAAAAATATTATTAATAGAAGAGGAGGCAGCATGGTTTAGCCCTGTTAAATCCTGTTTGAGACATAGTTTAGACCTGGTTTTAGTCCTGGTTTTAGACCTGGTTTAGACCTGGTTTAGTCCTAGTTTAGACCTTGTTTAGACCTGGTTTGGACCTGGGTTTAGACCGGGTTTAGATTGGATTTAGTCCTGTTTTAGTCCTGGTTTAGCCCTAGTTTAGACCTTGTTTAGACCTGGTTTTAGACCTGGTTTTAGACCTGGTTTTAGACCTGGTTTAGTGTCCGGCAATGAGTGGAATTACCGGGAGAAAAAAAAGGGATATAGCCCAAAATGTGAAAACAAAATACGGTCATGTAATCCATTTATTTCAACCAAGTAACTGTAATCTAATGACCACTCACTTAAACAGTAACTGTAACTGAATACAGTTACTCATAATTTGTACTCTGATTACATAACTCTGGTACACATTATCCATTACTCCCTAACACTGCATACTGTGAAACATTCCAGTGAAAGCAACATCTCCATGGACAAAAACATCTGACGGAGCCCCCACCAGAAAAGTTACACAGTGCAGCTTAAACATGAGCGTCCACAAGGAAACAGCCACTGGAATATCACCATTATTAACCAAATGTCTTAAACATGTGTGTATATAAAATGTAAAGATAATTTGGAGGTTGTTAATAAATGATGTAAAATACAGTGACCTGGAATATTATTTACAAGGTGTTTCAGGTGCTAATAGTTCTTCCAGCTGTAACTATTACGGCAACTCTTCTCAAATTTCATGATCTGATTTTTGGATCATAATTGTGATACAAATTCTTCTTATTATTAGATTTTTTGGCTATTTAAAGTTTCACTGTGTAATGTTTTAGACTAAAATAACATTATTTTTCAATTTGGATGTTTTTACTGATCTGAAAAGCATGTGTTCTTATTGTGAGCAGACATGCCCACAAACCTGACTCTTACTTGGCCCGGAGAAGCTTGTTTCCATGGAAATATTGTTCTTTTGGCTATAAGGTTCCACAGTATTGTATTAGGCTTAGACCTATTATTAGACATTTTATTGACCCACAAGAGAAATGATTTTGACACAGTAGCTCATACATCACAATATAATATAATAACAAAGAGAAACAATATAAAAGGTAATAATTCCAAATGATAAATGACAAATAAGACATAAATATGTAAATGTAAATGTACAAGTCAAAATAAAATAGATAAGTAATAAAACATAAAATCAATCAAAATAAAATCTCCTCTGTCCTTCTATAGTCAGTGCATGGGTTGTTGTACAGTTGTAGGGAGTATTATATGTCCCTCTATAGTCTGGTGCAGTGGGTGAATTGTTATACAGTTGTAGGGAGTATTATCTGTCCCTCTATAGCAGGGGTGTCAAACTCATTTTGGTCCGGGGGCCGTATCCAAACTACTTTGATCCCAAATGGGCCAGATCAGAAAACTCATGTCATATAAACCCCAAAAATAACAATAAGTTCAAATATTTGTGCAGAGAAACACAAATCTATTACAGAAATCTTTTTTAATTGATGAACTCTTTCTTTTACAAAATATTATAATATTATGAACAACCTGAAACTTTAAGAAAAATTCTATTTCAACACAATGTTTTAACACTGACTTGTATGCAAATAGGAATAAATCAATTTTTCTTGGAAAATCCTGCACTCAGCATCCACTTTTCTTATTTTTGACATTTTGCTGATGAGGGTCACGGTCAACAGTCAAAAAGGATTGTTTGGAAAGAGCCAAGTGTTCTTTTGTGCTGCTCTGGTGGGAGGGGCCACGCACAGAGGCTCTGGAGATGCTGCTATGTTAAGTGACGCAGAAAATTACCAATATTTGAATAGAAAATATAATTCAAATATTTAAGCAGAAAATCAGCCGAGGGCCACATTAAAGGTCTTGGAGGGCCGGATCTGGCCCCCGGGCCTTATGTTTGACACGTGTGCTCTCTAGTCTGGTGCAGTGGGTGAATTGTTATACAGTTGTAGGGAGTATTATCTGTCCTTCTATAGTCTGGTGCAGTGGGTGAGTTGTTATGTAGTTGTAGGGAGTATTATCTGTCCCTCTATAGTCTGGTGCAGTGGGTGAGTTGTTGTACATTTGTAGGGAGTATTATCTGTCCCTCTATATTCTGATGCAGTGGGTGAGCAGGAGTGTCTTTTTTTTTAATAATAGATATTAAACAAATCTATTTTCATGGAGGATGTTCCAAAATATGGTTTTAACTTTCTATTTCCATGGAATCATACAGGTGACACCTCCAGAAAGTTACACAGTGTCTCTTTAAAGTTATTTTGGATTTTACTTGAGTAGTTACAGACACAAATGGACATGAAAAGTGGATGTGCTTGTTAGGTGTTACAGATACAAGTGCAATATCTAAAAGTAACCACTAGATGGGGCTTTAATGTTCTCCATCTGGTTTGAATTTAGTAACAACAATAAATGTTTTTTAAATGGGAGCGAACCACATCAAACCTTTGAACAGGAGGCACAGCAGTCATCCCTGTGAGGTCAAACCCTGGGCAAACCTGTGGAGTACATTTGTATTTAAAACCAAACTATAGAAAGAATGAAATGGCAATAATTCAAGTACATTAGGTTTGGAGCTCTGATTTAAAATGTGAAGTTATGTAATTGTTAATAATGCACAAAATCTGGTCATTTCAAATGAGAAACACAAACATGAGTCAACTAAATCAGATCTGAAGGAGCGATTGAAAGAAACACAAATGTTCAAATGATTTCAGATTGTCACATAAAGCTTTAGTCACTTTAGACTCACTCACAGTGGGAAGAGGAAGTACAACTATTACTCAAGTTAGAGTACTGCTATTCTGTACTATATATTAGTAGGATTCAAATCAAAGTACCTGAGTGAATACACTGGTTGGAGGGGCTGTTGGGGCAGATTTACAGCCACGTTTCTGTTGGTCATCCCCAGGGCAATTGTGGAATGAAAAAGTGTCCCAGCAATATGTAACTTTTTGGTCACCTGCTTGTCTATACAAATCTGGACAGAACAACGTCTTAGGAATAAAAAGATGCTCCTCTTGATGGAAATGAACAGATGCACTAGAGCGCCACCTGTGAGACAACCTCTAAAACACGACTGGTTTTGCTGGTTTCATTTCAAGTTTTGGTGATTTTGGTGTTTTTGTCTGGTTTTCCGCTAGTGCTGCTTTGGCTGGAGTATGAGGCCATTCCTTAACCCTACACAAGTTACGCAGTGTAACTCCGAAACGTGTCATTTCAGAGATTTAATGTGTCCCTCAGTACAATCTTCAGAGCATGGAGGAGATTTCAGGAGGTCTCCAACTTTTTCCTCCAGTGAGCTACTTTTACAAAACGAAAATGTCAGAGAAATAAGAGCTACGGTGAGCCTTAGATGAGGTCCAGTTAGATGTCTATAAAACATAAACCATTATCCATTTATTAGTGCACAACGTCAGACATCAAAACGATACTTGTACAATGGTAAAATGCATTTAATTCATCAAATTTGACTTATTCAGCACAATATGTGTCATTTAGAAATCCTTTGGTGAGTGACTTGGACGGGGCTGAAGAGTTACAGGTTGGAGACCCCTGCTCTAGTGCTCCTGACATTTTTGTGAGTAATGTATAACTACCCTAAACCTGGTGCTACATGAACAGCAGTAGACGTGTATACAGCTGCTCTACCAACTCTGTGATGCAGTAAATAACAAATCAGTAGAATCTGTACTGTCCATTGCACCACTGCTGGTTTAATGTTGTATAAAATATGTTATCTAAGAGGGAATCTCTCATGTGTAGTGTTAGGATAAATAACTAGGCTTAGGTGGTGGATAACTACTGCTATGGATCCGGGGGATCCTTGTCACAATCGGATAAGATTGTGCAACGTACCAAGAGGCCTGGCTGACTGTGCACCAACGAAGAGGCACCAAGTCTAAACCACGGTCGCCTCCCACTATAGTTTGTGTATAAAAATCATTGTATAGGCGTAAATATTCAGTCTCTGCTTGGGAATGTCAGCACAGACTCCTTGTACAAGTATGACTTTTCTAATATTGGAATAAGTCAATTATCTGGACTTTATTTCTGTTTCAAGTGTAATTTTTTGTCTAAGCAGAAACTAACGAACATGCGAGGAAAAAGGTTATTTTCCTCAAAAGTAGCACTGAAAGCATTTATGTCCATATCCTGCAGACTAAAGTGAGAAATACTGATTAGAAATGAACAGGTCTTAGTTCAATAAGAAATCAGGTGGAGGTTTGTTTTTTACTCTCCACACTAAAAAATAAACAACACAAAGAGACTGACTCCCACTAACCCTGAAACAGTCTCTACAGACGCTTGGATTTGTGTTTCAACTTATAAGTCACTATGTGTTTATCCTTTCACCTGCAGAGATGGGGAATACTCAGTTACATTTACCAGAGTAGTTTTCTAACAGCATACTTTTACTCTTACACAGTGTAACAGTACTTTTACTTGAGTAAAAGTTGTAGTTCCTGTGAGTCTGAAGTGACAAAGGTTTTATGTGACAATATGAAGAGATTTGAACATTTGTGTTTCTTGCAGTTCCTTCAGATATAATGTAATTTTTCTCATTTTTATGGTCCATCCTCTGAAAATATCAGATTTTGTGCATTATTTAATGTTTTGTCCTTCAAATTGCATTAACATGATAAATCAGATGTAATGTCCAGTTACTTACTTGAGTAATAGTTTTACTTAAACACTTTACTCTTATTTAATTGGATTTGTGACACTACTTTGTACTTGTACTTATTTTGAAGTGTGTTTTTTCATCCTCGTCTCATCTCTGCTCACATGTAGACCACAGAATGAAAATCTCTCTGACAGTCCACTGGTTTCTGTACAAACATGTGATGCCACTGCAGCTCAGGCTGGGTTCATCTATAGGAAACTCAAACAGGAAATCTTCTGTGTGAACAGAGAGAACCACTGTATCAAATACTTGCCCGGAGATGTCTGTGAATTCGCCATGTGTGCACTTTTACGCACTGGCCACTCCCTCTCCAGACGCGCGCTTTGAGCATGAGTGACGCGCGGAGGAGCCAGTCCGCAGCCTCCTCTCCTCCGCGGAACATCTTCTGATTGGACCCGGAGTTTGTGGCCCTCCTCCCGGGGTCGCTTCAGGCAAAGTGTGCTTGTCCCTTCAGCTTTTTCTGTACCTTTTTTTTTTTCTCTTGTGAGCGGTGGTTAAGTGTTTACAGCGGAGCGTGTCAAGGCAAATCAAGGACAAATTGGATACCGTCTATGGCACTATGTTTAAGGTTTTGTAGCACATAAACGGAGATTTGAAGTTTATTTCAGTGAGTACTTTCTTTTTTCAAAACTTCCTCTTTCTTATTTACATTTTCTGTTTGTAAAATGAGCCTTGCACAGATGTTAAAAGCGCGTTTTGGCGTGGCCGCTTCTGTTGTTAGTAGCGGTGCGCCTCTGCGACCTGTTGACAGATTTATTGCTCAGTTTTAAGTGGCAGATTTACGAGTTAAGCTTTGGATGAAAATAATTATTGTCTGCATTCGAATTGAAGATGCTCACATGGACACGTATACAAGATTACGTGGTGGTGGGTACGTGACCCAAGCCACGGTTTTTAACAAGTCTGCAACGTGTGACTAAGCTTAAGTCATGTAGCGGGGCACACGAGAACAGGTTTGGTCGATTCATTGGCAGAACAGATAAAGAAAATCTAAAATAACAAAAGTGCAGTGTGCAAACGCTTTGGACCGTTTCCAAACTTTCTTGCAGAAGTTAAAACATGAGCTAAGCATGCGCGCCCAGATAAGGAACGAGTTTATCTGACCTAAGACTGGGCACGTTCTGTTTGGCTTAATGTTATTCGGTTTCTCTGCATAAAACCCTGAAATACAAAGAGGAACCAACGCAAAACTAATGAATTTCAAATTGTATCAACCAAAACCACAAATATATCGAATAAAAATACACTTTAAATAGTCAGATTTGTAATTTTGTGTGAATAAACTGTAGTATTTGGAGATTTCTTTGCAGCCCAGTTAAACTAGTTAGTCTACATATCTTTTTTTTTAAATTAGACAATAGAATATAACATTATTTAACAAAATACAATTCTAAACATAAAACCAAGACACAAAAGCATAAAACAACAACAAAGCTTCTCACCCCTCCCCCAAAACACACATACAAATTTAATTAAATAAAAATATAAATCTATGTTACTCGAAAGTAATCTGTAGCATTCATCGTTCTTCTCAAAATGAGTAGTAGCATAGTGTGTTATTTTTCGATTAGTCGATTATTTCTGTAAATTTAAGTTTTCAAGACCAATTTTTGACCAAATAATCTGACTAAATGAAGAATATCTACAAATAAAGTGTGTTATTGATAAAAAAATAAAAAAGTGTATTCTTTTTTGTGTGTTCTATCTTTGTTAAAAATGTTTGTATTTTGTGTTTGAGTGTGTTTAGTCCAGATAATGATTACGATTATCAAAATACAACTAGGGTTTATTTTTTGAATAACTAGTCACAATTAGAGCCCGACCGATATGAAACTGATATAATGGGAGTTGGCGCTGCCGATAGCCGATATAATCACCGATATATTTAGTGATGTAAAAATTCACTGTAAATCTTGAATTGATTAAAAAACTTAGGTTTGGCTCTAGTGGATTCTAAATTGGGTTTATTTAGGCAACATTTATTGTTATTCTGCCTCTTTACATCATATTTACATACAGTAGATTGGCCTAATGGCATTTTTGCATCACATTCTAGCTGCTAGTGATGGAGATTCCAGTTGTTTTGGGGTTTTTTTTGGAGAATCGGCTCTTTTGGCTCAGCTCACTAAAGCAGCTGGCTCTTTCGGCTCCCAAGCGACTCTTGAGATTGTTTTGTTGCAAGCAGGACTAAACCAGAACTGAACCAGGACTGAGTGTCGGGACTTGGTTTCTATCTCTCTCCTGCACTCGAGCCCAAGATTAGTCCTGGTTTATTCATTTTATGCTGAACTGCAGCCAAATATGCACTTTTTTTTATCCATGCACATGCAGATTTCTGAAAGTTTCGTTTTCAGCCGCTGCTGTCAAACTACGGGTCTACATGCGGCATGAAGAGAAAAAGTGAGAAAAAGAGAAAACACGGCTCCCAATAAGAAGCAGGCTCCCGTTGTTCGCTCTAAGAGCCGCTTCGATCGCGACCGACCCATAACTCCCAGCTAGTAAACTATCGCTATTAGCCTTTAGCCGTAAATGCTGCGCACCGCGGTAATTAATTATATGCATAAATGTGGATCATTCACACGTCTATTCACAGCTCATTTACATATCAGTGCAGGTCCAGTAGTAAATATACGGCCAATATAGTCACTTTACAATAGACCAATAGAAAACAGCCTGTTTATGTGTGGGAGCTACAGCAGCTAACCGCTAACAAAACCTAAACTAGCTTCAAAGTCGATGTATTTCCAACACTCACCGCTCACACAGGCTCCTCCTCACATCACAAGTCTGCACTAATAAATGTCCTTTTAATCCAGACTCAAACCGATTGTCCAAAAAAGAAAATAATCTCAGTGTTGCGCACCGCTGCGGGTGTAAACAAACACACGCGAGTGAAGTGACGTCACTCAGGTGGTGTGTTCAGGGACAGTACGGACACACACAGACAAATGACTCCGCAGATAAATACTGATGCGGAGCCACATATGAGGACATTTATCTGTCTGTAAATTGGATTAAATGAGAGTCTAAGCTTTATAACGAGGTATAACATGCCCACGTGAAATATCGGCCCATATCAGCAAGCATATCGGCCGATATGTCTCCAGGTGCCCATATTGGCCGATCGGTCGGGCTCTAGTCACAATTATTTGATTTAATCCTTGCAGCTCTGTGTATTAGTCTAATGATGATCATAACTGAAAACTTCAAATGGAAGAAGTCTAAAACAGCATCATTATTCATGATTCTGAGATAGGTTAAACCAACTCTTAGTTTTTCCTTAATTTGGGACAATCTCCTGTCTCCAGTCTTATCACAGTCCCTCTTTGCCAAAGCTTGCACTGCAGTTTCACAATAACAACAATGTAGATCCAGAGTACAATGGTCCAAACTTGCATCTTCAAAAGTTGTGGTTACTCATATTTAAGTCATTATTTTAGTTTCTTACTCATGTTTTTCAGGCCAAACCACAAACAGAAGGATGGCTGGAGAGGCGGTGCTGAGGAGGGGAGTGAGCTGGGTGAAGCAGTCCGCCCACAGAGCTCCGATCCTGGGGCAGAGCTCGGCCGTGGAGTCCCTGTGTGGAGCCTCGGGGTGGAGCTCGGTCAGGGTGAGTCCAGACTGTAGACTGTATGCGGTCCACTCCTAGTACACAAGTCCATATTGTGACAGTCCTACTAATAATATTACATTTTACTTATACACTCAAAGATGCTGTACAAAGGATACAGTTTTTAAAAAGTACATATTTAAAAATGAAGTAATGGGACAAAATATAGGCATGAAGTAAAAGCAGGTTAGTCATGAAAAACAGCTCTAAATAGATGAGTTTTGAGGAGTTTCTTGAAGTTGGAGAGTTCAGTATAGTCACAAATTTCAAACACCTTTGTAAGATTTTGTACATTTGTTGAATTTTAAAAGTAGGGAGGGTGAATTCTAGGCTTAAGACATTTTGGTTTCCCCAGATAACAGTAATCAGATCATATTTTGGCTGAATGTCCCAAAACAAAATGGTGTGTAGAATTTAAACTCAATAGTGCAGAAATATTTACATTTATAATAAATCAATTTCATTTATTAAATACTTTGTAAAGGGATATTTATGATATTCTAAATTGCATGCCAATAAATATTTAAACATTTTGATACACACAGTCAAAAGTTTGGACACACTCTTTCATTTCTGTTTTTTCTTTATGTCAGGGATTGTTTGTTTACACTGTAGATTCTCACTGAAAACATAAAAACAGACACACATGGAATAGGGGTGTGCAAAAATATTGAAATATCGATATATCGTATTGTTTAATGTGCTGATACAGTATCGATATTGTGGGTGGCTGTATCGATATGTCACCAAGAGTATTTTTTTGTTATATTTTACTAAATTATTTTGTTACAGAGCTGCAGTTTTTTTTGTTTAGTGGAAAGAAACTCGTTTATGTGACACATTTGACATTTTCACTGTTTTGATGAGATAAATTGGCTTTTTTCATATTAACTTTGCAGAAGAAGTGGTTTAATAAAGACTTCGTATCACAGCCTTCATTTTTTATTGAACTATATCGAATCGTTTTGATATTTATCGAATCAAAAGCTCACTGTATCGAGATGTGTATCGTATAGTGGCCTTTGTATCGAGGTTTGTATCGTATCGACAACTTCTGAATGATACCCAGCTCTAATATGGAATGTAGTAAACAAAAAAATAAACTTAAAACGTCTTTTAGATTTACCCTTTGCTTTGAACGTTGATTTTCACTCTTTGACATTTCCTGACCCTGACTCTGCACAGCTGTGAACTGAAAACCATTTCAGGAGACTTCATTATGAGGCTGACTGAGAGAAGGCCAAGGGTTTGCAGCTGTCCACAAAGCAAAGAGACGCTACTTTGCATAATTAGAAACAAAAATTTTACAAAAGTTACTTGAGTTACTTTTGACTGGTCGTGCCCGTGTGATTTTACCTCACGCAGACGAAGGACAAAAAGCCTAATTTCCCAGGGTTTTAATTTGTAGGAATGGAACAAAATCTGGTGCCAAAAGATGTCAGGACTGTGGAAAATCTCGTGAGATTTTGTGTTTATATTTGGACTGCACATAAAGGGGGGGTTATGTGTTGGTGAGGGGGAAGTCGTAGTTATAAAGTGCTACTATGACAGCAGAAATATGAAATGGTCACATTGATAGAAAACTCAAGACCCCGAAGCGCTTTACATCAAGGACTCACTCACCCATGCACACACTCACTCCAGTGTACACAGACACTGGGGATGAGGGGGGGTTGAGTGTATTGCTCAAGCACGCAACAACAGTATTTATCTGTGGGTGCTGGAATTGCATCGCCAACCTGTGGGCTAGTTAAGGTACACTAAGGTACAACTTCTTTTACCTGAGATAAATAAGAGTTTGGTGCTTCCCTTTTGGTTCTGCAGAAATCTGTTTTTTTTTTCTTTTTCTCAGTCCTGTGTTTTTTCCGTTCCTCGTGGAGTGCCATGTTTGTTTTGACACAGATTGGTTAATCCACTTGTCAAACATGCCCAAATGAAATCCTAGAGACAGAATATGACTCCAAACCACTCATCTTTGTGAAGTTTTGTCAAAGTTTTGTGGTTCTGGCTGGGCAGATTTTGAGCTAGTCTTAGGCTACGCACAGACTGCAGGGCTGAAAACTCAATTCAGATTTTTTATTTATTTATTTTTTTGTGAAAACTGATGTTTTTGTGAGGTCGTTCACATTTCCAATTAAATGTGACTTGTATGTGACTCCAGTGTGAACAGTAAACGGCCCAAAAGTGTCCCGCATGTGACACTGGAGACACGATGACGTCAACCGCAGCGAGCGTCTCTGTGTTTACGGAAGTTGTCCAAACATGGACGCAGCATTGAGCACCTGGAGATTTTAAAGTTCCTCTCGTACCGGAGCCAGAACATGAACAACTTACTTGTTTTAAGGAGGAGATTGAGAAAGAGAAGGACGAGGTTTTTGGCTGTGGTGTTTTGTGGGACAGTCCGATGAAAGGAACATGTGGATGTGGAGACGGAGCCAAGAGTGGTGGGATAGTGATGTGCTTCACTTCAGTCACACGGAGTTCATTAACAATTTCTTAAAGGTTCTGCCTACTTCAGTGCAGAACAGTGACATTTGTTGCTTGTTGATAATGTGTAGGTCAGATGAATGTGCTTTGGCTGTTCAGACTGAAGTCCACATATCCAAGTCGTCTGGGTCGTATTTGAAAAAATCAGTTCTGTGTCATTCAGACTGTCATTAAAAGATCAGATACAGGAACATAGGGGCCAAAAAATTTGATTTGGGTCACTTCAGGCTGCAGTGTGAACGTATCCTTAGTCAGGACTATTTTATTTGGAGGATTTAAACTATGGTGCTTGTTTTGGGTTTTCAAGAGCAGGATTCAAACTTTCAACCTTCAGATCAGAGGGAAAGCACTCTACCGACTCGGCTACTGTTGGGCAAAAATGTTAAATTATTTATTACTAATTATGCCAAAGTCTCATCAGAAACCTGTACATTTGTTTATTGTCTTTCCCCAGGACCCCCACATGTGCGTCCACAGATATTCCACTTTGGGAGCGTGTCTCAGTTCCTGTTTGGTCCTGAATGGAGGCGGGAAAACTGCACAGACCTCCAGACCCAACTCCAAATGTGTGAAATACTCCAGGACTCTTCATCTGGTCCGAACTCAAACCAGAGCTCTGAACCAGGATGGGTCCAACGTGGGACGACTGTCTGCGGAGGATCTGCAGAGAGCCAGAGGAGCCAAGATCTTCAAGCCTCACAAACAAGTGGTGAGTGACGGGTTTAATGCAAATCAGAGATGCTTTATTCTTGTTTATTTATAACTTTAGACATATTTGATTTGACTATTTTACGTATGTCTGAGGACTAGGAATGGGCATGATTAGTCGATTAATCAATAATTGATCATTAAGAATTTGTTGATTACATTCATTTTTAATTGACAAACCAAATGTAGGTTGCTGTGCGTAGTGTGACCAAACGTCCGTTTTCCACATCCTGTCCTAGCCCGTTTGGGTTTTTTTATAAATTGATGCAAATGTCCAGGTTTTCATGATCTTTCATTGGACCATTAAAGTGGGCGGTTCTCGTGGCTCTGTGTGTCAGAAGGAGCGAGCAGAAACAGTCGCTCAGCCTGCAACATGCTGAAGCACAAATGACTTGTACAAGAAATTCCCCGCTTTCTGTCTCGGTCGAGACAAGTGTGAGTCCATGTGCACAGTGTACAAAGCAGCACATATGTGTCGGTGTCCTGTGTGTCAGGGACCTCAAAGCACCAGGAGACCGAAAAACATGAGAAAAGCTTTGTCAGGTGACAGTAGCTCAATGTTGATGATGAGGCCCCATCATCACGCCCCCCGTACGGTGTCCTGGTTTTGACAAACACAAATATGGTCACACCTAACCTATTTTCCACTGAGTCATGTCTTTTAGTCCGACAGAAACTGATAGCATCCACGCACAAGAGCTGTTTTTTTCTTCGCTTAGTTCATGCAAATGAGCCATGAGATTTTAAGTTTGGTTTCTGTAAGATTTGAGCAAAACTGCATTAAACACATTCTAATGTCAAACGGGCTGATGTGTCTCTAGAGTGGTTATGGTTTATATGTTGTAAAGTTGAGTTTATTTATGCAGATTAGTGCAGATAGTGATAATAATGATGATAACTTTAATATAAAAACGTTAATGATTAGCTCTCTCGACAATCGATTAAGAAAATTTAATCGACTGCCCATCCTTACTGAGGACTTCTCTAAAGCTGCACTGTGAGATTTTCATCGTCTGTGGTGACTGATTTCTTCTCAGTCAAAGGTCAAACAGGAGGTCTGGTCAGGGAGGGTCAGCAGATTTGTTGCAGGGCAGTTTGAAGAGCAGAAGAGCCAAAAGTGTCCCTCCTCTGTGTCCTGTCTCACTCACTACTCTGGTGTTTTAGCTGGTGACAAATTGTTTAAAGTATTTCCTCTGGAAGGTCTTCTGACGCATAAAATGAGCCACACACCAATGAGCAATATTATTTTGTAACATAAAAGCCCAAATTATTAACCATTTAAGATCTGTCTTTTGTTTTTGTTTCTCTGTTTGCAGCTCAGTGAAAAAGCTAGAGAAAGAAAAGTTCCTGTCACTCGGTTGGGACGACTGGTCAACTTTGGAGGTATGTTTACAAGTTCAACATTATGCTCTCTTCACAATATCTGTCAGAGGTGGGTTAGTGCCCTTGTTTAGTCCCTGGCTCAGACCTCTGTTAGTTCTGAATGTGGGAGACTGATCCGTTTAATTTGTTTATTCATTACTCTCTATGCACCTCCAGTCTGTATTTAGTTTTCCACATTAACTTTAGCCTCTGGAGCATGACTTGGACTCTGGAAAAGCGCCTCGTCATAGTTAGAATGGCACGTTAAGAGCCGAAGAAGAGCCAGACGACTGAATGAAGCTATAGTTGGCATACCGAAGGAGCTGGACGGGGGCTGGACGGGAGCTGTTTTCTCTCTGTCAGGTTAAGAATCAGGCCAGAATACTCTTGGGCTTTGCTCTTATCAAGTTACATGTTGGTTAATTTTGTGTGTGGTTCTGGGGTTGACTTTGAAGTATTTAAAGCCACAGTCGGTGTTTTTTCTGGTGGAGGGTCAGTCACCTGCTTGACTTGTCAGGGACGTGTTATGGTGAGGTAATGCTTTAAAGAAAGTTTGAAACATACTTGGGGACATAGCTGCATTTTATCCAATACTGTGGATTATAGTCAACAAAATTTCTAGGGAAACAAGTAGGAGTAGACCCTCCTCCAAGTCAAATAAAAGTCAGGTTTGTGGAGATGCAAGTCTGCTTAGAATAACACATACTGTATTTTCTGCACTATAGGGGCTCTGGATTATAAGTTGTCATTGAATGGTCTATTTTCAAACTTTTTTCACATATAAACCATTAAACGATGCATTAAACGAAACACAACAGTTCGATAAGTCAGTCAAACTTTATTTAACGCGTTCACAGTAACTCTCAACTTTGTTCAATTGTAACACGTAAAAAAAATACTGTCTGAGATGCTAAATTGTTAGTTAGTCGTTAGTATTCACAGTAACTCATAATAGTTGAAACAGTTGGGTGATTCTGGCGTCCACACATCCACATCCCTCTGGTCATTATCCGAGTCAGTGTGGTTACTGTTCCCTGGAGTTCAGTTCAGTGATGATTCTGGTCTTGGTGAAAGCTCGGACCACAGTTGATCCTGATCTTTAGCCCGGGCGTCCATGATCCGTTGGCAGATCGTGGTGTAAGTGGCTCGGCGCTGTCTCTCTGTCTTGGTGAATGTGTGTTCTCCTCCTCTCATCCACTGCTCCCACGCAGCTCACACTTTCACTTTAGAACAGTCTTGAGTTTAAAGTGGGTGTTGTGAGCTTGTCTCTTGACAGGTGCATTTTGATATTAAAAGGAATCACAGTCTGTATTACTCCTGATGCTCCTGACGATGGGAGCCGTAATGCTGCAAGTGGAGCTAAAATCCTACTAAGACACTCCAATAAATTCATATAGAAGGCGCTCTGGATCATAAAGTGTGCAGTCGTTTTATGATGGAATTAAAGGCTTTTAAGTGTGCCCTATAGTGCAGAAAATACAGTATTTACTCCATGTTTTAGTCCAATTAATCTAGTAATTTAGGATTGGGTGCATCATATGACAAGGCCACAAGACTTTTGTCTTGCCAAAATCCTTTTCTGTGACCTTTCTGTGTTCATTAAATGATCAATCTTTCTTCAGTGAAGCAAATTTATTTTAGTTTATTGAGCATAATTTGGGAGGGTTTTATCTTTCATATGAGACATTTCTAAAAACCAATCGATTAATTTAAAGTCAGGTTATAAGCTTTTGTTTCTACAAAATGGATAAGCGACAAGACTTTTGTCAGGGACTGTATTTTGTAAGACTGTACCAACTTTTATATATTTATAATTTGGAGTTATTATAGTATGTGTGGGCGCCACTGAGATGCATAAAAGTAAAGATTTGGCTTTCCGAGATACCACCAGAGCTAAACCAAGTATTTAACTCTGTAATCTAGGGTTAAATCAGGTCTAAAAATGCACTACATAACACTGGTACTGCAGTTCTAAACAGGAAATGATCCAAAAGAAGACACAAAAAGTGGATAAAATAAACTCTAAATACAAAAAAAACACACACACACAAATTATATAGCCGAGTACCACCTGAAGGAGCTTGCGTACCACGGTTTGACGAACACAGGCAGCGGCGTCGGGGTAAAGGTACTGGTGTTTACCCAGGGCACAGAGTATAGGGAGGGGCTGTAATGGGCAGTTTTCAGTGGACAACGTGTAATGTGGGATCACCAAGATGATTTGTACCCAGAGACCAAAATTTAGTAGCCTGATTCATCAGCCAGTTTCACTTCGAACAAACCGTCTAACCTCGCAGTGTTAGAATTTGTTAATTGGACGGTAGGTGGATACTTGTTATCACTTAACCCAGGGGTGTCCAAACTTTTTTCATCAAGGGCCACATATGTAAACACAGACAAAGCAGAGGGCCGATCGAGGGCCGCAGACTGGGGCTCAATACACTGAATAATTGAAATATGTGCATGTTTAACACATTAGAATGAGCCATCAGTCTTTATTCATGCTAAGATCCTTAAAACTCCACACTATTATTTAATATTTAGCCTTATCGGGGTAGATTTTCAAAAAACTTGCAGTAAAAAGTAAACTTTTAAATGATGCAGGGTTATTTGGGCCAATTCATCTGGAAGCCTGAGGGCCAAGAAAAATTAGTTTGGGGGCCGCATTTGGCTCACGGGCCATAGTTTGGACATGTCTGATTTAACCAATCGCTGCTATTTGGTCGTGATGTATGTAATGCGCCGCTAACGAGGTTAACTGGTGTATTAAACTTTTCCCAAATCCCGTAGGAAGAAGGACAATAGCGTCTTTCCCCTTGATAAAATTCACCAAACATTCTCTTTGTTCCGGCTTTAAATCCTCGATCTTGGGAATTGTTGACAACACAGAATGTCTGACTCTTCTCTGATTGGCTGGTGCCTGAACTCACTCTTCTGACTTCTGGGGTTTTGTGAACAGTCTAGTGTATTCTGATTCCTGACTTAGTTGTTGGAGAGAAATGAAATTGAGTGGAGGCACTAGGTGGCACCAGCCTGGCTAAAAATTTGGTGCTACAGCCCTGAACACTGCAGTATCTCATTTTGATCACTTCAGCTGTTTCCTCTGTTGTCAGTATTAAAAACAGTCTTTACATTTATGTGTGTTTCTACTGTGTGTCCAGGTCTGGCAGTGGGACTGGGCATTGGGGCGCTCACAGAAATGGCCAAGAAGTCGTTTAAACCCCAACAACAAGGTGAGTGGTGTTTTAATCTGAATGTTTATGTGTATTTTTAGCTCGTCCTGACCCCCTCTCTTCTCTCTTCTCTGTGTCAGGGGATAAGAGGCCTGTGCTGGACTCCAACCCGTTCCTGAATGAAGCGAATGCCGAAAGAATCGTCAGTACTCTGTGTAAAGTGAGAGGAGCCGCTCTGAAGCTGGGGCAGGTGCTCAGTATCCAAGGTGAGGACGAGGACTGAAACTGAGACCAGGACTGAACAGGGTGATTTAGGACGGTCTGTTGCTGAAATTAATTGCAGTCTTTGCGTTTTTATCAATTTATTTTACCCGGAGAAACAGTAAAGGTGTACTGTGTAACTTTTGCTGGTGGAGGATTTCGTCACCTGCTTGTTTCTATGGATACGTCATTGCTCTGCCTGGAATGTTCCACAGTGTGACATTAAACAGCTCTACTTTACATCTATTCAATGACAGATGGTTTTATAGCTCAAAAATACCAAGGAAATCAGGTATTCTGACTGTGAGCGGTTTCACCTCTCCACAGATCTGACCTGTAACTTGGTGTGGTTTGGGCTTCATGAAGATAGAAAGCTTTAAAGCCATACTGTGAAACATTCAAGACAAAGCAATAACATCTCCATGGATTAAAGCATTTGACAGACCCTCCGCCAGAAAAGATGTGTGAAGAATCCCTCAGTCGTCCAGGTAGAATCCACGGCGAGGAGAAAATTCAGTTTGTCAACATAACAAAAGTTAATTTGGTTGAAGACGTTTCGCAGCTCATCCAAGCTGCTTCTTCAGTTCTGGTCAGAATGTTGGTGGAACAAGTTGGTGTGTTAGTTTCAGAGTAGTTAATTAGCTCCTCCTTGCAGACAGATATAAGGAAGTGTCCACCAGCACTGCATGGACGAGCTGCGAAACGTCTTCAACCAAACTAACTTTTGTCCAGTTGACAAACTGAATTTTCTCCTCGCCTCCACCAGAAAAGTTACACCTTTTTAAAGAACACACTCTGTGCTTGAGCCTGCTCTACAGTTAATTCACAATATTGATCTAAAACAAAGTAATAAAAGAAACCACTCCGCTCACTTCTGAGTTAGAAAACTGCGGTGCCCAACGGGAGCTGACGTCGCTGTAAACGTCATCACAACAAAGAGACAGTAAAAGTCCAATGAGGTTTATTTGGTTTGCTGATAATTTTTGTTCTTAGGTTCTTTTTTCAGACCAAGAGTTTGTTTTCATCCCTGACAGTTTGGATTGCTCACTTGTGCTCTTCCTCAGACTCGTGACGTTGCTGTGATGTGTCCGGTCAGCTGATTGAAACAGTCCTGAGGAAGTGGGACTGCAGATGTCGCTGTCGTCCTGCCTTCACCAGTAGGAAGAACCTGTTTAAATCAGCTGATCGGACACAGAAACATCACGTTTGTTTGAGGAACTGCAATCTTCCTCAGAGTGGTGTCAGGTATGAAATCAAACCCTGGATTTTTTTCTTTTTTTTCATTTGTGCCAAAATGACGCAATGCTGCTAAATCCATGTATCGCTGATTTAAGAAAATGAAATAGTTGAATAGTTAGTCCAGAGCAGTGGGCGTGTACCAGTCGAGGAAAACAAGACAAAACAAAACGGCGTCTTGAAAATAAGTGATTAAAGCTGACTCAAACATGCACGAATCACTCCAAAAACAACTACATAGTGTCAGTGAGATCAAAAACAAAACATGGTTAAAAGCGCTGAAAAGAACATTTTGCATAACAGGTCTGGTTTAAGAACAAATTCTTCTTTACAACATTGGCCCGGGTGTCCTAGCGTCTGTCTCCATGGGGATAGATGCGTCCAACGATGCAGATAATTGTAACACGACTTGGCTAACCTCACATGGAGAAAGAACAGAGCGCGAGGAGCAGATCTGCACTTTTGGAGATGACAGGAACTTGCCAGATGGGAGTGTGAAAAGGGCCCATTTGTGTCTAGTCTAAAATAATAGTCAGCTGGAGCCCTAACGTAACATTTGACCAGTTCGTCTGCAGGATTACAGAGCTAGACGCAGTGTTTAAGGTTGCTTCTTGGGGTTTATTCTTATCGCTGTTGAAAATTGAGGATGTGACAGAGTTGGAACTGCTGTTTTAGCTGTTGGTAAGTTCGCTTTCCCTTTCCAGACTAAATAAAGTCTCACCCCTCTTAGCTTTAATAATGAATAGACTCTGAGTTTGTTGATGTTTACACTTCCAGCCTGTCAAAAGTCTCAGTGACACTTATTGTTTTAGTCAGTGCACTTTCCTTGACATTTCCAGTGTTTCCAGATTATGGTGGTGCAAATATTTTCAAATCTCATTCAGTCGTTGGAGTAGAAATGACACTTGTTGCTGATATTTAATATTTAAGTAGTTATTTTTATCAATGTAATTTCTGTATAAATATATGATAAAAAGAATGAGCAACAAAGTCTAATTTTGTTTGCTAATATAAATCCAGGTTGTGTTTATAAGGGCTCACCAGATTTTCCTGTATTAATATTAAACAGTTTTCATGTTGTATTTTAAATCCATTTATACTTTTAAAATATCCCCTGGCTACCACTGGCTCAGATGTAACAGTAGAACTGGAGTGGGAGGTTGGATTTGTCAGACACATGTTGCACATCTGGATTTCGTATTTATTTTTGTGGGAAGTTCTTTGGTTTTGTGGCCGTGGGCAGAAGAGAAACCAGCTGACGGTGCATAAGCTGTGGTTGGATCTGAATGTGAAAGAATATTTTATTAGCTGAAAGAATATTTTATTAAGCTGAAATGTCAAAATCTGTGAATAACCAGAAAATGGAAAAAATAATTTGTAAATTTACAGTCAAGATGGCACTTCTTGCTCTGGTCCTGTTCAAAGGGCATGAGTAACACAGTAAAGCTCAAATGATTCATTTTAAGGTTGGGCAATTATCAGACTTGTTGTGGGAAAAAGTCAAATTGTGAAATTTCAGAACAGAGAATCAGAATAGTTTTAATTTGAACCAAGTTTACTCCAGACTTCAGTACAGTGGACAGTTGTGATGCAATAATATCAAAATCCCTCAATATGATATTTTCACAATATGCATTTCACGTATGACTGGGTATCATTAAGAAGTTGCTGATATGATACATACCTCAATACACTGACCATGATACGATATGTATCTTGATACAGTGAGCTTTCGATTTGATACGATATATTTCAATTCGATACAGTTCAATAAAAAATAAAGGCTGAATTATGTCTGAGACTAAAAGTCTTTATTAAACCAGTTCTTGTGCAAAGTTCATATGAAACACAAACATTTAAATCATCAAAACAGTGAAAATCTCAAATGTGTAAATGAGTTTCCTTCCTTTAAACAAGCAACAAAACTGTGCCTCTGTCAGATGAAGAAAAAGAAGAAGAGCGCTTCACTGAGTCTTAAAAGAGTAAAAAATAGCAGTACTGGTCTGCAAGGGTTAAAACAGTTTTCTTTAAACAGAAAATTACCCTTTCTGTAAAATGTAAAAATGGGCAAGGTACAAACCCGAGGCACTCCCACTGAACATGTTAAAAGTCCTTTATTACATGAAGGGACACCAACACGTTTCGACCAGCAAGATGGTCTTCGTCAGGGCAAAGTGTATTTATTGACACCTGGTGTGTCTTGTTTTTACCAATCAATTAATCACATGACAACGTCACATGACAATAGGAAACAGACAGGGAGCAAACCCCAAAACAAAAGGTTGGCCAACCATGAGGAATATATAAGTGATGAGCAGCCCCACCAAACAACAAGAATAATGTTGGAGGAAAGTCGGTGTGTCCATCACATGTGTAATACATGGACAACTAAATATCACAGGTCAAAAATGTCATTTACAATAAAGAATTGTCTGAAAAAGTTCAGTTTCAGAGAAACATTGAATAATCCAAATCATCATCACTATCAGTGTCATGTGATTAATTGACTGTATTTACAGACACCTGGTGAGTCTTGTTTTACTGACGAAGACCATCTTGCTCGTCGAAACATGTTGGTGTCCCTTCATGTAATAAAGGATTTTTATGATATATTCGGAGTGCCTCAGGTTTGTACCTTACCCATTTTTACATTTTCCAGTAATGGTAACTTTCTGTTTAAAGAAAACTGTAGCTCTGTAACAAAATAATTGAGTAAATTATACCAAAAAATATTCTTGGTGATATATCGATACAGCAGTCCACGATATCGATACTGTATCATCACATTAAATGTTACAATATATCAATATTTTTGCGCACCCCTAATCTCACAGTTCAATATTTTGATTTGATTGACTTTTGTAGAGGCAAATAAAACTGAATATGCTCCTTTTTCTTTTTTAAAAGCATTAGAAAAGATTTAAAGCATTTGGTCCTGTTGTAATATGAAGAATTAAGATTCAAACATGCTTAATAACTTATTTCTTCATGTAGTCTCCAATGACAACACCAAAGGATCATGGTCTATGTAGTTCCCTCTGTTTTTTTTAGCTGTAACTGCATGTCATGGTGAGGCAAGGCAAGTTTATTTGTATAACATGATTCATAGTACACAAAATGCTTTACAGAATAAGAAAGACATGAAAATCCCAAATAGTCACAATAAATATTAATTTAAGCAGAGAAACTTGTAACTCGATATTTTCTGACGACCCACGATATTGAGACTTTTGATGATACGATAATCACAATATTTGTTATTGTTCCATCCCTAGTGGACAGTGGAGTGAATGTATAGAATGGATTGAGATAATAACAGTTAGATCTATAGACAATTGAAATTGAATTGTATTAAGCTGCACAAACGAGTTTGATGTAAATACTAAATGAAACAACTAAAGTGAAATGCATATCTAATACATACGGTATCTACTTGAAGGCAGTTTACAAATGTTTAATAGAATATGACAATAATGAAAAATGAAGTAACCCTGTTTGATTTGATTTTAGATTTTTAAAGGTCTTATATTACACAAATGGACTCTTGTGATCTTTAAAATGTGTTAATAATGTTGTTATCTCCTCACAAACAGACCTGGAGTTGTTGTTTTTTTCATTCACACATGTTTGAGTAACTCTTTATTATTAGTCGGTCTACATCTCCAAAGCTCAAAATGCACTCTTCTACCTTGTGATGTCATGAAGCTGTAATAGGCTCTCTTCACGTTTACGTCACAAAACTAGCAGACACAGATGACGACTTCCTTTGAGCTCTTTTGGAGATGGTAACTCTGAGAAAATCTGGGAAAACTGAGAAAATGGCCTGTTTTGTTTTTTTTTGTCTAGATGTCACTTCTTTCTTTTTTTCCTTTTATAAATTGCCGATTTATTTGTGTATTATAATTTTTCTAATTGGAAAATTTTTTAAAAAGATGTAATTGTAGCGACCAGCTGTTTAAGTGACAATATAGCTGCGATTAGAGTCCCGTCCCTCATGGAAAAGCTTTGACAAGTTGTGAAGAAGCTGCTGCTGAATCCACGGTTTTAACACATGCCCAGTGTCGGGAACTACCCCGGAAGTCCTCATCCACGTGTTTCCAATGTTTTCTAGTAAGCGTGAATAGATCCTATTGTCAAGTGAACAGCTCCTTTTACCTTTAGTTCAGTAGAGAACGGCAATTCCAGGACTGAAATGATTGAAATGATTCACATGAAAGTGTATGGAGTTTAAAAATACAGTGGAGCACTTCCTGCATCAGAGTGTTTTCAGTTTGACAGAAGAACTCAGCCTAAATGTGCAGGTTTGTGTGTTAAACATGTGTGAATGAAACAAAACACAACTCCAGGTCGATTTGTGACGAGGAAACTACATTAGAACAGATCAAATATAAGCGCTGCATAATAGAGGCTTTTATTTTGACCTTTATTTATTTTTTGATCTTTTTAGTCATTTTGTAGGGTCATTTCTAGTAACTAATAACATTTGTGGTTTGTACTTGACAATGGAAAAATAATTGTTGACTCTTGCTTATTGTAATTTATTCTACACACAGACTCATGTGGTGGAAAATACAAAGCTGTAATTAAATGAGAATGACTTTCTTTGACTTTGTAATTTGATTAGTGTGTGTGTCCTATTCAGTCCTGCGTTCAGTACATAACATCTGTTTGTGTTCAGCTCACGTGAGCGGTGTGAAAACTCGCTTCCTGTTTCTGTGTGGGTCATGTGACGGAGCGGTGACCCTCGTTGCACTTTCAGGAATGCAACAAACTCAACAATTCAACCTTTTACACATTTAAGCCGTATTTGTGTAGGTACTGGACATTAATCTGCACATTCTGAAGAGATATAGGCCAGAACAGAGCAGGTGTGAGAGAAACGCAGACATCCCAGTGAAACTAGTGATGTGTGAGCTTTGGTTAAACTCCTTTGCTCTTTTTATTAAGGGGTAATGACTCTATTTTCTGATCTATATTTTAATGTAGTTTTGTCACACAGACCTGGAGTTATTTTGTTTCATTCATACATATTTAACACACAAGCCTTGCGTATTTAGGCTGAGTTCTTCTCTCAAACAGAAAACACTGTTCCACCTTGTGATGTCATGTGGTGATACAGGAAGTGCTCCACTGTGGTTTCAAACTCCTTACACCTTCACGAGAATCATTTGGATCATTTCAGCTCTGGAATTGCCTATTTTTACTGAACTAAAAGTAAAATGTAGCTGTTAACTTAAACTCCCACTTCATGACATCACAAGGTGGAACAGAGCATTTTGAGCTTTGGACATGTAGACAGATTAATAATAATAAAATATTACTAAAACATAACTTCAGGTCTGTTTTTGACGTGATAACAACATTGTAACATGACTTAAAGTTCACAATAATGAAGTTTGTGTAATAATCATGTTAAACAAAGTCTACTTTAATGAGATTTAAAACATGTTATATGCACTAAAGTTTTGTAAGTTTCACTGATGCCAAAGCTATTATACTATCAAACTGCAGTAACATTAACTGCATCACTCGTGGTCACACTTGGTCTCATATTTACTTTGTTTTATGGTGTTTGTTTATGTGCTGCTTTGTGTTGTGTTGTCCTGTTTTTTGATAAAACATGTTACCCCCTGTCCCAAGACAAATTTCTCCCATGGGAGACAATAAAGGATTATCTTATCTTATCTTATCTTATCTTATCTACTGGTATAATGTGAGAATCCCAATCTAATCCACCCCCTATCTTCATCCAGAGAGGATTTTTTATTTTTATTTTTTTTGCTGTTTTAGAACAAAATGTAAAATGACCTACTTACGTTATCTCATTTAAAACTAATTACCTGAAGAAACCAAAATATTAAAATGTCTTCTTTTAGTAAAACTCCTTTAAAATCCAATCCTGTTTTGCCTTCTAACCACTTTAATCCCATATTACTGTGTCTGTCTCTGACCCCAGACCTCTCATGTGTTTTGCAGATGACGCCTTCATTAGTCCAGAATTGGCCAAGATCTTTGAGCGAGTGAGACAGAGCGCAGACTTCATGCCCACCAAGCAGATGATGGTATAATTATTTCATAAAACTAGAGGATACGGGGGATTTAAAGGTGCAGTGTGTAACTTTTCTGGTGGAGAGTCCGTCAAATGCTTTTTTTCCATGGAGATGTTAGGACTTTTTCTGGAATGTTTCACAGTATGATATTAAACCTTTCTATCTTCATGGAGACCAAACCAGACCAAGTTACAGGTCAGTTCAGTCACAATGTCTGTTTTTTTTTTTTTTTTTTCCAGGTATCTTTGAGCTATAAAAGCACCTGTAATTGAATAAATGTAAAGTAGAGCTGTTTGTGGAACATTCCAGGCAGAGCAGTGACGTATCCATAGAAACGACACGGTGCACCTTTAAGTGTAGGTTTCCATGTAGGGATGTCCTGATCATTTTTTTGCCCCCAAGTCCGAGTCCTTTGATTTTGAGTACCTGCCAATACCGAGTCCCGATCCAATACTTCTATAAAATATTATAAAATGAACTAAGAGCAAAGAATAAGATCCAGAATGTTTGGGGGGATCAGATTGTGTTGATTTCATGTGTAGTATTTGGGCTGAACTTAGTGTGAAAAATCAAATGTCCAAAACTTAAGTATTTTTATAAACTTTTTTAACCATTTACCATCATTGTTGAAAATCTTGACTTTTCACAGTCTGGTCTTGGAATGTGTAACTTAGTAAACTTAGGCTACGTTCAGACTGCAGCCTGAAGTGACCCAAGATTTTTTGGCTTCTATGTTCCTGTATCTGATCTTTTAATGACAGTCTGAACAACACAGATCCGATTTTTTCAAATGTGACTCAGGACACTTGGATATGTGCTCCTGAAACTGATACATATCTGATCTTTTGACATGTGACTTCAATCTGAACGGCCAAAGCGCATTCATTCGACCCACACACGCCACAAACGTCACTATTTTGCGCTGAAGTAGTGAAAATTGTTAATGAACTCCGTGTCACTGAAGCAAAGCACATCACCACTCACCACTCTTGGCTCCGTCTCCACATCCACACGTTCCTTTCAACAGACGTTGCTGCCGCTGCCCCACAAAACACCACGACCAAAAACCTCGTCCTTCTCCTTCTCAATCTCCTCTTTAAAACAAGTAAGTTGTTCATGTTCTGGCTCCGGTACGAGAGGAACTTTAAAATCTCCAGGTGCTCAATGCTGCGTCCATGTTTGGACAACTTCCATAAACACAGAGCATGTTTGCTGTGGTTGACGTCGTCGTGTCTCCAGTGTCACATGTGGGACACTTTTGGGCCGTTTACTGTTCACACTGGAGTCACATACAAGTCACATTTAATTGGAAATATGAACGACCTCGCAAAAACATCGGATTTTACAAAAAATCTTAATTGAGCGTTAAGCCCTGCAGTCTGAACGTAGCCGAAATGAACTCTACAAAACAGGAACCAGACTGGAATCAGCAAATCCTGCGCCTCAGAAAAACTGTTGTGTGCTCTGTGTCTTATGTGTTATATACATATCTTATTTATCCGATACCTGATTGGCGCATAATATCCAAGTCCGGATCGAGTCCACAGTCACATGATCGGCGTCGATTTCCAATCACGTGATTGCAGATCGGATCGGGACAACCCTGTTTCCTTGACTAATTCAGTATTGTGTAAACTGGAACTCTGCTCATATTTGGTGATGAAGGCAATAAATTACATGGGAATCATCATCTACTCATCAGGACAACATCTGTGAACAGCAGAGATGAAATCCTGGAAATTTGTCCCTTTTTAAAAACTGTTTCTGAACCATTGAGGTCTCTGTAACATGACACTACCTTTTGGATTGGCAGAATGGAGCAGCGGTCCCTCTGATTTAAGAATGAGGTTGTCAAAAGTAGAGAAAATCAGATCCTAATCGATACTAAAACTAGTATCGAAACTAGATCCTCATTTGAGCAGGTATCGATACTAAAAAAAGTCCCGTTGACAGGACAGAAATGAACCTTTCCTGAATGTATTTTACAATGATCCTGAGCTGTATCAGATCACATGAGAATAGAAAAGAAAGTACTATTGGTTAATGTTGAAAATCACATTCTATTATCTAAAGAAATCATCATGTTATCAGAATCAGTACTGAGTGTATTCTTAGTATCTCCGTTGGGTGCTTAAGGGCTCATGGGAGTTTGCCACGTGTGCTTTGTGTTCTAATTTGACTAAGACTCATATTTCTCAAGTAATAAACAAAGAAATGAGACTGAAAACTAGAACACAACATGAGGCAAAACCAAGCACTGAACAAAGTCAAACACCAGGAACCAAAATGTAACTGGGCTGTTGAAATATATTTAAACCTGGACTATTATTTTAACTTCTAACTTCTGTAAAAATATAAAGTCTAAATCTGTGTTCCCATCTCTGTCCCATAGAAAGTGATCAGTGGAGAGCTGGGTCCAGACTGGAGGAAGCGTCTGGCTTATTTTGAGGAGAAGCCTTTTGCTGCGGCCTCCATCGGACAGGTGCATCTGGGCAGGCTCCACGACGGCAGGGAGGTGGCCATGAAAATCCAGGTGAGAACACGGTTTACATAAAGGTGCTGTCACTATTTCTGATCTCTGTTCTAATGTCGTTTCCTCACCACAAACACACCTGGACTTGTTTTGTTTCATTCACACATGTTTGACACACAAACGCTGCACAATTAGGCTGAGTTCTTTTTTCAAACGGAAAACACTCTGTTCCACCTTGTGATGTCATGTGATTTTGCTGATTTTGAACTCCATATATTCACTAGAATCATTTGGATGGTTTCAGCCCTGGAATTGCCAATTTCTTCTGAACTAAAGGTAAAAGGAGCTGTTCACTTAAACTACTGCTATTCATGACATCACAAGGTGGAACAGAGCATTTTGAGCTTTGGCGATGTACACAGACTAATAATAAAGAGTTACTCATAGGGATGGGCATGATTAGTCGACTAATCTATAATTAATTGTTAAAAATTTTGTCAATCTTGTTCATTTTTAATCAACAAACTGAATGTAGGTCACTGTGTGTAGTGTGAGGAGACGAGGCTGCGTCTGACACAAACACTGGAGTTGTGCCTCACAGTCCCACATTTGGGCTCTGGCACATCTCTTTGGAGACACTGTACCACTCAGTGAACGTGTTTACAGCACATCAGTGATCGGGTTTTCAGTATCCCGGTTTTGTCATGGTGGATGTAAACTGCAACATAAAGTTGAGTGCACATGCGTCCAAAAGACAAACACTTTTCACTCTTTTCATTACAACACAAGCCAAAATAAATAAAGTGAGCAACATAAAGTGAGTGAATGACTGTTGAATAAAGAGCTGCACTACACCTGCACACGAATGATCCCTGAAAACATGAACATGACACACACACAGAACACACTCACCGATATCATCAGCACCCTTCTGTCACAGAGAGAACACTCATATTCCACTGAGTCGTGTCCTTTAGTCCGACAGAAGCTGAAGGAAAAACAAGGAAAGAGCAGATTTTTTTCAGCGTTTATAGTTTATGTAAATGGGTCATGTGGTTTTAAGTTTTGTGTCTGTAAAATGTAAACAAATGTGTCAAAGCTGCATTAAACACATGATGTGACTCTATAGTGGTTATGGTTTATATATTGAAAAGATGAGTTTATTTATGCAGATTAGTCATAATAATGATGATAATTTTACAATACAAAGGTTAATGATTAATCGAAAAACAATTGTTAATTCTCCCGTTGATCGATTTTAAGAAAATTAAATCGAATGCCCATCCCTAACTCAAACATGTGTGAAGCAAAACAAAACTCCAGGTCTGTTTTCGAGGAGGTAACAACATTCTAACATGGCTTTAAGCTCACAAGAGTCAATTTGCGCAATGTAAGATTTTTAAAAACGTGAAAAACAGAACTAAACAATTTGCAGAGGTCTAAGGTTCTTCCTCACTTACCTTATGCTTTCAGAGCATCCGAATTATTCACAACAATGAGTTTATAAGCACAGAGACCAAAGCAGAGCTAATGTGCACTTCCTGATCATCAATTGACAATCAAACGCTTTGTAATTGGATGCAGACAGTACACAGCAGATTTATTTTGACCTTTTAAGAGATTTTTATACAATATATCTGTACCGGAGCGAGACGGATTTAGTTCAAATACATGGAAAAACATTATATACAGGCTCTTTGAACAAATAGAAACATAGAAATGAATAGATATAGAAAACAAAACAAGCTCAACACACACAAATTACAGTAGTGTTTGTGCACAATATATTAAAAAAACAAAAAACTCAGTTCACTTCAAGCATTTAATTTCTTTCAGATTCTGTAGTGTTAAATGTTTGTTTGATTGCGGTGATTGAAATGTGTGTAATTGTTTTCAGTATCCTGGAGTGGCAAAAAGCATCAACAGCGACGTAAGAAACATCATGACGGCTCTGAGTCTGTCCCGCGCTCTGCCTGAAGGTAAAGCTCCACTCTGGGACAGTAATGCTCCACTGTGGGACTTCTCTTTAAAGCTTCACCATGGGACTTCTCTTTAAAGCTCCACTGTGGGACGTCTCTTTAATAGGATTGTCGCGGTTAGGGAATTTCTCCTGTGGTGTGGTATAGCGGCTCAACGGAGCAGTATGTGATGATATCGCACCCCCTCCCCCACCCACACCCCCCGGAGTTAGAATATTTCCAGCGGCTCTGAAAACTCTCTGATGATGCACTTGTAGCAGGTGCACTTGTACCTTGGTTGTCGTGTGGATATAACATGTGTAGTGTAGGAGAAGTAACAGCACAGCTCTCACTGTGGCAGCTCGGGTCAGAGTCCTGCACCTGGTCATGTACCCGCGGACTTAAGAGAGCCTCGAGTCCACGGAGCAGGTGTCCGCAAAGTCCTGTCAGGCGACTGCTAAACTTACATCTGTAAGTGCTGCAGAGTTCTACGCAGGTCCTTTAGACTGCAGTCACCAGACGGTCTGCACGGGCGCACCTTAGTCCTGGGTTGGTCCTGGTTTAGTCCTGGGTTGGTCCTGGTTTAGTCCTGGGTTGGTCCTGGTTTAGTCCTGGGTTGGTCCTGGTTTAGTCCTGGGTTGGTCCTGGTTTAGTCCTGGTTTAGTCCTGGTTTTAGTCCTGGTTTAGTCCTGGTTTAGTCCTGGTTTAGTCCTGGGTTGGTGCTGGGTTGGTGCTGGGTTGGTGCTGGGTTGGTCCTGGGTTGGTCCTGGGTTGGTCCTGGGTTTTGTCCTGGGTTGGTGGCTGGGCTTGGTGGGCTGGGTTGGTGCTGGGTTGGTGCTGGGTTGGTGCTGGGTTGGTGCTGGGTTGGTGCTGGGTTGGTGCTGGGTTAGTCCTGGGTTAGTCCTGGGTTTAGTTCTGGGTTGGTGGCTGGTGGTTGTCCTGGGTTAGTCCTGGGGTTAGTCCTGGGTTAGTCCTGGGTTAGTCCTGGGTTAGTCCTGGGTTAGTCCTGGGGTCCTGGGTTCTGGGTAGTCCTGGTTAGTTGGGTGCTGGGTTGCTGGGTTGGTGCTGGGTTGGTCCTGGGTTAGTCCTGGGTTAGTCCTGGGTTGGTGCTGGGTTAGTCCTGGGTTAGTCCTGGGTTAGTCCTGGGCACGGGCACCTTTTATGGTGGAATGTTAACAGTTGTCCAGGCGGGTGCAGGTCTGTAATAATGGACCTGTGCAGGACTCTGGGTCGGGTCACGTTGGTCATGTGCGGTGATCGCGGTGGCCCAACATGCGACAGCCCTACTCTTTAAAGCTCCACTCTGGGACATTAATTCTCCACTGTGGGACTTGTTTAATGCTCCACTCTAGGACATCCTTAGTGCTCCCTTCTGGGACATCTCTTCCACTCTGGGACTTGTTTAAAGCTGCACTGTGGTACTTTATCTGAGTGTGATACGTGCTCTTTGTGTGTCTGTGTTTACCTGGCCCTGAGTCCACATGGCTCCATCCACGTCAGAGATAGAACAGGAATCTTAAACATTTCACGCTTACTTATTCTCTGAACTGGAGCTGTCACAAAACTAAAATAAAAAAGGGAAAAGTTAAAGACTCCGTACTTTATACAATATCAAACTGATAAAAAAAAACACACACAGTGATTAATCAACTAAACGTGACTAGTTGTTGTATTTTGAGACGTTTTTAGTAACAAATACAGAGACATTATTAAATCAAAATATCAAAAAAGAGTGAAGTTTTTTTTTTTTTATTTCATCCACAATATACCAGTAGATACCAGTATGTTATTAATTGGTGGATTTCAGTTTCCGTATTTATTTGGGAATATATATATTTTTAATCATTTGTTTAATCAAAAAAATCACAAAAAAAGTATAATTGTTCCTTTCAGTGATATTAAATATACATTTTACTGATACCTCCTCAACATAAGGACACAACTAAATGTAAGAAATTATACAAATACTTTTTAAATCCTCTTTATTCTTAAATAGTGTATTTTTTAGGCTTTTGTAATGATATTATTGTAGAACATAATTCGTTAATGTTTTTTTCTGTAAGTTTATTCTTCTGTTCTGTAGGTCTTTTTCCTGAGCACCTGATCGAGGTCATGAGTCGGGAGCTGGCTCTAGAGTGCGACTACATCAGAGAGGCCAACTGCGCAAAGACGTTTAAGTAAGTAATACTGGAAGGAATCTAACCCACAACCTCTTTTATACGGAGGGAGGAGACAGGCTAACCACTCTGCCACATGTAACAGGGAGGAGGGAGGAGAGGAGGGAGGAGAGGAGGGAGGAGGGAGGAGAGGAGGGAGGAGAGGAGAGGAGGAGGAGGAGAGGAGAGAGGAGGGAGAGGAGAGAAGGGAGAGGAGAAGAGAGGAGGAGGAGAGGAGGAGAGGAGGAGGAGGAGAGAGGAGGAGGAGGAGGAGGAGAGGGGAGGAGGAGAGGGAGGAGGGGGAGAGAGAGAGAGAGGAGAGAGGAGGAGAGGAGGAGAGGAGAGGGGAGAGAGTGGAGGAGGAGAGAGGGGAGAGTAGTGGAGGAGGAGAGAGGGGAGAGTAGAGGAGGAGGAGGAGGGATGGATGGGAGAGTAGAGGACAGAGTCGGCATCAGAGCTCATCTACTGGAGGGGCATGGGTCACCAGCAGGGGGGGGCGCTGCCATTTGAGAAATATTTTAACGCGGTGGAGTCATACACAGCAGAAATGCTATCAAACACGTTTTTCTTTAACAGTATTAGGCTAATTATGTGTTGTTGTTATAATCATTATTATATTAAGATTATTATTATTATTAGCTGCAATAGTTGTTGAGGCTGTGTGGTAGACGATACACACACAAGACAATAATAAAAGGTTGAGGTTTATTAAAAAACAATAAGGCCTGACACTGGTTGTAAACATTAAACAACAGCCTCTCGTCAAAAACACCTCTGAACTCGAAATAGTCACACATCGGACAGCACCAGGGCTGTAGTGAACGTGGTACACGAGTCGCCGTCCAGTCCAGTCCTGTCCTATAGAGACCTGAGACTTGAGGAGGGAGGGACTAAACCAGGACTAAACCAGGACTAAACCAGGAGGACTAAACCAGGACTAAACCAGGACTAAACAGGACTAAACCAGGTAAACCAGGACCAGTGGCGGCTGATGGTATAATTTTTGGGAGGGGCACCAAGGGCAAAAATTATAAATATATATTATGAATAATATATGTTTTATATATATAGGCTGTAGTATTATAACAAATACCAGAAACAGACATTTTGGTTAGTATTGGCTGAACAGTATCGATCAGAGCACAATGAACAGCCAAGCGCAAACTTTATGCAACAACACAACGTAACACGCCGCTCACACCCAGACCCAACAACGTCAGTAAAACTACAATAAGAGACATGAACACAGATGCCGCTCCTACAGCACACGACAGAACAACCAGAGCAGCTCCATCGCACCCACCAGCTCATTTACGCACTATTTAACTATTAACACTATAACACTATTTAACTATTAACACTATAACACTATTTAACTATTAACACTATAACACTATTTTAAACTAGTAACACTATAACACTATTTAACTAGTAACACTATAAACACTATTTACCTGTGAGGCTCCAAGTTCAGATTTGCCACAAACTAATGAAAACCAGCCTCTTACCTTCTCCAGAGACTGAAGCAGAGTGTTTCCTCTATCCACTGTCCCACTGGTTCTGTTTCCAAAAGTCTATTGTCCAATATGAAGAGATGAAACTGGTCCAAATCCTGGTCCAGTCTGGTCCGAGACGCAAGGTCCAGGAGCCGAGTGCACGAGCGGTTGTCAAATTAGTCTTAATCCCACTTCCCACTTACATCTGAAAGTTACGGTCAGTCCATATCAGCACCAGGACACCAGGTAGAATTATGCCTCTGCGCCCGATGCTCAGGTCAAACTTTTACACCCAGAAACGAGCGGGCAAAGGCGGATAGAGCAGCGAGCGACTGCCCTGGCCCCGGCGGCGGCAGCAACTGCCCCGGGTCCCGGCGGCGACTGCCCCGGGTCCCGGCGGCGGGTCTGTCAGTGTCTTTGACTCTATTCTCGCCATTTCCTGTGTGGAGCTTTAGGCTAAAGTAGCAGCTGCCGCTAATCGTGAAGCTGCTACAAGTTGACGCAGCAGGTTGAGTGACAGGACAGTTGTCCAATCACACTACAGTAAATAAACAGACACTGTGATGTCATTGATGTCACAGTAAAGTTTGTGTCCTCAGCCCGAAGTGAAATGCGCCAATCAAAATCATTTTAAAATAGTCATAATAACGGCCTGTGCTGGGGGGTGGGGCACCAGTGGCCGCTAGGGGGGGCACGGCCCTCAAATGCCCCACCTTGCCGCCGACACAGGTAGAGGAGGAGGAGAGTGGGGAGCAGAAGAGAAGAGGACGAGCAGAGAAATGAGATGTACATCCCTCTCAGATCAGTCTAACATCATTGTTTTGTTAGGGAGCTGTTGAAGGACCATCCTTTCTTCTATGTCCCTGACGTGGTGGAGGAGCTGAGCAGCCAGCAGGTCCTGACTCTGACTCTGGTCCCGGGATTTCCTCTGGACAAGGCCTCAGATCTGGACCAAGAGCTCAGAAACCAGGTATGAAACAGTGGAATGTTGAAAAAGCGTTAATACACTTGTAACCCACCCACAACCAGTCTAACCCCACCTCCACTTCCAACCACCTGCTGTACTCTGTGAGATGTAATACAGTATGTGTGAGTCAGTACCCCGACCTGCTCTGGTCACTTTACTTCACAGCTCATTAACTTCAACAGTATCGATTTATCATAATTTAAACCCCTGGGAATATTTTTTACTAAACAGAATGATGTAAAATGCAGGCCTTCTTTGCAAACATGGACTTTCAGTCCAACTTCATTTAAACTGATCTTGAAGTCCACGTGTGTTCTTCTGTGTGTTCTTCTACATTCTAGACTCATACAGATAAACACATGTGCAACTTCAGCTCTGGAGCTGTACATGAGCTCACCACTGGGGGCAGCAGTGAACACAGCTTGAGTTTGAGTTTAAAGAGTTTAAAAAACTTTTCTGGTCAAATGCTTTTCTCCATGGAGATGTTATTTATTTGTCTTGAATGTTTCACAGTATGACATTAAACCTTTCTATCTTCATGGAGACCAAACCAGACCAAGTTCCACATCAGATCTATGGAGAGGCTCACAGTCAGAATGTCTGTTTTTCTAGATATTTTTGAGTTGTAAAATCACCTATAATTGAATAAATGTAAATCAGAGCTGTTTAATGTCACACTGTGGAACATTCTAGACAGAGCAGTGACTTCTCCATAGAAACAAGCAGGTGATGGACCCCCAACACAAAAGTTACACAGTGCATCTTTAAGCTAAACTTTTTAAAAAGTAAGTAGAACAAACTGCAAAACAAATAAATGCTTCTTTTTTTCTTTGCCCTGCTTAAAGGAAACACATAAAACACAAAGCTTAATTTTATTTTAAAACCCTTTAGTGCAAAGAAATGTAATTACACTTATGATTTTCCTTGCAAAGAGAAGCACATTAATAGACTGGAAATTCTTTTGTAGTCATTTCATATCAACATATTTTTGGGGATAATTATCAAAATCGATTCTATACATTGACCATAGAAAAACACATTTGTAGATCTCTATTTGGCATTTTACATGTTCTGATTCTTGTCTTGATCTCGTCTCTTGTACAGATCTGTGAGGAGATCCTGATCCTCTGTCTCCGGGAGCTGTTCGAGTTCAGGTTCATGCAGACTGACCCCAACTGGTCCAACTTTTTCTTCGACCCTGAAACACACAAGGTTTGTATTTTAAATATTTTCAATCTTTTCATCTTATTTGTACCAGATTTTTACCATTTTTAACCATAAGTGAAAAACTATATATAACTGTACAATCAATCCAGTCAAACTTTGTTTTGTTTATGAAATGTCGTGTCCAAAGTGCTGCACATAAACAAAGTAAAACATTAATAGAAACAATTATGGATGCGACAAGATACAATTTCCACAACACAGGACAAGACACGAGACTGGAACTACGAGAACGAGACGAGAAGAGATTTTGATATTCTTTATAATACATAACTTCCAGTTAATTTAAATTAAGTTAATTTTCAGCATGTGTGCACAATCTCATGGCAATTTTTCCTCGTGAGATCTTGTGGCACAAGATCTTGTTCCATCTCTAGAAACAGTAAAGTAATGAAATCCATGAATAAAAATAATAAAATCAATCAATAAATAAAAAAATACACAGAATAGTTGATATTAAATGGTCTGTAGCTGTCTAAAGTTATCCCTCACTTTCTTAACACAATCCTCATATCTTAATTATTCACTGACATGAGACCAGAGTGGAATTTCTCAGTCATGGTACTGTTAACAACAACTAGCATGTTAATGGAGCATAAAAAGATTTATGCTTTGATGCAAACGTCACACAGCAGACTTGTGTTGTATAAGCAGCTCTTGAGGTCAGTATATCTGTACTGGAGCTGGACACATTTTGCTCATGTACATGGTGAAAAGTTGTAGTTCTATTCATTATTTTTACCGTGTGTGTGTTTTTCAGGTGGCTCTGTTGGATTTCGGAGCATGTCGAGGTTTTGATAAAAGCTTCACTGACACTTACATAGAGGTGTGTAAAGGACAAAGACACACATGTACATATTTATTTATAAATGTTTCATTATTAGGGAAGGGATGAGACGGTTTTGACGGAGACAAAACACACCACAAGATTGAGTCCATGAGAAGGAAACGAGACAAGATTTTGACATCATTTGTAATAAACACAATCCATTGCACAATTTTGGCTTCACTATTTTTATTTTCTGTAATACCTCAGCGGTCATTGTAGTTCTGCTTTTTGGAACTACAGCTTCTCAAATGATATAACTCACCAGCTCTTACTCTTTTTTTTTTTTTTTTTTAGTCCAGTTCAAAGGTAAATTCAGGGGGAAATTCTCATGATAATTTTTCTCATGTGGCAAGTTTGTCTTGAGAGATCTTGTGGCATGAGCTCTTCTCCCATCCCTATGAATCATTTTACATTTTGTGTTTGTTGTAGGTGATAAAGGCAGCTGCAGATCAGGACAGAGACTTAGTTCTGCATAAATCCAGAGAAATGAAGTTCCTCACAGGATTTGAAACAAAGGTAACACAACCACATATTATTAGGATTTTGATTTACAAATTGACTTTTACTCTTAAATTATTAAAATTCTACTATAATTTGACTTCCTGGGTGGACATGGGCAGCAGATCTCTGCATGTGTCACACATGTAGAGGTAATTCTATAACAGTTATCTAGCAACAGTAACGTAAACAAGGACCAATAAAAATGTATAATTGATATAAAATGATAAAAATTGACCACAGGTACCATCCCACCAAACCAAGTCATGATTAATAAGACCTGAAGCCTTATCATATGCACGATTGTGATTTAATAATTAAACCATGACTCATTTTGCTACCTTAACAACCCTTAAAGGTGCACTGTGTGACTTTTTGGTTGGGGGTTTCTATGGATATATTATTGCTCTGCCTGGAATGTTCCACAGTGTGACATTAAACAGCTCTACTTTGGATTTATTCAATTACAGGTGGTTTTACTTTAGCTCAAAAATACCTAGAAAAACAGACAAACAAACATTCTGACTGTGAGCGGAGTCGCCTCTCCACAGATTGTTTTGGTCTCCATGATGGTAGAAAGTTTAATGTCATAGTTGCTTTGTTTACATGAGAGCTTTAATTCTGAATAAAAATAACTTCATTCTGAATTAAAATTAATTCCGCTTTAAAAAGACCATGTAAACACTTAATTCCTAATGAAAATTATTCGGAATTAAACTCAATTCCTAAGTAAGTGGGTGGTTTATTCCGATTTTAAAGCAGAAATTAATTTCTTCCTGCATCATGTAAATGTTTATTCTTCTTAAAAATAATGGATCCTTACGATCCGGCTGCACCAGTCCTGTCTTGGGATTTTCATCCACGTCTCTTTGGGATTTGTGAGCGGGATGTGGGAGGGGGCTGAGGTAGAGCAGCCTCACACTCACTTTGTCTTCTTCCTCCTTCTCCGACACTCTTCCCTTCTCCTCCTCAGCTGACAGACGTAAAGCGTGATGAGAGAATTCTCCAACTGCTGTGCAATTATCAGGAAAAAAAAGTGTGAAAAAAGTTTGGATCATGTTTGTGTCTGTGGCGTAACGACAGATGACAGAAAAGCCCGTAGCAGCTGAAGTGTGTGTTTTCTTCTGGTCGACATAAATACGTTCATGTCCCTGTTCAATCAGAACCCTTCCCCACCTCCAGACGATGAGACGATGTAAACGTGGCCATTGTGAAAGTGTATTCTTCTTGTTTTTCAGTCGATGGAGAACGCTCACGTGGACGCCGTCATGATTTTGGGAGAGGCCTTTTCCTCGGACGAACCCTTCGACTTCGGGACCCAAAACACCACGGAGCAGATCCACTCACTCATTCCCATCATGCTCCGAGAGAGGCTGACCCCGCCCCCTGAGGAAACCTATTCGCTGCACCGGAAAATGGGCGGGTCCTTCCTCATCTGCTCCAAACTCAAGGCAAAGATTCGCTGTAAAAATATGTTCCAGGAAGCGTATCAAAACTACTGGAGGGACTCTTCCACCGACAACGCTGGCAAATGAAATCCACTTTGCTAGAAGCGTGTATTTTACCATCCAAAACCTGTACAATGAATTTTCATTTTAGGCTTAAATGTTGTATTTTTGTATAGCGCAGGAAGTATGACGTAATCCTTTATTCATCCAGGAGTGGTTCAACGTAGAAAAGGTTTCAGCGGTGGTCAGCTGGACTTTAAAGGTCTTATATCACACAAAATTGGCTTCTGTGAGCAATAGCCACATTATAATGTTGTCCTCAAAAACAGACCTGGAGTTGTTTTATTAGTAGTCTCTTGCACTTTGTGACGTCACGAAGCGGTAGTTTTCAAGTTAAGAGCTCCTTTTACTTTTTTAGTTTAGTAGAAATTAACAATTCCAGGGTTGAAATGATCCAAATGATTCAAGTGAAGGTGTGTGGGGTTTAAAAACACAGTGTATGGCATCAGTTTGAGAAGAACTCGGTCTAAATATGCAGGGTTTTTGTGTTGAACTTGTAGGAATGAAACAAAACACAACTCCAGGTCTGTTTGTGATGAGGAAACTATCTAAAAATTATCTAAACTCAGAATAAAATAAATCCAAACCAAACTGAAAATGGCCTCTGGATGGAGTTGAAACATATTGAAGCAAAATTGTTCCGATCTGAGCACCGTTGAAACCTTCTCTTCACAGCGCAGGGTTTTCAAAATATAGGTCAGTGGGTCAGAGATTCAAAAACTGGAAAACGGAAAAGGAAAAATGACTAACAAGAAGTTGAACTGGTTTAAAATGTATCCCATAACACAGATTGGGAATTAGGAATCAAATATTTAAAATTTTAACTTTAAAAGTGCACTCTGTAACTTTCCCTGCAGATGGTCTGCTATGTCGTCTCTGTGGATGCATTACCTTCCTTGGAATGTTCCACCGTATGGCATTAAAATACTAGTATCTGTCTTGGGTTTACTCAGCCTTTCCACAGATCTGGCCTGTAAATCGGTTTGGTGGCATCAGCTGCTTCACTTCACAGAGATGGACGACTTTAATGCCGTACTGCGGGACTTTATAGGGCAAGGCGATAACATTACCGTGGAGACCCCCCCGCCAGAAATGCTCCACAGTGAGTCTTTAAATGAATGACAATAACGTGCTGCCGCTGAACTGGAACATTTTTGCTTTTTTAGACGCACAAGTTAATGGAAGTGTTACATGAACGGGTCTGAAGTGGGATCACGTGACTGGATTTAAACGAAACAGGATTTAAGATCTTATTTGTTTGCATTTTAATTTAAAATCATGAATTGGTGCTGAAACTGGTCTAGAAATGTGACAACTTTCAGGTCAAATAGTGTGCATGTAAAGGGTCAATCAGCACCAAACACAACACACCAAAACAATGGAAACAACATGTAGCATTAATAAAGAGAGAAACCACATTTTAGCTGCATTAACAAAAGGGAAAATCACTCAGACACGAGGAGGTGAAACTGCGTTAGTAGAAATGAGTTATTTGTACTTTTTAGGCCTGAACTCTCCAGCACAGGCCCGGGTTTAGTTGGACGACCATGTTTAGAAAATGAATTTAGTCTTATTATATAGAAGACAAATTTGTAAAAAGTGTTAAATGGATTATTTAGCTTTTTACAAAATTGTGTTGTTAGAAGGAAACCAAAGGTCGATGTGCTGCTTAAAGAACATGCTTCATTTGAATGAAGAACTCCACAAAATGTTTTACACATTTCTCTTAAAGGTTTGTGTTTAAAGGACAGCGGGTGAGTTTTTAGTCGATTAAAATTGCAAAATTTGAGGAAAAATGATCAAAATCTGCTCTACATCTTTGCCTAAAAATATCGGCAGATCTTATCGGTGATCGGTTTCTCTGGATTTGACATTGGTTTCTAGTAGGAATTAGTTTTAAAGCACCAAAAAATAACAGTGATGCAAGTTGCACTATGTAATATCTGTGGGAAAAGTCCATCACCTGCTTGTTTCCATGGAGACGTTACTGCTAATACTGTAAAACTTCTCTATCCTGCAATTTATTCAATAATTCTTTTAATGGCCAATAACATTCTGAAGTACATGCGTTTTTCTGTGACTGGACTCGCCTCTCCACAGATCTGACCACAGTGCACCTTTTAGACCTTTATACTAAGAGACTCAAAGACAGTTTTACTTGGATTTCACCAAATTTTGCTTCAAGCCAAAATCTGAATACATTTAATTGACTTTTTATATTATTTGTTACATAAAAGTACCAAACATTTCACTAAAAATATGGACTATTAAAATATGTGGATTCAAGCTCGTTATGCAAACAGGACGCAGATACAGTAGAGTTTTGTTTGGAAAAAGTCATTTGCAGTGTTTTTACTCATTTACTCACATCTCTAAGTAAAATGTGTTGAAATCATCCCTGGAAAACTAGCATTAAAACGTGTATGTTCTGTTTCCTGCATAAGTCCGTGGTTTTAAATCATGTGCATAGATTTGTACTGTTATTTGAAAGACTGTTACATGTCTATGATTTTGAATTGTTTAAATAAAATTTGCTGTTGCTAAATACTGTTTGAAGACTTGGAGAGTCTATATTAGGCTGTTTTCTGATCGATGTTATGTTTTGTCGTCACAAACAGACCTGGAGTTGTTTTGTTTCATTCACATGTTTAACACAAACCTGAACATTTAGTGTTTTGAGTTCTTCTCTCAAACTGAAAACTCTGTTCCACCTTGTGATGTCATTTGGTCATACAGGAAGTGCTCCACTGCGTTTTTAACTCCATACACCTTCAAGTGGACCTACCAATCTCTACTGAACAAAAAGTAAATGGAGCTCTTAACTTAAACTACCACTACATGACATCACAAGGTGGAACAGCATTTTGAGCAGACTAATGAAGTGTTACCAAACATGTGAATGAAACAAAACACAATTCCAGGTCTGTTTTTGAGGAGGGAACATAACATGGCTAAAAGTTCACAAGAGTCTGTTCTGTTTAATATAGAACCTTTTAAAGATTCATTATGTAACTTTTCTGGTGAGGGGAGGTACTGCCTGCATATCTCCATGGAGATGAGCAGTTCCACACTATGGTATAAATCTAAATTACATATCTTCGAGTTGCCTGTCTCCATGAAAAGAAGTTGTCTTATTGTGGAACATTTCAGGCATAATAAAATCGCCATGGAGACAAGCAGGTAGAGAACCCTCCACCATTTCTGCCAGCACAACAAACACTTCACATACACCTTGAGTCTTTTTATTACAAAAACATTTAGTTGATGCTTATAAAACAGTAAATGTGTGATGATAAATATGTGACGACTCTGTTCAGATCCTGGTTTGAGGAGCAAGTTTCTCCACCTGAATCGTGACGTTGGAGAATCCAAACTGTGAGCAGAGCAGGTCTGAGGCTCTCATCAGGACCTGCTGCGAGTCTGAGTCCTCCTCTAGGGAAAAAACAGAAGTCAGGTTAGATCAGAACTTTATTTCAAAAGAGTGAATCTAAACAGGGCTGGCAGTACTGGGAGACGGCTCAGAATATCAGCTGCCACAGGGGGGCAGTAGTGGCTCCAGACACTTTAGATCAGGGGCGTCAAACTCATTTTGGTCCGGGGGTCGAATCCAACCAACTTTGATCCCAAAGGGGCCAGATCAGAAAACTCATGTCATATAAACCCCTAAAATAACAATAAGTTCAAATATTTGTGCAGAGAAACACAAACCTATTCTATTCTATTCTATTCTACAGAAATCTTTTTTAATTGATGAACTCTTTCTTTTACAAAATATTATAATATTATGAACAACCTGAAACTTTAAGAAAAATGCAATTTCAACACAATGTTTTAACACTAACTTGTATGTAAATAGGAATAAGTAAATTTTTCTTGGAAAATCCTGCGCTCATCGTCAACTTTTCTCATGTTGGACATTTTTCTGATGAGGGTGTCACGGTCAACAGTCAAAACGATCGTCCTTTAAGAGCGTTTGGAAAGAGACAAGTCTTCATTTGTGCTGCTCTGGTGGGAGGGGCCACGTACAGAGACGCTGGAGACGCTGCTGTGATAAACACCACAGAAAATGAACAATATTTTAATGGAAAATATAATTAAAATATTTTAGTAGAAAATCGATCAAGGGCCAGATTAAAGGTCTTGGAGGGCCGGATCCGGCCCCCGGGCCGTATGTTTGACGCCTGTGCTTGTGTGTGTGTGTGTGTGTGTGTGAGAAACTGCTTCTCAGTGGCCTTTGTGTCTCAGTGCAGTTTAACAGGAGTCTTAGTTAAATCTCATGATATGATGTTAAAAACTGAGCTCAAAAAACAAAAAGTTTCTAAATCTGCTCTGTGCTCACCCACACTGCCCAGTATGATGTGGTGTGTGAGTGAATGTCAGTGGTGATCAGAGGGGTTGATGGTGCAGATCGGAAGCCCCAGGGCAGCTGTGGCTACCATCACTGAGTGTAGAGTGAATGAAAAATACTGTGAAGCGTCTTTATGTGTCTTTAAAGATGCTCTATAAATCCAGTGCATTATTATTCATCTCAATCTGCATAATGTGATTTAATTTAACATCATCTGGGCTCTGACCTGTAATAACATGCACGGACAGCAGGGGGAGACTGAGGCTGAGGCCCCACACTCTGAGGCTGTGCACAGACACGACCCCAGACACGGACAGCAGGAGGGCACGCACTGACTCCACCTGCACGTGCTCCGGACACGCTGGGAACACACGGGATTACAGGACTTATTTTATTATAGCATCAAATACAATCAAATAAAATGTATTTAAACACTGAATTAGACGACAGCAGACACAATAGACATGTTACTCTACATTAAAAGACACACAACAATGACCAAAATATAAGATTGTGTACCTTCCATGAGCACTCTGAGGACATCTTTAATGACCGGAAATGTGGTCCATAAAACCAGAGCAGAGAACAGGAACGTACAGATGGGGTCAGCTGCTTTATACTCAGGCTGGAGACACACAGGATATGATATATGACAAGAGGGCATCTGACACATACAGTGATATAGTAGTAGTAGTAGTAGTACAGGAGCATCATACACACAGTGATATAGTAGTAGTAGTAGTAGTAGTAGTAGTAGTAGTAGTAGTAGTAGTAGTAGTACAGGAGCATCTGACATACACAGTGATATAGTAGTAGTAGTAGTAGTAGTAGTAGTACAGGAGCATCTGACATACAGTGATATAGTAGTAGTAGTAGTAGTAGTACAGGAGCATCATACACACAGTGATATAGTAGTAGTAGTAGTAGTAGTACAGGAGCATCTGACATACAGTGATATAGTAGTAGTGGCAGTAGTAGTAGTAGTTGTAGTAGTAGTAGTAGTACAGGAGCATCTGACACAACACTAACCCTGAAGTGAATGACGGCCGCTGCGAGCAGTACGCCCACACTCTGCAGCAGGTCTCCGAGCACATGTATGAAGGCAGCCCTCACACTGGCGTTGGTCTGGACCCGACCGTGAGCGCCAGGACCACGAGAGGGACCGCGGGCCGCCCTCTGAGTCCACTCTGATTGGACGGAGCTGTGGCTGTGGGAGTGAGGGGAGCCGGGCTGGTGCAGGATCAGCACCATTCTGAAAGAGGAGGAGACAGAGTGTTTGTGGAGCAGGGTTCAGATGACAACACAATGTTCTGTGGAAACCAACGAGGTGCAGCTGAGATGAACACCGTTAAAATCAATATACTGAGTTCTTGAGTTTGTCACTAACAGAAATGACCAGGTTCAACATTTGTGAATTTACATTTTAGATATTTCATGGCAAAGTGCAAAGTTATCAAGAGAAAATCTGTCCTCGCCCCATCTGGAGTATGACATCATCACATTGAAGAATCTGAAAACAACCAGCAGTTTGTGGGGATGACCCTAGACCCATGAGAACATCCAGGAAAATGCCCCAACAGATCAGTGTCAGACAGTGGAGCGTGGAGGAGGAGGTGCTGGAGGGACCATCATGACAGGACAAACCTTCAGTGGGATCATGCTCCACCAGAACAGAACTCGAGTGTCTGATATCAGAAGTCTTCAGTGTCTACAGAGGGCTGGTCTGAAGGACAGAGGAGCACAGGAGCAGTAGAGACCCAGATCTACCACACCAGACGAGGGCCCCTGAGACTGTCCAGCACTTAAAGAAGCTCTGAGACACCAAGAGATGGGACCATCAAGAAAAAGGAACTCAAGAAACAACAGCAACTCTTTTTACCACGGGTCAAATCTTGTAACTTATTGGAAGGAGCATCAGAGCAGTGGTCTGTATACTGTAGTGGATCATTCAGATTGGTGCATTTGACAGAGCCACCTGACCTTTGAGAAGGCTTCAGACATGACAAACAATCATTTTAGGTAGTGCATTCCATTGTGTTCTTTTGTCAAACTCTAAATAATTATAAAATACAGATAAAATAAAACTGTAGAGCCTTGCACTCGACACAAAACACTACGGTGCAGGACACATTTTGAAAGCTCATTGCGGCACAGGCAGAACGAGACTGCACGATGCAGGAGCAGGCGGGTGGGATGATAAACTATAGTCCTGCAAACTGAGTGTAAAGTGACATATACAAATGATTCATGTCTATCATACATCATTTATGCTGGATATTTTATTTTGGCATTAATAAAAACATTTTAAGCAGCCTAAACTTGCAGATGTGGTCTAATCACTCACACATTTGAGACAATTCCTTTCCACTTCTCCATGTTTGATTGAACTTAAGTGTGTTAAGTGGTAGAAGTATTTAAATATGTGGTTAAATGTAATGCCTGTGATCTACTGGACCATTTCAGAAGCAGAAGTCCTGAAAGCTGCAGTTTGAACATAAAAATTCCAGGGGCTCAGAGGAGACCTGGAGAAGGACTGAAGGTGAAGGCCTCAGTGGTGTCTGTGGTCAACTGAGCACTCAGGGCAGTGACCACCAAACTGGAGGAGCTACAGCAGATCCCAGGAGAAACATGTCAGTCCAGAAAAGTGGAGTACAGGAACAGCAAAGATACTGCAGAACCCTCAAGCTCCCAGACCTCTGAGGACCAGAGCTTGGACAAAGGATGAGACCAGCTGCTGATTACTGACATGTACATGACACATTCTCACTACTCACAGCACATTGACGAGCACAGCGCAGGCAGATGTTATTAGCATGATTTTGGTGTCTATGTGGAACTGTCCCTCTGAGAGTCTGAGCACAGCAGCCCAGAGCAGAGCAGCCGTGACCCCCCAGATGGAGAGGACGGACACGAGCATGGCCAAGATCTCTGGGAAACAGGAAGTCCTCAGGTAAGAACACTGTTATTAAGTGGTCATAGAAAAGTGTGATGTTCAGGCTGACCTGCGCGGTGCCACCCGAACGTCATGGTGTCTGTGGGTGATCGAGCAGACAGCCAGAGGGAGCAGAGAGAGAGAAGCACGCTGCACACGTCACTGAGGAGGTGAGCTGCATCTGTGAGCACGGCCAGACTCTGGGACAGGTACCCTCCTACACAGAGGTAATATAAAGGTTTGTGTTAAAGGTTAGGTAAAGTTTTGTTTTTATTTTATTCATGAGTTACTGAGTTTGTGTTTCATCTATTTGAAAATGTATTAATTAAACAGAATTTATATATATTCATACGCAGTATTTTGGTTCCAGACACATAGTTGACCAGCAAAAGAATATTAAAACATCAAAAATAAAGTGAAGAAAACTAAATTTAAACATCAGTATAATGGTCAAAATAAAACACAATAAACCTCAAGAGATTTCAGACTTCTTTAAATGTGAATGCTCCTGAGCGCGTTGTAATTTCATATAAATAACATACGTATACGTTCATGTGTTTTGCTCTTCTCACCGATGACCTCTCCAGCCATAAAGAGGAGGCCCAGCACACAGGCCAGCCACAGCTTCCTCCGAGCAGCTCGCCTCGACTCCTGTCCTGCTCCCAGAATCCCTGGAGTCCCGGTAGACTGGTTCAGACCCTGGTTTAAATCCTGGTTTAGATCTTGGGTCAGATCTGGACAGACGCCTCTGGAGGACCACGGGGCCTCAGCACTGCTAAAGTCCTCCTCTGAGTCCCAGGGAGTCTCCTCTGAAGAACTCCGACTGAAACACAGAAGATTAAGAAAAACAGCAGATACACAGAGCACCAGACAGCCCAGAGGTAAACTACTGTAGCCACAGCTGCCCTGAGGCTGCTAATGTGAACCTCTGACCCTTCCAACCAACACCAGCACCCACACACAACAGTCTGCACTAAAGTCACTGCTGCTGCGCCGTTATGTTCCCTGGGTTTCCCAGCAGTCTCCCATCCCCGTACAGCACTAACCAGGCTCAGCCCTGCTCTGTATGGAAGATCATTTGTTCCATCAGATTTTTCATTTTAAATACCACTGAATTTCTTAATACACGGAATACTCAAGTATTTTAAAGATTTTAAGTATACTTTTTCAGTACATTTCAAATTCAAAATAAAAATTTCACTTTTTAAATATTCAGCACAGATATTTTCAATTTCTCACATTCAACAGTCAAAATTCGGAGTTTAAAATTCAAAGTGAAAAATTTCACAGCAAAGAGCCAAAACACCAAGACAGAAACAATCGATCCTGTGTGAGCGAGGAGGACAGAGGCTGTTTCCTATTGGCTCCTCTCATCTGTGGGCGGGGTTTACACTTAAGAAATAAAAGAGATGAGGTTTGGATGAGGCAAATTCTGACCAATCAAATCACTTCACTGCACCATTTCCTGCTTAAGTTAGATCGGATCATCTTGGATCTTTCCTGCTAATTTTCTTCACTGCGAATTTTGACTGATGAATTTAAGGACTTGAAAATATTTGCACTGAATATATAAAAGGTGATTCTAATATATATATATATATACGTGTGATATATATATATATATATATATATATATATATATATATATATACATATATATACAATATATGTATATATATGTGTGTGTGTGTGTGTATATATATATATATACATATATATATACACACATATATATATATACATATATATACACATATATACACACATATATATATATACACGTATATATATATATATATACATATATATATATATATATACATATATATATACATATATATATACATATATATATACATATATATATATATATATATATATATATATATATATATATATAAATAACAGGGAGAGAGAGAGAGAATTTTTAACACGTTGAAAATGTACAAATATAATTTCAAAAAATAATTAAAATGTTTTTTAGTTGTTTTTTTTTCCAGAGTTCAAATTTCAAATTCAAAATCTGATGAAACACTTGATCTTCCACAGCTCTGCTTGGTGGTGGTCTGACCTCAGTGGACATGAATATGTTTAATGTCATACCATGGAAGATTTCAGGCAAAGCAAAACCACCTCAGTGGAGAAGCAGATGACAAACCTTTCACTATAAGTTACCAAAAAATCCATGATTACGAAATAATGTAGAACTTCTACTTCTTTCTCACTTATTTCTGAATTATTGGAAAGCCCTGGGGAAAGATTTTCCCCGACATCTTGCATTTGAAATAATCTGATGTCTAATAATTTGCCTCTTACCATGTGTGGGGCTCCAGCTGAACATCTATCAGTTTTTGTTTCTCCAAATCCTCAGTTTCCATTATAAAAACTAGACTTGTCTTTGGTCCATTGAGTTTGATTCTGACACCTGCTCCAGTCTCATCAGAGAGTTTTATCAGGAGAGGAGGAGATAAGCTCCACCAATGGAAACTCAGGAAAACAGTGAGTCGAAAGGCAAAAGAGGCAATACAAGAACAGTTTATTTTATTATAACTTTAAAATATGATATAAGAGGAATGTGGCATGATTGACAGCAGACAGACTGTCTCAAATTACAACAGGCACTTTCAAAACATGTCAAAATAAGATATTCAAATAACAGTAAAAACTGAACAATGTTTAAAATGCAAATAAGAACTTCATGTTCTTTTGATACTGATGCAGCTGACGTCATCAAGTTTCCCTAGGGTTGATGCTGATGCTAGCTGGTGGCACTGCTCTGTCTCAAGTTTTCTGATCTATATTATTATGTTGTTTCCTCATCAAAAAAAAAATTAATACCTGGAGTTTCATTCACATGTTTCACACACAAACCCTGTGGACTCACTCAAACAGAAAACACTCTGCTCCACCTTAATAATGCAGGATTACCCAAACATTTGTGAATGAAACAAAACTAATCACAACTCCAGGTCCATGTTTTTGAGGAGGTAAGAACATTATAACATGACATAATGCTCACAAGAGTACATTTTGTGTCAATTTAATAATCTTTAATAAAATAAAATCCATCCACTACGGTGAATTTCAGTGAATCATGACTATAGAGGAATTTGTACGCAATGGTATTTTTTTCACATTTATATTTTAAACACTGACAGTTTTTTCAATCATTGACTTTGCATTTTTAACCGTTTAAAATGTTATAATAGATAGGACCAGAGGAGGAGGAGAGGGTCAGGGAAGGTCAGATGGAAAAGAGGAGAGAGTCAGAGGAGCAGAGGAGAAGGTCAGAGGGTCAGAGAAGCAGAAGAGAGGGTCAGAGGAACAGAGGATGAGGAGAGGAGAAGAGGAACAGAGGATGGAGATTAACATCGTTTTTTCAACATGGAAGACTGAAGATTTCAAGAAAAACCCTGAGAAGACAAAACCAAACAGTGCAGCCCCATTTGTGAAAAGTTAAACTGTACATGTGACGCTCAACACAACATTTAGAAACACACCCAGACTGCAGACGTGAGCTTAAAAGACTTGAAATCTAAATGAATCTTGTTTGGACTTTTCCAAATTACTGCCAATGCATTGACCAGTCAAACGATTTTTGACTGGGCAAATTAAGTGCAATTTTCTAAATAAACTGTGTAACATTTGCGCTGGGGAAGGGTCTGTCACCTGCTACATAGAAATGTCAAAGTTTTGCCTAGAATGTTCCAAAAGTACAGCATTAATTAATCTTATTTAAGTTTCAACTATTAAATGTCCTACTAAAAACACCTTTTCACCAACGTTTTCCCCATGGAAGCAGCTAAATCTATAATGTAATGCCATACTGTGGAATATTCCAAGCACAGGAATGTCATCTCCATGGAACAAGCAACCTTAATGCTCCACCAGAAAATTTACATAGTACATCTTTAAAATAAGAGAAACAAAATATACGAACCAGTGCGATATTTATTAACCTGCAATGTGAGGGGCTTGTCTCCTTGGAGATTTTATCATTTGCCTGGAATGTTCCACAGTATGGCATTAATCTCATATATTGCACTGTTGCATTTATTCGATTACAGCTATTTTTAGTGCAACAACAACAACAACAAAAAAACGTTAATAAAATACATTCTTACTGTGAATGGGGTTGTAAGATCGTCCCTTAGTTTAATGCCACAATTTGGAACAATCCAGGCCAGACAACGGCATCCCCATGGAAACAGGCAGCCGACCGTGCAACAGAAAAGTTACGCAGTGCTCCTCTAACTCAACAACGCATTACTCTAAGATTAACATTCCAAGTTCAAGTAATTTATCCCATTTTTGCAGTGGCAATAATTCAAAATCACATTTATAAAATTAGATGAAATACTATAGATTTGAACCATCCATATACAGACAAATATACAGAGATAAAAAGGTGTAAACCCGACAGTGCTTTTAAATATCCCAGTTACATAAGGCACAAAGTTCAGACCTTTAAAAAGAAGCATGTCTCAAGTCCTATTAAATGTTAATGTTGTATCCTAAAGTATCTGTGGTAGTTTAGTTTTTTGTTTGTTTTTTTTTTACTGAAACTGGCTTTAAAAAGGTGATTTTTTCTTTCTTTTTTAGGACTAAGCACTTCAATGAGAGGTAGCTAAACAGCAGCCAGCATGAGTGAGGAAAGAGTTTGTGTACCAGGACTAAACCAGGACTAAACCAGGACTAAACCAGGACTAAACCAGGACTAACCCAGGACTAACCCAGGACTAACCCAGGACTGGCCAAGGTCTAAAGCAGCATTGATGGATACTGATCACTGCAGACCTGGAAAACCCAACAAGAACTGCATTAAACTGAAACTGAACCAGCACTAAAGCAGGTTTAACCCAGGTTTAACCCAGGACTAAACCAGGTCTAAACCAAGGTCTAAAGCAGCACACATGTATAAGGACCACTGCAGACTGGGAACCCCCCTCAAGAGCTTAATTAAGTCAGGAATAAAGTAGGACTAAACTAGGACTAAGCCAGGACTAAACCAATTCTAAACCCAGGTCCAAACCAGGACTAAAGCACGTCTAGCCCAGGACTTAACTAGGACTAAACCAGGACTTGCTAAGGTCTAAAGCAGCACTGACGGACACTGACCACTGTAGACCTGGAAAACCCTACAAGAACTGCATTAAACTGAAACTGAACCAGCACTAAAGCAGGTTTAAACCAGGACTAACCCAGGACTAAACCAGGACTAACCCAGGTCATATTGTGTGCTTGAGTTTGGCTTAATCCATGTATTATGCATCTAATTTGCATATTAATTTGCCTCGGAATTAAAGTCTAAAATATTTCCCAAAGTTATCAGACCATTTTGGCAGCATCACAATTTAAAAATATCGTTTAAAGTGCACGTTAATCAACTTTTCCCTATGCGGTTCCCATGACAACAATAATAAAAGGATTAAAAAATAAATATTTGATTGGCTAATTGTCAAAAATCTACATTGGCACATTCAGAGAGCTGTGTAAACCACCAGAAACGCTGTTTAAAGTCAGTCTGTACGTGGGGAAGTTGCATAGTTAAAATCACCAAAGGGACCTCCAGAGATGAGAGGGGCCAAGGCTGAAGTCTCTGCCCAGTTTTGGCGTCCCGGGGTCGGGTAGACGGGCGCAGAGGGGTGGGTGTTGGTGCTTCATTTGTCTGGGAGAGCAATGGGAGGGTTACTGGGTCCAGCTCCGTTTGCCGCCTGAGGTTGGATCACGATGGGCGTATTTTCACCTGCAAAGAACAAAGAAACTTAAACTCTGCCCCCAACCACGTTTCAAATGGAGCTGGTACACTGGGCGGGGCCTGGAGGACTAAAGGGGAGAGTGAGGGGCGGGGTCTGGAGGACTAAAGGGGAGAGTGAGGGGCGGGGGTCTGGAGGACTAAAGGGGGAGTGAAGGGGCGGGGTCTGGAGGACTAAAGGGGAGAGAGAGGGGCGGGGTCTGGAGGACTAAAGGGGGGAGTGGGGGGGGCAGGGTCTGGGGGAATAAAAGGGGAGAGTGTGGTGGGCAGGGTCTGGGAGACTAAAGAGCAGAGTGGGGGTGGGGTCTGGTGGACTAAAGGGGAGAGGAAGGGGCAGGGTCTGGAGGATTAAAGGGGGGAGTGAGGGGCGGGGCCTGGAGGACTAAAGGGGAGAATGTGTGTGGGGGGGGAGGACTAAAAGGGAGAGTGAGGGATGGGGTCTAGGGGACTAAAGGGGAGAGTGATGAAGGAGGAGGGGTGGGGGTCTGGAGGACTAAAGGGAAGAGTGGGCGGGGTCTGGAGATATTTGTAATCAGAAATATAACATATATTAAAAAAAACATATATATTTAATACAGTGCGTTAGGTAAGCTTTCTGCTAGATGGTCCATCTCCTACTTGTCTCCATGAAGATGTTACTGCTTTGCCTGGAATGTTCCACAGTATGAGATTTAACTCGTTTATCATCATGGAGACAAGCAGCTGACTCCACCAGGCCAAGCTACAGGTTAGAAGTGTATTCACAATAAGGATGCTTTTTTTTTTTTTTTTGAACAGGCAGAAATAGAAAGAAGCAGGTGGCACACACTCCATCAAAACTGTAACACAGTGGAGCTTTAAGACATGGCAGAAAACAGAAATGCAAAAAATGTTAAGCAAACGTATCATGATACCAAAGTAAAACGATAAAACCAGTCAAATGCACTTGAAGTAAATACATTAGTTCATGAGTCATTTTTCCAGTTCTCTGCATGAGACCGCCAGTTTGGTAGCTACTGTTAGTCTGTTATTTCAACGTTTTGCGGCAGGATTAGTAGCACAAAAACATGTTCTATCCTGTGCATAGTTAGACCAGTATTAGTGAAGCAGCAGCAGAAGAGGACTATTGAACCTTTACCTTCTGCTCGGTCAGAGCTCGGCTGAGTGATTATAACAGAGTCTTCTTCTGCTGTGGAACAAAATAAGACTAAGAAACTCAGTACAAATTAGAGCCCTCGGCTGATATGGGCACCTCGAGGCATATCGGCTATCGGCCGATATGCTTGCTGATGGGGCCGATATTTCACGTGGGCATGTGATACGTCGTTAAAAATCTTAGACTCTCTACATTATGTTCATTTAATCCAATTTACAGACAGATAAATGTCCTAATATGTGGCTCCACATCAGTATTTATCTACGGAGTCATTTATCCGTGCGTGTGTCCATATTGTCCCTGAACACACCACAGAGTCGCTTCACTCACGTGTGTTTGTTTACATCCGCAGACACAGATCCAAACACTGAGATTATATTCTTTTTACGGGCAATCGGTTTGAGTCTGAATTAAAAGGACATTTATTAGTGCAGATTTGTGATGTGAGAGGAGCCTGTGTGAGCGGTGAGTGTTGGAAATATGTCGACTTTGAAGCTAGTTTTTGTCATTCGTTATGGATTAGCTGCTGTAGCTCCCGCACATAAACAGACTGTTTTCTATTGGTCTATTGTAAAGTGACTATATTGGCCGTATATTTGTTACTGGACCTGCACTGATATGGAAATGAGCTGTGAATAGACGTGTGAATTATGACATTTGCGCATATAATTAATTACCGCGGCGCGCACGTATTTACGGCTAAAGGCTAATAGCGCTAGTTTCTTTACTAGTTATGGGTCCGTCGCGAACGAAATGACTCTTAGAACGCGGCTCTTTGAAGCGAACGACGGGAGCCTGATCCTTATTGGGAGCCGTGTTTTCTCTTTCTCTCACTTTTTTCCTGTTCACGCCGCGTGCAGACTTGTGGTTTGACAGCGGCAGCGGCTGAAAACGAAACTTTGAGAAATTTGCGTGTACATAGGATAAAAAAAAACCAAAAAAACAAAAAAAAAAACCGAGCATATTTGGCTGTAGTTTAGCATAAAATAAATAAGTCCTGGTTTAGACCTTTTTCAGTCCTGGTTTAGACCTGGTTCAGTCCTGATTCAGTCCTGCTTTAGACGTGCTTTAGTCCTGCTTGCAACAAAACAATCTGAAGAGCCACTTGGGAGCCAAAAGAACCAGCAGCTTTTAGTGAGCCGAGCCAAAAGAGCCGGTTCTCTAAAAAGAACTAGAATACCCATCACTAGTGTCTAGAATGTGATGCAAAAATGCCATTAAGTCAACCTACTGTCTGTAAATATGATGTAAAGAGGCAGAATAACAATAAATGTTGCCTAAATAAACCCAATTTAAAATCCACCAGAGCCAAACCTAAGTTTTTTAAACAATTCAACATTTACAGTGAATTTTTACATCACTAAATATATCGGTGATTATATCGGCTATCGGCAGCGCCGACTCCCATTATATCGGTTTCATATCGGCCACAGCAAAATCCATATCGGTCGGGCTCTAGTACAAATTAGTTTTTTTTTCCCGTTCCCTGTTAAAAAAAAAAACAGGAAATATAGACCTGGATTTGAGGTCAAGTTACAATGAGAAAACAAGGCTGTTACTTTTCTACTGAAAGTCAATAACACTATATTTAAAGTTTAGGAGAAAGAGGTACAAAAGGTAAATAAAAAAGGTTTTGCTCATCTTAAGGCTATGTTCAAACTACAGGGAACAGATAGAGATTGGAAAAGTTTAGACCTGCGATTCCCAGATAACTGAGTTTGAAATAGGGATGGGCATTCGATGAAATTTTCTTAATCGATCGTCGGAAGAATTAACGATCGATTATCGATTAATCATTAACGTTTTTATATTAAAATGATCATCATTATTATTACTATCTGCACTACTAATCTGCATAAATAAATTCAACTTTACGACATATAAACCGTAACGACTCAAGAGCCACATCAGCCCGTTTGACATTATAATGTGTTTAATTCAGTTTAGCGCAACTCTCACAGAAACAAAACTTAAAACCGCATCGCTAATTTGCATAAACTCAGCGAAAATAAAACTACAGCTCTTGTGTCGCTGATGCGGTCAGTTTCTGTCGGATTAAAAGACATGACTCAGTGGAATACAGGTTAGTGTGACCAGATTTGCATTTGTCAAAACCAGGACACCGTACGGGGGGAGGGAGGTGGGGACTCATCATCGACATTGTGCGACTCTCACCTGGCAAAGCTTTTTCCCACTGGACACCGAAACATATGTGCTGCTTTGTACACTGTGCACATGGACTCTCACTTGTCCCGAACGCAACAGAAAGCCTGGAATTTCTTGTACAAGTCATCATTAAATATGCATTTGTGCTTCGGTACGTTGCAAACTGACCGAATGTTTGTGTCTCGCTCCTTCTGATGCAGAGACACATGTACAGACCTGTTTGGTCACACTACACACAGCAACCTACATTCGGTTTGTCGATTAAAATTAACGTAATCGATGAAATTCTTAATGATCAATTATCGATTAATCGATTAATCATGCCCATCCCTAGTTTGAAATTAACTTTACATAAGTTACTTGCTTCCTTTACTGCTTTAAATCCGTATTAAGCCTGTATACATTATGATATGTACTGTTAACATACGTTTGAGAAGAGAACCTTATTGTTTTTAGGGGGTCCTGTACTGCATTTTGGGTGCAATAAGTCCTCTGGTCTTATTGTTTTTTAAATTTAAATTTTAACTTTTGTTCTCTTTTTTTATTATTATTATTTATTATCATTCATGTATTTTTAGTCCTGACTTTCTTGTTTTTATGGTTTCATTTATTATTATTTACGCATTTGTTATTCCTGACCTTCTTGTTGGCGCAGTTCGTTCTCCAGGTCCTCGGGGTCGATGTAAGCGAAGTCCTCCTCTTCTTTGCCAGCACATTTGCCACAACAGAAACAGCAGCAGCATAAACAGCAGCAGCACGTGAAGATGGTGCAGCAGATCACCAGGCCCTGAACACAGTGTAAGAGAATATACAGTAAAAATCAACAACAATATAAGAGAATATACAGTAAAAATCAACAATAATACAAGGGAGGCGTCTGTGGGGTCAGTTCATCACTATGGAAGCAGTTTATGAGGAGCCCAGCTCATATGACATGATCATTATATCCACAATGCAATGTGTGTATGTGTACAGGCCCATGAACATTTGTGTGATATTGGCCACACATGAGAATGTCTGTGTTTACTAGTGTGGAACCAAAATGGCATTCTTCATGAGTTGTGTGTGTGTTAGTTGTGTGACTGTAGATGTGCGTGTTGTGTTTCACGAGAAAAACAAGAAATGGAAATTATTTTTGTTCCAATTAGAATTTTAACAGCTACACTGAAAGAGAAAGGAACTGTTAGAATTAGTGATTATCTCAAAAACTACTATTTGACTATACAAATGCATAGAATTATAAATAGATCATAATTTTTCTGAGATTTTGAGACACTCCCGTTGCTCTAGCTCAATCCTTCGTGGAGTTATGACCAAAAACACATATCTGACCTTGACTACCTTGAACGTCAGGTGACCTTGACCGGTTTCACCCTGTAACATCCAGTGTGCCCCGGTTATGTGTGTGCCAACTTGGTTGAATATTTTAGGCCGCAGATAGTTCAGAAATTGCGGAAATTGACGAATCCTTTATAATGGCGTGACATTTCAATTGACCCGCATGACTTCAAATGATCTCGGATCGTTACCAAACTTTTTTTGCGGCATCGAGCACAGGGGCTTGACCCACATACCAAATTTGGTGACAATCGGTTCATAAATGGCGGAATTATCCCGGGTGGACACACACACAGACACACAGGGTGAATACAAAACCCTTATTACCTGGTCAGCCCTTCGGGGACCAGGTAATAAGAGAATATATGGTAAAAATCTAAAGGCCCTGAATATAAGAGAATATACAGTAAAAATCAACCACAGTATAAGAGAAGAGGATATACGGTAAAAAGCAAGAGGCCTGAACAAAGTATAACAGAATATACGGTAAAAATGTACAGATCCTGAACACAATATAAGAGAATATACGGTAAAAATCTAAAAGGCCTGAAAACAACATCAGAGAATATACAGTAAAAATCTACAGGCCCAGTGCACAATATAATGGAATATATGGCAAAAATAACCGGGCCCTAAACACAGTATAAGAGAATATACAGTAAAAATCTACAGGTCCTGAAAACAGCACAAGAAAATATACAGTAAAAACTCACCAGGTCTTGAACATAATATAGACAAACAAGTGATTATACTGACACCAAACCATAAAGCAGAATTATCCCCAGAAAGTACAATATATAAAACATAAGCTGCAATAAACGATCACACTTTTATACAGCGCTTTTTCACCTTCGAGGCACTCAAAAAGCTTTACATCAAGAAACCACTCATCCACTCACTCACACAGCAGTGTACACAGACACTGGGGGCGAGGACCCAACGTCAGCATTCATCTGTGGGAGCTGGAATCACACCAGCCAACCCGCTCGACCAATGATGTTTTTACGTTGGGAGCGGGATTCGAACCGACAACCTTCGAATCACTGACAGACAGAGCTGGAGACATGTCAGAACTCTCAGGTGGAATTTGCTGTAACTGTCAGATTGCAGATTTGTTGACCTGGTACAAAGTTCTTCTCTGTCTGCACAATATAACTAATGGCCCTGTCACACCTTGACGATTTAACCAGTGTATGCCGATGTACCAGAATTTCCCTAAAACGCTAGCATACACTGAATTGTCAGAGTTTTTTTTTTTTTTTTTTTTTTTTTTGAGTTGGACGTATACATATAATGTATTACTATATAACGTTTTGATAACTTATATATAACTTATACCAACTAATGCTCAGTGTGTTGCCAGCATCTACAACTTATGCCCAACGACAGTCTAACTTATGCACAGCACACGGCAGGGTATCACCGACGCTCACGTGTCGTTGCCCTGCCGCTCAACGATTCACAACTGCACTAGACATCGCAGTAGCAACTAGGGATGGGCATGATTAATCAAGTAATCGATAATTGATCATTAAGAATTTCATCGATTACATTAATTTGAAATCGACAAACCGAATGTAGGTTGCTGTGCGTAGCGTGACCAAACAGGAGTCCGTACATGTGTCTGTGCACTCAGAAGGAGCGAGCAAACACAAACATTCGGTCAGTCTGCAACGTACCAAAGCACAAATGCATATTTAACGATGATTTGTACAAGAAATTCCAGGCTTTCCGTTGCGTTCGGGACAAGTGTGAGTCCATGTGCACAGTGTATAAAGCAGCACATATGTTTCTGTGTCCAGTGGGAAAAAGTTTTACCAGGTGAGAGTCGCGCAATGTCGATGACGAGGCCCCACCTCCCTCCCCCCGTACGGTGTCCTGGTTTTGACAAATGCAAATCTGGTCACACTAACCTGTATTCCACTGAGTCATGTCTTTTAATCCGACAGAAATTGACCGCATCAGCGACACAAGAGCTGTAGTTTTATCTTCGCTTAGTTTATGCAAATTAGTGATGTGGTTTTAAGTTTTGTTTCTGTGAGAGTTGCGCAAAACTGCATTAAACACATTCTAATGTCAAACGGATTGATGTGGCTCTAGAGTCGTTACGGTTTATATGTCGTAAAGTTGAATTTATTTATGCAGATTAGTGCAGATAGTAATAATAATGATGATCATTTTAATATAAAAACGTTAATGATTAATTGATAATCGATCGTTAATTCTTCCGACGATCGATTAAGAAAATTTCATCGAATGCCCATCCCTAGTAGCAACATTAATCAGCTCTTCTTCTCCTGGATCTATTGGCACGCAACTGGTACAGTGACAAATCGAAGAGATCAATGCTGATGTTGAACAGCTCGTATGTGTTCTCGTCTCAGCCTTGCTGGATCCTCCATCTCTCAGATGATCTGTGTAGCAGGTCGTACCACGGGGTCTGCTCACTATGAAGTGTGGAGGAGTACTGACGCTTTCCCCATTTTTATATACCAATTTCCCTACACGCTACCAATATGCCACATTCAGTAAGTTCTGTGTGGACGTCGGAACATGTCACATACGTCTGCAAATGTCAATATGCGTTGGAGATAAGTTCGATATAAGGTTCAAAGCATGTTACTCATAAGCTCTGGGTACACTAGACATTACCTCAACATATTTGGACTTAATTTGGAGTAACTTACAATTAACACAAGTGAACGTGTGTCAACGATCGCAGAACTTACCTACAACTTATGGCCCATGTATTCAGGACGTATAAGAGCACACTGACATACGTTGAGAAATTTTTAGCTTGCTCAAAATGTACAAACGTATGCCAGCGTGCTTCAGCGTGCTCAGAACTTATACAAAACTTACCTAGAACTTATCTGATGTACACCAGCGTATTTGCCAAAATGTGTATTCGTCAGCATACGCTCGCTAAATCGTCAAGGTGTGACAGTCCCTTAACAACTAAATTATACCTGACTGGGATTGAGATATGTCACATCATTGTACTTTTTATAACTGTACATAGATTTTATTGTTTAGTCTATTTTTGTATTGTGTGTTTTGTGTGTCTCAGGGACTGCACAAAGCATCTCTTCAGTGTTTTTTTGATTAATGCTCCCTTTAAAATAAACTTAAGAAACTAAACTAAAAAGAAGAACTAAGGTGAAGTGATAGTGGTGCCGTTATTACACAGACCTTGAACCAGCACTTGGACATGAGGAAGTAGTATTTGACGCTTTCTTCTCCAAACTGCTCCGCCACATACAGCCCCATGGAGCCGTACTCGTCGTAGATTCTCCGTTTGTTTTCATCACTCAGGATCGAGTTGGCGTTGTTGATTTCCTTAAACTTCTCGGCAGCTTCGGGGTTGTCCGGGTTCTTGTCTGGGTGATGCCTCAAAGCTAACTTCCTGTAGAGAAAAATATAAAAATATTTTATCAAAAGTTTGGTTCTTTATATTTACTACTTTCTACATTTTAGAGAAATACAGAAGACATCAAATATATGAAACAAGATCTATGGAATTATGTGGCACATAAAAAAATTTAAAGGTGCACTGTTTAACTTTTTGGTTGAGGGTCCGTCACCTGCTTGTTTTTATGGAGATGTCCACAGTGTGACATTAAACAGCTCTACTTTACATTTATTCAACTACAGGTGGTTTTACAGCTCAAAAATATCTAGAAAAACAGACATTCTGACTGTGAGCGGGGTCGCCTCTCAACAGATCTGACCTGTAACTTGGTCTGGTTTGGTCTCCCTGAAGATGGAAAGGTTTAATGCCATACTGTGAAACATTCCACGTTAAAAAAAAAAAAAAAGCGTTTGATGGACCCTCCACCAGTTAACCAAAGCAACATATATATATATATATATATATATATATATATATAAAATAATTCATTTATTACAAGCATGACTTAAACCTCAGGCTTCTTAGAATGTCGAACTGTCACTTGAAGGAAACTATTTGAGGACTTTAAACATTGACTAACCACACCCAGTGCTGCAAAGTTATTGTCTCTATCACTTCCTTTGTTCCTACAAGTTATAAAAGACAACAATAACAGTAAATATATGGTACAAAAGAGGGACAATAAATACAGAGGGACAGTGAATATATGATACAGAGGAAGAACGGTAAATACAAAAGGAAAGTAAATATATGAGTCTGATGGAGCAGAGGATCAGCTGGAGCACAGGAGAGGGTCAAATGGAAGAGGAGAAGATCAGACCTGTAAGCTCTCTTGATTTCATCTTGAGTAGCTCCTTTCTCCAGCCCCAGGACTTTGTAGAGACTGTCCCCAGCAGTGGACATCTTTCTCTGTGGTCTGTTCGGATCCTCCATGATTTATAAAAAAAAAAACTAAAGACAAAAATACACACTCTTGTACATAAGCTCCTGCAAGAAAGAGGGAAAAACAGAATACATTAATGAGAGTAAGAGGTTGTGGGTTAGACTCCTGAGCTCTCTGCATGTCGTCCCTGTGATACTGTGGCAGTGGTTGTCCTCATGGGAGGTTTTGTGTACTTTAAAACACTCACAAGACAATTAACAAGCAAAAGATAAACAATGAAGTTATGCAAATATTAGGGAGGGATTAGGAGAAGTGTTGGTCCATTTAGTACAGGATAAGTTTCACCTTTTTTCTGACTTCATCTGCTACTACTATTATTAATAATGGCATGACCACATTAAGAGTGGTACTTCCACATTAGTCAAACAAAAAAGGAAACAAGAAACCACATAACCTGAAAACCTGTGCAAAATTTAGGTTAAAGGTACACTGTAACTTTTCTGGTGCAGTTTGTCACCTACATATCCATCTCCATGGTGATGTTATTGCCATTAGACTGATCCATCTTTCGTTTATTCAGTTGCTGATTTGAATTGCTTCACTTCTTATTGTACTCGCCTCTCCACAGATCTATATCTACTACTACTACTACATTCTTTTATATTACCACGTGGTCTCACATACTGTGGAATTTTCCAAAACAAAAACTTTCTCTCTATGGCAAGAGGCTGCAAGTTACACAGTGTACCTTTAATTGGTGGTTTTCAGATTCTAGAATGTGTAGATGTTATACTCGGAGATGGGGGCAAAGACTAGATTTCCTTATTGATCACATTTTATTTTACCATGAAATATCCAAAAGGTAAATTCACAAATGTTGAATCTGGGATTTTCAATTATTGACTAAACCTTCAAAGTCACTGTATTACATTATTTTGGATTTTAACTGTTTAAATTTTAGCTGCCCCCCATCTGTATCCACAAATATTGTCCTACACAATGCGGTGATGTCATCTGAAAGCAGAAATTTGACCATTTCGTCAAAAAATGTGAACAATTTGTAGTTTTCACAATCTAAAATGTGATGATGTTCTACTTCCAGATGGGGGTAAGAGCCAGACTTCCCTATTAATCACATTGTACTTTACCATGAAATATCCAAAAAGTTTATTCACATCTCTATAAAGTAATATTTTCCTTTAATTTGCTACGTTACAACAAAAAAGCTAAATTTTAACAGTATTTACTTCAGCAGGCCCCATCTGTATTAAATAATATTGTCCTATAGAATGCTGTGGTGTCATCTGAAACCCAAAACATTTGTGTGAACATGCAAACTACAAATCTAGAGTAAACCATGAGATAAAATTAAAATGATCTGATAAAGTGATGGCAAAACTGAAAAAGAAAGCAAAAATGTATTTCAATGCATTTTTTTTGTTTTAAATTCATGCTGGTGTAAATTATTAGGGCTATTTCTTGTATAACTGTATGATTAACTGTGTAATGTATTAAAGTGATAATAAGTTAATAGCGATCGTTATGGATTTTGTGTCTTTTGTCACAAGTTAAGGTCAACTTGTGACAAACTGCTAAGTGCCAGAGCTAGCTGTAGCCCAACATGAGGTAACTAACTACAACTTTGATCAGAATAATCAAACGCATTTTACGTACTTGCTGATTAAAAGTCCGGTTCGTGGTTAATTTACACAGTCCCAGAGATGCCCGCTGATTGTCCTAAACGTTGAATCCATTTGTTAAACAAAAAAATATCGGATTTTCAACTTCATTTTGTGTCAAAAGTTTACAGTCGAAAAGCAGGAAGTGCCGCGATGACGTCTGCAGGCGTGGGGCTTCGAGAAAGTTTTTATTAGGTATTTAATTATTTTATTGGTTTTATATCTTTGTCTATGTCTTATCTTCTTAACTTTATGATCGCTCAGCGGTAAATAATATTATTTTATTTTATTATTTATTTTTTATATAATAAATTAGATTTATTTGGAAGCGCAGGAGACGGCTACTGCGTTGCTCTTTAAAGGTGCATTGTGTAACTTTTCTGGTGGAGGGTTTCAAAGTCCAAATTATTTTTTTCCATGGAGTTATTATTGCTTTGCCTGGAATGTTTCACAGTATGGCATTAACTCGTTCTATCTTCATATAGACCAAATCAGACCAAGTTACAGGTCAGATCTGTGGAGAGGAAACCTGCTCCACCCTGCTCAGGAGCAGTCAGGAGGGAAGCCACCTTGGTCACATTTTCAGATGACACGGTACTCTCCAATTTTGTCCCACGGTGTGAAGACAATCACTTGTCAAAAAACAAAGACATGTATGCATACTGTGGACTCCTACAAATACTTAGGCACAGTATTTGATTCAGAGTTAAGATTTGACTAAAACACATTGCAAAAAGAGGCCAACAGAGAATTCATCTGCAGCACAAACTCAACTCTTTTAATGTCTCGAAACCAATCCTGTATGCGTTTTATCATTCTTTTATTGAGAGCCTTTGTCAGTCAAAGACAGAAACAACCTGAACAACACTGTAATAATGTGCTCAAAGATAATAGGTGTGCAGATGCCCAAACTCAACTGTTTATGGAGCAGCAGGTTCTCCAGGAGGCCAAGTGTTTCATCGGCAGCTCAGATCACATTCTAAAAGAGAGCTTCTCCCTGATGGCCTCTGGGAGGCGCTGGTGCCACAAGCATGAAAACAAATAGATTTACTATTTCCTTTATTCTCTCTGCCACTCGGCTCCTCAACACAGAGGTGAAATAAACAGAGCCAAGTCTTTTTTTTTCCCTTATTGTTTACTGTTCTAATGTGGTTCTGTTTTGTAACTGGCCTTTATACTTTGTTCCTTATTTGCACTAAAGCTCAGCTCTGATGCCCTTAACTGTACGAGCACCTGACCTGTGTGAAATGTATGTGTGTGTTTTTTTATTGTAGTCTGAGACAAACGGAATTGCCCTTTGTGGATAAATAAAGTTTTCTAAACTAAACTAAAATGCTTTTCTCCATGGAGATGTTATTGCTTTGTCTGGAATGTTTCACAATATGGCATTAAATCTGTCTATGGAGACCAGACCAGACCAATTTACAGGTCAGATCTGTGGAGAAGCGACCATGCTCACAGTCAGAATGTCTATTTTTCTAGGTATTTTTGAGCTGTAAAACCACATGTAATTGCATAAATGTAAGGTTGAACTGTTTAACGTCACACTTTGGAACATTCCAGGCAGAGCAATAATATATTCATGGAAACAAGCAGGTGACAGACCGCCAATCAAAAAGTTACATAATGCACTATTAAAAAAAGGTCCTGAGTTGTCAGTGCCTAAACCTCCATAATGTCACAAACACATTTTTCTTCATTGTATGGTCAGAGTTCAGAGCCTCTAGAATTCCCTCCCTGAGCTGCAGAGGCTGCACTAGCACTGACTCAGGATTGGTGCAGGTGCTGGGGATTAGGTTGAGACCAGAGAGAGAGACATTTTAGGTTTAAAACAACTGGATTCAGTCATAGTCATCCTGAAAACCAAAATACCAAATGATAACATCAACAGCCTCTGTAGTTTCATTAATAGAAACAGGAATAGAAAAAATATTACCCCAGCATATTGGAAAGTTTGACCAACATCAGTATGTGAAACTATTAGCTGTTGAGTAACCTAACAGTCATCTGTGACTAGTTTTGTGACACAGTTGCAAAGGGAGATCAATTCAGTGTGACCAGTGAATACAAGTGTACTTAAGTTTTATTAGTATTGCACAAAACTAAATCCAAAAACAGAAATGAGAATAAGGGAGTGACGTTAATGACACTGTATGGAGTGAAATGAGAGTTGACCCTTTGTCCAGATCTGAGACAGTCCATTAGAAAATGAGCCAACACTGTTCAAGTTTTTAAAATGGTCAGATTCAGGGTTGCGCTTTTGGATAGTTCAAGGTAAAATACAAAGCAATTAAAAGGGATTCTGGTGCTGGTTCTTCTCCCTAGAACTGAAATCAAGTTTAGTATCGTGACAACATTATGGTAGTATGGATCTGGGTTAGTGGTCAGCTGGAGTGAGGTAGGTAGGTGCACTGCTATGACGTGTTTAGCTTCTGCCCACCATTTGTGAGTATGAGATTTGAGGCATCACGTTTTTATCTGAAAACCACATCAATACTGTAGAAATATGAATGTTTGTAACGGGAAGGCACGGTCCAATACTTAAATTGTCCATTGCTGTTCAGGTTACAACCCGAGGAAACACAACCAGACGTAGGGATCAGCCTGAGAATCGAACCTACGACCATATGACTTCAGGGCGACAGATGAGATTTGCTGAGGAGAAACACGACCCAAAGCCAAACCCGGCGTACAGAGGCTGGCTGAAGGCGGCGCTGAAGGTGTGGAGGTGGACCAATCGATTCTCCAGGACTCTGTAGAACGAGAGGAACCCCTCCTCCCGGTCCAGGAACACGGCTACTCTCCCCACGGCGCCCCACGGAGGAACGTCCAGGTACTGCTCCTGATTATTCCCACAGACGGAGATTCGACCATTGGAGCACCAGATCCTCCAGGAGCCGCTGTTTTGTCCGAACACGATTCCCGTGTCTCTTCCTTTCCGTGGGGTGTCTTTGTAGCTCACGGCAATGCTGACCACCCCGCTCCACTCCACCTCCCAGTAGTGGCGCGCTGTGAGGGCGGTCGAGCAGAGGACCTGGGGGTACCAGTCAAAGCGGGTCTGGAGGTCTGGGTACGGCTGCTCCTCCTCCACAAAGATCACCGTGCGGAGGTCGGATGAGAGGTCCAATTTTCTGTACGCGGTGTTCAAGTCCAGAGACAGGTCAGTAAAGTCTAAAGGAGGAAAGAAGTTTATGTCACTGCTTAAAAGTCCCACATTACCCTTTTCTGATCTATGTTCTAATGTAGTTTCCTCATCACAAACAGACCTGGATTTGTGTTTATTTTCATTCACATATGTTTAACACACATACCCTGCAGATTTAGTATTTTGAGCTTTGGAGATGTAGACAGAATAATAATAAAGGGTTACTCAAACATGTGTGAATGAAACAAAAAGGTCACAAGAATAGATGTTCAGAAGGTATGTCATTATATACATACATACATATTGGGACGCTGTATTCAGCATCTGCTTCAGTGGCTGTTGTTATTATTATCTGATTTAGGGATGTTTAAGATAATTTATACAATGTGCAAACCACAAAATCTGATGTAAGTAAACTGAGGGACTATAATCACACAGAAATCATTATGATATGAACTCATAATGACATTTTGAGTGTGCATGTAGCCACCCTCCTTGTGTCTGGAGGAGGGTGGGTAATCCTCAGAAACTGCTAAATTCACTGTTTAACTCAGCACATTACTTTAGACATGAGATGAGTGTGTATAGGGTTATACTTACATTTCTTTAAGCCAGGTTTTAAAAACTGTTCTCCACTTGGTGTCAATCTGAAAATACACAGTATACTTTAGGGCTGCTCAACTATGGTAAAAACCCTAATTACAATTACTTGTAGACTGTCTCAATTAACCTTTAGAGAAATTATAGACCAAATAACCAGACTTGCATCTTTACAAACCTGACTCTTGTTGTTCATACATAGTATAGGGATAAAACATTTATTTCCATAGAGAATGTTCTGAAGTATGATTCTAACTTCCCTTTTTTGAGGAATCATACAGATGTTGTGCCACCTCCAGAGAGTTACACTTTAAATGAGAGTCATTAGAGTCCATGGTCTTACCTGAGGCTGCTGAGACTGCCCTTCAGGCTCTTCTCCACAGACGACAGCAGTGTGACCCCTGGGAGTCCTGTGTGGTTGTAGCTCAAGTCCAACTCCATCAAACGAGAGTTCAGGTTCAGAGCGTCACAGAGGACAGAGGCGCCCCTCCCGGAGATCAGGCACCCGGACAGACTGTACAGACACAGCATTCTAATTATTCACTACAATTTAGAGTTTACAAGCACTTTTCAGCACTGATTATTGTACAGTAAAACACGTTCTAATTAGATGCTGACGGTACACAGCAATGCTTCTTACACAATATATTTTGCTCACATATATGGGAAGAAGTGGGTACAGGCCTTTGAAAGTGTACAGACCTGAGTGACTGCAGTTTACAGTTTGGACTCCTCAGACCCTCTGACAGGTGCACCACTCCAGAGTCCTTCAGGTCATTGTTACTGAGATCCAGATGTTTGAGGCCTGAGGAGCAGGACAAGACTGAAGACAGGAGACCACAGCTCTGCTCTGAGAGGCTACAGCACTGCAGTCTGTGAGACAGATCACACAGGTTACACTATTCTTCTTTGAAACTCAGTTAAAGGTACACTATGTAACTTTTCTGGTTAGAGTCTGCCAGCTGCTTTTCTCCATGGAAATTGTATTTCTTTGTACGGAAGGTTCCACAGTATGGCAATAATTATCTAATTATTATCTTATGTAGGTCGAGAAAGACAAGCAGCAAATGTCACCAGGCCAAGTTCCAGGTCATGTTTGTGGAGAAACAACTCCGCTCACAGCAAGAATGCATGCTTTTAAAGGTATTTTGGATGCATAAAAATACCAGGAATGGAATAGTGCTTGTCAAGTCGTGCATCTTTAACACAGTCAGAAACCCCAGGCCTGTAGTTCACCTGAGAGACTCTAGGGTGCAGTGTGGGCTCTGCAGTCCCTCTGTGAGCAGCTGTAGTCCAGAGTCCCCCAGATTGTTCTGGCTCAGATCCAGCTCCTTCAAACATGACGACTGTGCAAATACAACTTTAGACAGAGCCGCACAAGCCTCCTCTCCCAGACCACAGGCAGACAGGCTACAGGAAAACAACAAAACAAGTGTTAAAGAGGTGTGTGTGTGTGCGTGCATGTGTGTGTGTGTGTGTGTGTCTCACAGTGCTGTGTGAGTGAGGACAATTTAGACCACTCCCCCCTGCATCGTATGAGTGTGTAGGGTGTTGGCTCTGGTTCAGTGTGGATCAAAGATAACACCATGAGTGTGAGGAGGCGTCTTTGGCCCTTTAAATGGAGTGTATGAGAACAGCCCTGCACTTCAAGAACTCTGCATGTGCTGCACCATTACCAGAGCTCACAGGTAAGGTCTGTACGACTCCTCAAACGCAGGTACAGTATTAACAGTAAGCATTCACAGTGTCATGTTTTTTATAACATGTAACATCTGTTTCCCTGTTTTTTTAGGCTCAGACGAAGGTTATTCCAAAAACAGTTACTTCAGATTATTGTTATACATTAGTTTTTTTGAATGTGGATGTGGGTCCTTGGGTTTGTCCAGTGCACCCTGAAGTACCAGCTGCAGTGCTCGTATTGTAATCAACGTGCTGTGGGCAATAGGGGTGGCACGGTTCATGAAAAAAAAACTAACCGTAGGGTTCGCTTGTCACGGTTCAGGACGTGGGCTTACCGTACGGTTTCCATGGTTCCCGGCTTATGCAATTGTAGCCACGTGCCCATATGTGACCTGTTTCAATTTGGCGCAAAAGAAGAGGTGTGGAGGGTGGGTGCTGCGTGTCATGTGTAGAAATGGCAAGTAGAGGGGCGTATGGAGATGGTTCGTTACCTCTGAAATCACAGCTGCGCGTCACCGTAAAGACAGTAAATACCTTCTGTACAGGCTGACCACAGCAAACACCAGGATTTCAAAAGTAAATTTTAAAGCACTTATTAAGAGTTTTTCTGGACCTGGGCTCTTTCACGTGACACAGAACTGCCCCAGGAGCATGTTGTGCTGGCGGTAAACACACAAATACAACCAAAGACAAAGATGCATGCTCTCTGTGTATTTTGATGAGGATACGCGCCTACGCTCACGTAAAGCATCAAAAAATAGGATCCATCCTATTTTCTGAAATCTACACATACAGCTAGCTCATGCAGTGGAGCCTCCCTCAGTCACTTTCCATGCATTCTTAAAAGTTACGCGTCCAAAAGTTGCAGTTTTTACACTCACGTAGGGCGAAATACACATGCAGTGGAGCCAGGCCCTTAACTTAGTAACCAAGACAACAATCTCACTAAACCAAGTATTCCGACTCCTGAGGAGGGTTAGGAAGGTGGTAATATTTTTTCTCTTTGGTATCTCTTTGTATATTTTATACAGAGGGATATCAGCCTGGTTTCCACACACTCCATCACATCTCAAGCAGAACCAAACAGGATTGTGTAATCAGATTTGTTTCTTTTAGTGATACATATGAAATAAAGGAGCTCATTGATCACCAGGCCACCAAAACAGTGCTCATTGATTCAGCAGAAATCGGCAATGTTTTTCAGTCCCCTGTGACGCTTTCTCTTTGTTTTTTCCTCATGAGCAGCCATATTTAATTCGATACGAGCCATGTGTAACAGGGGGAATGGGACTTTAATGGGTGTGTTTTTCCTTTGTGTGGGTTTTTTCTTTGTTTGGTATGGGCCAATGGCCATGTAATTGGCAGCTGTGGGGCGGTGCCTATTGCATAAAAACCCTGTAAACCTTCTCCCTCTCACACCTGGTTGTCCTTTGTTCAGGTTAGTAAAAAGCAGCTCAATACATGGCACTTGGGTCTAACTGATTTCATTTTGTTCATTGAATGTCTCGCTCTCTCTCACACCTGCTTGTCCTTTGTTCAGGAGGTCCTTGGACAGTCCTAAGATATATCGGCCACTCTGTGGATCAAACTGGAGCACGCTGGGGACAAGGTGCGACACCGGCCATGCCAGCCGTCATTTGCCTGCCACGGAGTCACGCCAGCTGACTGAATGCCTGGACCTCTGGACTAGCTCAAAGTTTTAACCTTTTTGTCAAACTTAACAAACTTCTCCCACTCCTATGACCTGTTGATTCCTCTTTTAACTTAAAACGACTGTGGATTATGGTTATAAAATCCTTCAAACTGAACTTGTCTGTTTATAGTTCTCTGGTGATCACAGTACCTGTTGTGTGGGGCGGTTAAGCCCTTAGGGGGCGTTACACATGTGTCCCTGGTTGGATAATCTACCTGTCAGTCACACCCATCTGAACTTGGATTCACTCGTTCAGTGTTCAGGATCCCAGGCAAATGTGACTGAAGTTGAGGTAGATTTCTGAGCACATAAACACGACTAGTCACAACTAGTGAGACTAGCCTCAGCTCACTGCCACAACTATACTAACTAAAATTGTTCTCCAAACATGTTTATGGTTTTAGGTTCCCCATGTCCTAAACTGCCATCTCAAGAAATGGCTCAGTATAAAAGAAGAAATGAAGAGCACATGTGGTTTTGCTACATATCTCCCTACCTCCAGCTGCTCTTAAAGCACTTTACATGAAAGAATCCTTCACAAACTCACACACCAACACACACACACACTAGGGCCAAGGTGGACCAACACTGCCTCTGATACAGTCATTTAGCGCTGCTAAATTATGGGCTGTATGGCTTTGGTTGCCCCGGGTTACATCATGTCCTGTTTATTATATTTTTTTTAATCATTGATGGGGTGGCCTAAAAGCATGAGATCAATGAGGGGAAAATGGCTGCCAGGTTAAATCTTAGTGCATCTTTTAAAAAACACAGTGGTTTGGACATCAACTCAGAATCTATTTATTATGGTTCAATGGATGCCATGAACAAAGTGGAGCTAATTTGATCTAATTTAATCAAAAAAAGAAAAAAAAAAGTTTTAAATTTAGATTTTTATGAATGGAACAGTGATTTTATATATATATCTGTGTGTGTGTGTGTGTGTCTATGTGCTCATCTACTTTTTTTGTATCAAAAATCAGACCATAATCGTGATTAAAATTAGTATCTAGAGACTAGATACTCGTTTGAGCAGGTATCAATACTAAAAAAAGTCTCTCAGAAAAGTAAAAAAAAACTCACATGGCTCTGCTGGAAGCTTTGATGACGGGCAGCAGCCTGAGCAGCACGTCCTGAGAAGCTCTGAACCTCCTGAGGTCAAACAGGTCCAGCTCTGTGTCCGAGGACAGAAGGATGAAGGCCAGAGCCGACCACTGAGCCGGGGGCATGTGTCTGGAGAACTGCCCCGCCCTCAAGTAACTCTGCACCAGGTCCAACAGACTGCGATCATTCAGCTCACCCAGACCGTGGAGCAGGTTCAGGGCTCTCTCTGTAGAATCACACTCATTCATCTTTAGTTTGATGTACACTGCTGTCTCCTCTGCAGCGCCCCCTGTCTGTGGGATGAGACCTTGCAGGAGGCTCTGATTGGTCGGCAGAGAGAGCCCCAGAAGGAAGCGCAGAAACAGGTCCCAGTGTCCGTTTGAGCTCTGTAAGGCCTGATCCACAGCCTTCTGGTAGAACAGCTGCCTGGAGGCGTTGTGGGTTTGTTCTGGAAAAAGCAGGTTGACTCCAGTTTCATAGAAGGTCTGATGGACGTGGAGAGCAGCTAGAAACTCCTGCACACTCAGATGGATGAAGCAGTAGACCTTGTCCTGGTACAGGCCTGGCTCCTCTCTAAAGACCTGTGTGAACACTCCGGAGTACACTGAAACCGCCTCAGTATCCAGCCCACACTCGCTCAGGTCACTCTCGTAGAAGATCAGGTTTCCTTTCTGCAGCTGCTCAAAGGCCAGTTTTCCCAGACACTTCACCATCTCCCTGTTTTCAGGAGACCAGGCTGAATCTGCCTCCAGTTTCCCATCATATTTAACGTTCTTCTGTTTAAGCTGCACTACTAGAAGGTGGACATACATCTGTGTGAGAGTCCGGGGCAGCTCAGGTTCTGTTTGTTCCAGAAGCTTCTGTATAACAACAGAGAGGATCCAGCAGAAGATTGGAATGTGGCACATGATGTGGAGGCTGCGGACGCTCTTGATGTGGGAGATGACGGCTGTGGCCTGGTCTATGAACCTCTTCCTGAAGTACTGCTCCTTCTGTGGGTCGGTGAACCCTCGTACCTCTGTCACCATGGAGACGCACTCAGCAGGGATCTGATTGGCAGCGGCGGGGCGCGTGGTTATCCAGAGGCGAGCGGAGGGAAGCAGGCTTCCCCTGATGAGGTTCACCAGCAGCACGTGCACTGAGGCGGACTCTGTGGGGTCGCTCAGGGCCTTGGTTTGTCTGAAGTCCAGAGGAAGTCTGCACTCATCCAGACCGTCAAAGATGAAGAGCACCTGGAGGTCTTCAAAGTTGCAAAGACGTTTGGATGGACTGAAGAAGTGGTGCAGCAGCTCCACCAGGCTGAACTGTGTGTCTCTGAACACATTGAGCTCTCTGAAAGTGAAGGGGAACAGCAGTTGGAGGTCCTGGTGGGCCCGGCCTTCAGCCCAGTCCAGACTGAACTTCTGAGTCAGCACCGTTTTTCCCACACCAGCCACACCTTTCGTCAGCACCGCTCTGATTGGTCCTTGTGTCTCTGTTACCCCTGCTCTGATTGGTCCCTGTCTGTGGGCGTGGTCTTTAAAGATATCTTCACACGTTATTGTCATTTCTGGAGTGACTGGTCTCCTGGATGCCATCTCCATGTGTCTGACCTCATGTTCCTGGTTGACCTCTGAGGCTCCTCCCTCTGTGATGTAGAGCTCTGTGAAGATCTGATTCAGGGGGGCGGAGTCTCCTGCTTTTGCCACACCCTCAAACACATGACTGAACCTCTGCTGCAGACTGGACTTCAGCTCCCTCTGATAGACCCCAGTAAGACTGCCTGAAAACAGTCAAGACCATAGACTCAATACATATTCATACACATATCACTACTAGTGTTGTACAACATTTCAAACTCAATTTCAATACTGAATGAAAATCAGCTCCACCAAATCCAAGGCCATGGTTCTCTACTAGAAAACGGTGTCTTGCCCTTTCCTGGTGGGTGGAGAGTCCCTGCCTCAAGTGGAGGAGTTCAAGTATCTCAGGGTCTTGTTCATGAGTGAGGGGAGGATGGAGGGTGAGATGGACAGGTGGATCTGTGCAGCATCGGCAGTGATGTCGCTGTATCGGACCTTTGTGGTGAAGAGGGAGCTGAGCTGAAAGGCAAAGCTTCCTCTTCACCACAACGGCTCGATTTACAGTCAATCTCTGTTCCTCCCCTCACCTATGGTCATGAGCTCTGGGTAATGACTGAAAAGACGAGATCGTGGATACATGTGACAGAAATGAGTTTCCTCTGCAGGGTGGCTGGGCGCTCCCTTAGAGATACGGTGAGGAGCTCAGTCACACGGGAGGGGCTCGGAGTAGAGGTGCCGCTCCTCCACATTGAGAGGAGCAGCTGAGGGGAATCTGGAGGACATCTGTTCTGATGCCTCCTGGACGCCTCCCTGGGCAGGTGTTCTGGGTATGTCCCAATGGGAGGAGACCCCGGGGAAGACCCTGGACACGCTGGAGGGACTATGTCTCTGGGCTGGCCTGGGAACGCCGGCGGGTCCCGCAACCCGGCCCCGGATAAGCGGACGAAAATGGATGGAATTTCGATACTCAGTACTACACTCAGTACTCAATGCAGATTTCGATACCACGATGATAATAATAATTAAAAAAAAAACACACACTTTCTTTAGACAGAAGAATGTCACTGTCAACATTAAATCATAGTACTTTCTTTTCTATTCCCATGTGTCCTGATATTTGTAATTCCTCAGCGGTCCGGGTAGGTTCCATAGTGGTCCATGCGCGTATACTAGTCTTCTACTTTTTTAGTATCAAAATCAGAAACTAATTAATATTAAAAACTATATTAAAACTAGTATCAAAGCTAGATACTGATTTGTGCAGGTAATACTAAAAAAGTCCCATTCACAGGACAGAAATGAACCTTTTTAATGTCTTTAAAATGATCTTGAGGCGTATCAGGACAAGTAGAAGAGCACATAGACTAGTATACACTCATGGGCCACTATGAACCCACTGGACCACTGAGGATTACACACATGGGATTAGAAAAGAAAGTACTACTATTTAATGTTGAAAATCCCATTCTACATAGCTACACTGTTGTTCCTGTATTTGACTTACTGCAGTGAAGTTTCTCCGCCAGCTCCTGATGCTGCATCCTCCTCAGAACATCCATAGTGATGTTCAGAAATGACTCTCTGTTCCTCTGCTCCTCGTCCTCCTCGTTCTCAAGGCATTGTGGGTAATCTGAGGCCAGAACTCTGTGGTACCGCTTCAGTTCCTCTTTCACAAAACTAATGAGACTGTGCTCCAGACGCTGAAGAAGAAACAATATGAAAGAGCAACACCGACTCTTGGGAGCTTTGAGACATGTTATAATGTTTGAGCTCCAAATCTCAGAATGGTCCTCATCATTAAAGGTTTGCATTGTGTAACTTTTCTGGTGGAGGGTCCGTCAAATGCTTTTCTTCATGGAGATGTCATTGCTTTGCACAGTGTGGCATTAAACCTTTCTATCTTCATGGAAACAACCAAAAAGTTACACAATGCACCTTTAATGATAACAGAGCGATGGTTATGTCATAAAAGGATGAAGATAAATAATACTGACCGTAAATATGGAGTTTAGTGTTTCCTCTGAGATCCACTGCGCCGTCCTGCGAACATATGGGCCAATCAGAGCAACTCAATACTTTTCCATTGAGTTGCATTATAGTATTGATACTTTGCATTATAGTATTGATACTTTGCATTATAGTATTGATACTTTGTGGTGATGTCATGGTGGGGGTGCTCTGCATGTATGTATATGGTAGAATGTTCTCAGTTATCGTGGTGACACATGCACACTAGAGCCCGACTGATATGGATTTTGTTGTGGCCGATATGAAACCGATAAAATGGGAGTTGGAGCTGCCGATAGCCGATATAATCGCCAATGTCTTTAGTGATGTAAAAATTCACTGTAAATCTTGAATTGTTTAAAAAACTTAGTTTGGCTCTAGTGGATTTTAAATTGGGTTTATTTAGGCAACATTTATTGTTATTCTGACTCTTTACATCATATTTACAGACAATAGATCACATTCTAGCTACTAGTGATGGGTAACAGGACTAAACCAGAACTGAACCAGGATTGAGTGTCGGGACTTGGTCTCTATCTCTCTCCATCTCTCAAACTCAAGATTAGTCCTGGTTTATTCATTTTATGCTGAACTACAGACAAACATGCACGTTTTTTTTATCCTATGCACATGCAGATTTCTGAAAGTTTTGTTTTCAGCCGCTGCCGCTGTCAAACTGCGGGTCTGCATGCGCGTGAAGAGAAAAAAAGTGAGAGAAAGAAAACACGGCTCCCAATAAGAAGCATGCTCCTGTCGTTCGCTTCAAAGAGCCGGTTCTAAGAGCCGCTTCGATCGTGACCGACCATCACTACTAGCTAGAAAAGAAACTCCCGCTATTAGCCTTTAGCCGTAAATGCATTCACACGTCTATTCATAGCTCATTTACATATCAATGCTGGTCCAGTAACAAATATACGGTCAATATAGTCACTTTACAATAGACCAATAGAATGTGTGATAGCTATAGCAGCTAATCGATAACCAAAAACTAGCTTCAAAGTCGACATATTTCCAACACTAAGCCTCACACAGGCTCCTCCTCACATCACAAGTCTGCACTAATAAATGTCCTTTTAATCCAGACTCAAACCGATTGTCCGTAAAAAGAAAACAATCTCAATGTTTGGATCTATGTCTGCGAGTGTAAACAAACACACGTGAGTGGCGACTCTGTGGTGTGTTCAGGGACAGTACGGACACACAAATGACTCTGTAGATAAATACTGATGCGATGCCACATATTAGGACATTTATCTGTCTGTAAATTGGATTAAATGAACATAATGTAGAGAGTCTAAACTTTATAATGAGGTATAACATGCCCACGTGAAATATTGGCCCATATCAGCAAGCATATCGGCCGATAGCCGATATGTCTACAGGAGCCCATATCAGCCGATAATATCGGCCAACTGATATATCAGTTGGGCTCTAATACACATATTAGCAAACACAGCTTGTTTTGTTTTATGTATGGTTTATTATGCATTTATTTTTCCCCAATAAACCTTTTTCACAATGGCTGGAAGTCCTGCACGATAAGGTTTACAGAAGTTCCGGTTAATGCTTTTCTATGCTAAAATGTCTGAAAATGAAATGAAATGCATATTCTCCAGCAGCTTCATAAATCTGCCCCACCAAATCTTCAACCAACAAGCTCCACAAAGGATAAACATTCTAACATGAAGAATTTATCCACAAATATCAAGAGAAGAAAGACAAAAACTTAAAGGAGAAGAATGACCACACATCAGTGACACACTCAACTAAACTAACCACTGCAATGGGGAACTTCTGGCTGCTCTATTTAGAGAATAAAAAATTGCATATGAAATGATATTTTATATTTTTAATCCTTATCAGTTTGTTATTTGAATTAAAAAAATGCATTATCAAATACTACCATGTTTTTTTTTATGTAGGAACTATATCCTGAGTTATTATACTATTTATTACTATTTAATTAATAGCATTGTCTACTGTTCCTTTTTGGCATTTATGTATGTGTTCCTTATACCTCCAGACCCCGCCCTTGCTCCCCCTCACTCTCCCCTTTAGTCCTCCAGACCCCCCCCCCCCCCACTCTCCCCTTTAGTCCTCCAGACCCCGCCCCTCCTCCCCTTCACTCTCCCCTTTAGTCCTCCAGACCCCGCCCCTCCTCCCCTATCACTCTCCCCTTTAGTCCTCCAGACCCCGCCCCTCCTCCCCTTCACTCTCCCCTTTAGTCCTCCAGACCCCGCCCCTCCTCCCCTTCACTCTCCCCTTTAGTCCTCCAGGCCCTGCCCCCTCACTCTCCCCTTTAGTCCTCCAGACCCTGCCCCTCCTCCTCCTCACTCTCCCCTTTAGTCCTCCAGTACTGCCCCTTTTATCAGTTTTGAAAGTTTTCATTAATGCTGATTTTTGTAGTTTACTGAGTTGTTTTTCACTTACGCTTCTCTGTCTCTGTCAATGGAGTTCTTTTTCTTCGGGGACACATATCTGCTCCCATGTTCAGGTCTGTGGAAAGAAGTGGTTTGAATATATTAATTTAGTGACGTTGTTCATGGGATTCTGCTTCCTGGTCTATTCAATATTTTGAGAATGTTTTACCATTTAAAGATGGAAGATAGAAGAAGTTATATTTAGTTTTAGATGGTTCATCACTGGGCGTGTGCAAAAATATTGAAATATTGTTTTAATGTATCATTTAAATTGATGATGGGCTGCTGCAAAAAATGACAGTGTGCCTTATGTATTAATTCTGGTTGTGTTTTCTGACCTCGAACCGATTTTATGTGGTACACGGCTATGACTTTGGTAAGTTATGAAGCTGCACCACTTGATAGAATGTCAAAGCATTACAGCTAACGTAGTCAGGAGCCTTGCAGAGCTGAACCGCGTCAGTGCACAAGGAGCGAGCTGTTTTTTTCAGCGCTTATAGTTTATGCAAATTATCCATGTGGCAAAGCTGCATTAAACACATTATTATTCGATGTATATTTGAATCGTCCTCATAGGAAATAAAAATACAAAGCCACATTCACATTCATAATCCACATTCACCAAGACAGAGAGGCAACGCTGGGCAAGTTACACCACGATCTGTCGATGGATGGTGGACTCCTGGGCTAAGGATCAGTCTCAAGTGTCGTCTATTTGTTTCTCTTAATGCATGTTATAATCGAGTGCAACTTATGTATGAAAATAGACGAGAATTCAACATTATTGATATTGGGCCTTACAATCCCATATGTCTTATAGTCCAACACAAACTTAGTAGACTTAGGCTATGTTCAGACTGCAGGGCTTAACGCTCAATTCCGATTTTTTTGTGAAATCCGATGTTTTTGCGAGGTCGTTCACATTTGCAATTAAATGTGTCTTGTATGTGACTCCAGTGTGAACGTTTAACGGCCCGAAAGTGTCCCACATGTGCACTGGAGACACAACGACGTCAACCACAGCGAGCGCATGCTCTGTGTTTACAGAAGTTGTCCAAACATGGACGCAGCATTGAGCACCTGGAGATTTTAAAGTTCCTCTCGTATCAGGAGCCAGAACATGAACAACTTACTTGTTTTAAGGAGGAGATTGAGAAGGAGAAGGACGAGGTTTTTGGTCGTGGTGTTTTGTGGGGCAGCGGCAGCGACGTCCGTTGAAATGAACGTGTGGATGTGGAGACGGAGCCAAGAGTGGTGAGTGGTGATGTGCTTCACTTCAGTGACACGGAGTTCATTAACAATTTTCACCTACTTTCAGCGCACAGAATAGTGACGTTTGTGGCTTGTTGATAACGTGTAGGTGGATGAATGCACTTTGGCCGTTCAGACTGAAGTCGCATGTCAAAAGATCAGATATGTATCAGTTTCAGGAGCACATATCCAAGTGTCCTGGGTCACATTTGAAAAAATCGATCTGTGTTGTTCAGACTGTCATTAAAAGATCAGATACAGGAACATAGAGGCCAAAAAATTGGATTTGGGTCACTTCAGGCTGCAGTCTGAACGCAGCCTTAGAGGATGACCGTATTTATAGTTATTGGTGATGGTGGCACTTGTAATTGGGTGTTTTCAGTTGTGGTAATGATTTTCTTTGTATTAATCGGGTTTGTTTTTTTCACTTATAGCATGTCTCCTTCCCCCCAGCTTTAGGGTGGAGCCTCACCCCTGCAGTAGTATCCTCACCAGTTAAAAGCACCTTTAATATTTTTGTAAATAAAAGCTGCTGTATGGCTGTTAGACCCACACACTGACTGGCTTGCTTTGTAATTAAAGCTACCTGTAAATTCCAGGTGTTAAATATATTCATTATACAAATTTAGATAAGCCATTTAGATGAGCGATCAGCGCAGTTTATGTAAATGAGCCATGAGGTTTAAGTTTCCTTTCTGTAAAACGTAAACAAATGTGGCATATCTGCATTAAAAACGTTATAATGTCAAACGGCTGATGTGGCTCTAGTGTGGTTGTGGTTTATATGTTTGTAAAGTTGAGTTTATTTATGCACAAGATTTTAATTAATTTGCTGCAGTGTAGAACTTGTACAATAGTGTTTGGAAGCGTGGATCTGTGCAGCGTTCACTGGTGAGGAGCCCCTCGAGTTTCCTCTGCTAAAGGAGCTCATGGTTGTTTGTATTTTTCCTGGTTTATTAAATATATCATTTTTGCGTTTGTGCATTTGTAAGATTACGTCAAGAAAGCGGGAGAGTGCATTTATAAGGGAGACACTGATGTGCACTCAGAGAAACAATGATGCGAATTACTAACACTATAACAATTACTGAGATGAATAAAGTGAAAGTGCTGAATATTGATTTCTGTTTCTCGCTGTCATTGTGGATAATTCTTGTGAGAAATCATGAATATAGATGATTATCATTATTTATTATTAATAATGTCTAATTAAAGGAAAACTGAGCACATGTGTTATTTCAGAAGAGTGTATCAAAGTGGTCGCCCTTGGTACGACTCAGTGCCCATGAAGTAGCTCTCAATTTCAAAAAGGTTGGTGACCCCTGCTTTAGATCTTCATGGAGACCAAACCAGACCAAGTTACAGGTCAGATCTGTGGAGAATGTCTGTTTTTCTAGGTGTTTTTGAGCTATAAAAACACCTGAAATTTAATAAATGTAAATACTGTGGAACATTCCAAAACTAAAGAGACTGACAGTGTTTTCATGTGTCAGTGATGCAGTCTGGTTTTCTTACTCTGTTTTTGGTTTTGAAGATGATGGAAAATCCCAGTTTCTGAGCAGAGAGCGGTCACAGCTCACAGACGCGTAGGCAGAGTCACAGTCTGAGCTGTGGAGAAGACACGACAGTTAGAGGCAGATGTTTATGGATGATTTCACATTTTACACTCTCTGACATCCCGGGGGCCGTTTGTGTCCATGCAGTGGACGTTCTCGCCTTTGAATCACATTTTTGTTATTATTAGAGCCACAAAAATGTCCAGATATTATTAAGTCACCCCTCCCACCTCCCATTAGCATGACGTAAAAATAGACCCAAAAATGTATGTATAAATGAATTTTTAAAAATAAAAAAAATATATAATAATATAAATAAATATAATCAAATCGAATAAAATCAAATAAAAATAAAATTAAAACATACAATAAAATTTAAAAAAATCAAAATATTCAAATCAAAATCGAATTGAATCAAATCAAATCAAATCGAATCGTGAGCTTTGAGCACAGGCCAGAGGGAGCAACAGTAGTAGTACAGCTTTTACTTTCAGAGTCTTGAGTCATGCTGAACACAAAACTGGAGATCTCTGTGCTTGAAACTATGGTGAGGTTTAGTTTTGAAATATTTAAAAATTACAAAATGTACACATCTTATATCTGACAGCTCTGTTTAAAATACAATAATCAGACATTGATTATATATATAGTGAAGATGACCAATCTTGTCATGTAAAAACTTACTGTGATAAAGTAAAACGTGATCAAAAGGTCTGAGGCGCTCTGTTGGAATTAGAATAAAAGTCTTTTAATAGGGATCTGCCCTGATGAAGACTCCATGTGTGTCGAAAGGACTTTTCTTCTAATTCCAACAGAGCCTCGAAAGTTTTGACCTCTTTACTTCATCACAGTAAGTTTTGACTTTACAGCCTTGGTCATCTGTGGCCACACCAGTCTGTCAAAACCTGATCTCCTCAGATCTCTGAAGCTCAGCAGGACTGGGCCTGGTCAGGACTTAGATCAGGGGTGTCCACACTTTTTTCATCAAGGGCCACATGTCTAAACACTGACGAAGCAGAGGGCCGATGGAGGGCCGTAGACTGGTGCTCATAACAGTGAATTATTAAAATATGTGAATGTTTAACACGTTAAAATGAGCCATCAGTCTTTATTCATGCTAAGATCCTCAAAACTACACACTAAATATTAAATATTGGCTTTATCAATTTTCAAAAAACTTGCAAAAAAAAAGTAAATTTTTCGTTGATGCAAGGTAATTTGGGTCAATTCTCCTGGAAGCCTGAGGGCCAAGAAAAAAATTTGTCTGAGGGCCGCATTTGGCCCCCAGGCCATAGTTTGGACATGTCTGACTTGGATGGAGACACTGGGAAAATCAGGAGCCACAGAAGGCACCAGTCACAAAAACTGTCATTGTGTCCTTAGGCAAGACATTTCACCCACATGTGTAGTATGAAAGTGGTGTGTGTGTGTGTGTGTGTGTGTGTGTGTGTGTGTGTGTGTGTGTGTGTGTGTGTGTGTGTGTGTGTGTGTGTGTGTGTGTGTGTGTGTGTGATGGTGGAGATCAGAGGGACTGATGGTGCAGATTGGCAGCCGCTCTTCTGTCAGTGTGTCCCAGGGCAGCTGTGGCTACAGTAGTATCTTACCACCACTGGGTCTGGAGTGAATGAATAATCATCTGTAAAGTGCCTGTAAAGTTTGGAGTCTCGTCCTTGAGGAGCATCTGTTGTGGACTTTTACTAAGAGACACTGAAGCTCTCACTTCCTCTGTGTTTTTTATACACTCAGACATTTATATTTTCTTTTGCTCTATCAAAATGTAAAACATAAAATTTACGTATTTCTGCACTTCATATTAAACTTTCTACACGTAATATTGTCTAACTGATAAAGAAGTGTAATTCTTCACTCAAAGGTGTGAAACAAAGGGGAGATTCTGGTATTTTTTTTATTCTATTCTCTTCTAGTCTATTCACAGTTTCTTTGATACTTTAACCTCAAGAAATGTACAGGGATTTTTTTTTTAAGTTAATTTCTGAAGAACTACAAAATATCTCATGTACTAAATCACCCAAAAGTGTTCATATACTGATGTTGTCACCCACCCCAAAAGTAAATATGACTAAAGTATCATTAACTCACGCTGCATCTCTTTTAAAATCGATGTTTCTGAACAAAGAGCCGTCACTTTTCAGAGACAAACTGCGAGGAGAAGGTTTAGGTCCAGAAAGTCCAGAAGCTTCATCTCTGAAAAAAGAAAGATACACATTACAGAAAATATGAAACTCAAATATTATGCAAATGAGCAATCTCCAGGAGAAGTCGATGTCTTTTCATTGGGCAGAATATTTTAAACAGCACCTGGGTACATTTGTAGTCTGTTTGTCTTTTTTGTTTTGGAGACACTCCTCTTGTGTTATAACATCAAATCCCATCAAATCTGTTTCTGGCTCCTTTTATCCTCTCTTCCTTGTGTGCTCACAACCTGAAGTGATTCAGGTCATCCACTTGTTTGATGTAGTCTTTTTGTTTCGTACAAATACTTCTGATCTGATTAAAATGTCTGATCAGCAAACTTTTTTTTCAGGTGAGGAGGATGAAAGAGTCTGCATGTAAAAATTCATCAGTTTCTTTTCGATACAGATGTGTCACTAGTTCGTTCTCTTCTTGTTTGATCAAAATATCCAGGAAGATTATTTCTGTTTCTCTGTGGTTTAAAGTCAATTTTAAGTGTTGATGATTAATATTGAGAAAATCATAAAACACTTTCTTTTGGCCCCACATACTGTATATCATAAAAATCCAAAGCTTTATCAGAATTTATGGATTATTGCACCTGAATATAAGCCACATCAACTACATTTTAAAAGAAAAAAAAATTACTTTTATAGGCCGCACCTGACTATAAGACACAGGTGTCTACGTCTTCAGCGTTTTCAAGTCGAGACATCTGCTTTTATCGCCTCTGAAAGCTTTTGTTGTCTTGAGTCAGTTCGTCACGCTGCCGTCGCCAACGTCTCATCGACTCACTGATGCTGAGTTCACGTGCAGCAGCAGCTCTGTTTTCTTCTTCCACAGCCACATCAATCACCTTTAACTTAAAAGCTGCATCATCTGCATTTCTTCATGTGTTTTCCATGAGGGAGGTGTGTGCATGAAGCACAAAATAACTGTTCAAAACACAATCGAACAGCATCTTCCTCAGCGCATCAGCCCCGTCTCTCCCCTGCACATGTCTCCTGCAGAAAGAGTCTCTGTTCTGTCTGGATCATGTCAGTGTCTTGGAGAATTTCAGCAGATTTCAGACTCTCTCGGGGGCGGGGACAGGTGTATGGATCAGGTATTAGTGGATGTCCGGCTATTGAAGTTTGAAATATTTCTTCTCATCATTTAAGCAAACACCTGATTTAACTTATACAGGTTATTAAGACGTATTCCACTCACTCATGTTAGTTTAGCATCATCATATCTTATTTTATCACACAGCGATAAAATGTTTTAGTGCTGACAACAGCGCTAACGCTACAACTTCATATTAACCCTTTCCAGGCGTTGCAGATTTGCAAGAGCTAAATTCCAATTACCTACTTACTCCAAATCCATATTTTATGAGCCTTTTTTACTCAGGAGTGTTTTTTCACATCCATGCTGATAAACGTGGACAATGCAGACTGTGCAAGAACGGCTCCACACAAACAACCTGCCAGAAGTGCAAAGTACTTTTGTGCTTTACAAAGAATAAAAATTGTTTCTTGGAGAACCACACAAAAAAGTGATGTTGTTCTGCCACTGTAAAGCTGTTACACTTGCTTTATATTTTCATTGTTATGAAAAGTGGTTTACACATAAAGTTAGTGTTCATATCATTTTCAGTCTTCAGTGTTAATTTAGCACAATGGGCCAATGCTGCAAATCTGTAACATCCCAGAACACACTGGATGTGAAGGTCTCTCTCAAAAAAAGTCAGGATTGTATATTACTACCCCATTTGATAATTTTCCCCAAATATCAGATTTTTCCTGTTACTAAAAGTTCGTTTGAGCCTGAGAGGGATAACACTCACTGCACTCAGGCTGTGTGCAAATCCACTGTGCTGATAAACAAATAATCCACCCATATATTCGCCACATTGTTGTATAAACCTCAGGGTTCAAAGTGTGAGAAAAAAGTAGCGCCTTATAGCCCAGAAATGATGGTATATGGTTTTAGAATGATTCTTTTTCTTGGTTGAGCACACGTTCATTTTCAAAACAGGTAACATCCAATGAGCTAGAAATTAAATCCATTTTGCTTCTCATAGTTGTGCCTTTGACTTATGACTTATAAAGGCCGTAACAAGTAATAAAGTGTCGTGAGTGTACCACATGCATATATTAAATACTGAAATCATATATTTGTTTGAATATTACATAATGCTTAACCACTGAAATCTGATATATATGTTTAAAGGTACCACTGTGTGAAAGCAGATATGTTTTTATGGTATTCCCTTTGCAGAGATGAGGGTTGTGTCTTTTTAAGGAAATCCTTTACAGAGCAGCTGACGTGGGGTCATCCTGGCTGGCACCAAGCCTAAACAGACCTGGCTATAATTGAAATCTGGTGGTCATCCCCATAAACGGAGAGGCTTCAGGGAGGATCCAAGGCGTGAACCTGGTCAACATATCAGGTCATATTAAAAACACTGTTGCTAAAATGACTTCAGTCATCTCAAATATAAGACGCTGTGCATATTTTATAATATAAGACGCTGTGCATATTTTTTTACCTTTTTCAAACATTAAGATTGTTATTCAATCTCTGGTTCTTTCACATTTAGCTTACTGCTCTGTAATCTGGTCAAGTGCCTCAAAACAGGATCTTGTCAAAGTTCAACAAATCCAGAACAGGGCGGCTCGTCTGGCTCTGCGTTGCCCTTTTAGGACCAGCGTGAGTGTCGTGCATGAGAGGTTCTCCTGGTTTACTGTTTGGGACAGACTTACCTGTAGCCTTATTTTGTTTTTTAAAAATGTATGTATTTTACAAAGAGCCTTGAGCCTTGAGCCCTGAGTTTTATCACAAGACAAGCTTCACATGGACATTTTATATTTCCACTGCCCAGGACTAAAGCTCTGAAAAGAACTGTTCTGTACAGAGCGATAGAGCTTTGGAACACGCTCCCCCAAACCGTAACTGTTCACAAGCACAAACCTAGTTTTAAGAAATTGTTAAAGAAATATATTGGAAATTGTATAGAATTATATCTAGTCATTAGTCATGCATTGTAATTAATGGATATATTATAATTGTAGTAGTGTTGTGTAGTGCAGTAAACTCTGGAACAAGACTGTATGAACTTATGTGTGAACTTTATTATTAAAATGGAACATTTTATTGTAAATTACGCCAACTTGGACCCCAGGAAGAATAGTCTTTACCTGAGTAAAGACTAATGGGGATCCAATAAATAAATAAATAAATAAATAAATAATTTGCATATTCATGTGGTTGTCTTATATTTCTGGGTGGAGGGAAAGCGCAGGCGTTCAGACCACCTGATGTAAGTCCTGTGTAGCTGTAGGCCGTCAGGGACAGTGATTTGACCCAGAGCTCTGTATTAGAATTGTATTGAATAGGGAATAAATTTTTGTGATTTCAATTGATCGATTCCAGTCTTTATTTCTCTGATAGAACACGCTAACACTTATAAATCAAAGACACTTTAGTATTATTAGTTTTATTCACATTTTGTCTGATACTTTAACCTCAAGAAATGTACAGGGATTTTTTTAGCAAATTTCTGAAGAACTACAAAAATATCTCATGTGCCAAATCACCCAAAAGTGTTCATATACTGATGTCATCACCCACCCCAATAGAAAATGTGAGTAAAGTATCATTAACTCACGTCGCGTCTCTTTTAAAATCGATGTATCTGTACAAAGACTTGTCACTTTGCAGAGACAAACTGCGAGGAAAAGGTTTAGGTTCAGAAAGTCCAGAAGCTTCGACTCTGAAAAAAGAAAAGTACACGTCACAGAAAATATGCAACTCAAATATAGAAATGAGAAATCTCCAGTAGAAGTACAAAGAAGCAGACTAAGACATGACACAAGAATAAAAAAGTCTGGATGTAACTTCAACAACAAAGCATTAAAGGTGCACAATTTTGTTAAGAAGTTATGATAGTAAAAGTACTTGAGTAAAAGTAGTACCCACCTCTGCTCGGGGGCCCCTTCCTCTCTGTCCATGTTTGACTCAGATCACAGGAGAAGATCAAAACAGAACTGCAACAGAACAATGACAGATTATATTTCTTATTCATTACACACATACATAAAACATGTGATCAAAAGTGACTTAACCTGTTGTGTTTGGATTTATAATATTGAAAGGGACTAAGCCAAGACTGAACCAGGACTTAAACCTGACTAAAGAAAGACCAGTCAGTTTTAACAAGAAGAGGACTTCGACTAAACTAGGACTACACCAGAACTGAACCAAGACTTAACCAGAACTAATCAAGGAGTAAACCTCTGACCAAACCAAGACTAAACCAAGACTAACCCAGGACTAAACCAAGAACGCACTTACCTGTAATCTCTCTTCAGACATCGCCTCTACTCGGTGTAAAATCCAAATCATTAAAAGTAAAAAATGTAAATCAGGTCTTGGGTGACCTCTGCTCCTGTGTGAGCCAGTGCTTCATGTGCATAAGACAAAAGCTGCTCTGCTGGTTCTAAACTGAAACTACATGAGTCATTTATAAACTTTGGCGCACTTCACACTGGAGATAAATATGTGCGCAGTTTCAGTGTTCTGTTAAAGAGACAGATTTTTGACAGATTTTTATGAGTCTCTAATTTGTACTTAATTTTTAGTTAAACTTGTATGAATATAAATGATAGTTTTACCCAAATCAAGAAGAAACTGCAAAGAAAAGTCTAAAAATATGTAAAAAATTATAGGAAGTAAAAAGTTCAAACACACTGATGACATCCAAAATTTTAACACTTTAAACAGGATTTAAACTAAATAAAAGTGTTTTTGTATATTTGTATTTGTCAACTAATAATTTTAATAAAATATATTTTTCTAGTTATGGAATTTCCTAGTGTGATGTCAGTTTCAGGAAGTAAAATCCATCCATCTATTTTCTTCCTCTTATCCGGGGGCGGGTCACAGCGGCAGCAATCTAAGCAGGATTCCCTGAGGTGTTCCCAGACCAGCCCAGAGACATAGTTCCTCCAGCGTGTCCTGGGTCTTCCCTGGGGCCTCCTCCCGGTGGGACATGCCTGCAATACCTCCTGAGGGAGGAATCCAGGAGGCATCAGAACAGATGCCCTCCCTCAGCTGCTCCTCTTCATGAGGAGGAGCAGCGGCTCTACTCCAAGCTCCTCGTCCCTTAAGTGTATTTTAGTCAAATGAGTAGTCTAATCTGACATAGGCACTTAAACCTGGGGTTTAGTGAGGGTGACCATTCAGAATCAGAATCCTGGTTTTAGTTGTAGGATCTGGCAACCCAAGTGAACAGCTCAACTTTTCTTTTTGTACAGCTCATAACAAAATGTATTTACTGATATAATAATGTGTGGTACTTTTTATGATCATGTAAACATACAGTCACCTCCCAGCTTCTTTAGAAACACAAAAGAAATGTATGAAAGTTCTGTTTGTCTGTGATTGGCTCGTCCTTGTGCTCAGCCTGTATCAGTGATGTGTTTCCCTTTGGCACGACACAGTTGTAAAGAGAGATCAGTCCAGTGTGAGCAGAGAATACAAAAGAGTACACAAATTTTATTCAAATTACACAAAACAAAATGTAAAAACAGAAAATGACAATAAGTCTATGACTTTAATGACACATTTTGTCACATGCTCCAGTATTAAACCTTCAGGAGAGTGACCTTTGTCCAGCTCTGAGAACGTTCATACATCTCATATATAACAACAATAAAACAGACTCAGATCTGTCCCATCATCATCAATCTATCTCAAATACTATCAATACTATCCTACCAAACCAGGTAATACATACAGAAAAATATATATGAATCTGTCAAATGCACTTTAAGATAAAAAACATATAGAATTGGATAATTATATCATTGATATAATTCTACACTGGTGTTCCTTCATGTCCCACCAGGAGGAGACTCCAGGACACACTGGAGGGACTCTGTCTCTCAACTGGCCTGGGAACACCTTGGGGTCCCGCTGGAGGAGCTGCAGGGGGTGTCTGAGGTGAGTCTATGGAGGAATGTGCAGCGGTTACCATGGTGACACAATGTACACATCAACAAACACAGCCTGAGGTTTAGAGTCAGAGAGCCAAAGCCAAACTCGAGCACAGAGTCTGAGGTGAAGGGAGTGCTGCAGGTGTGGAGGTGGAACAGTCCATCCAACCAGACTGTGTAGAACGACACCGCCCCCTGGAGGAGAGTCCAGGTACTGCTGCTGATTCTTCCCACAGACAGAGCCCAGACCTACACGAGAACCTCCTTACAACCACCAACTTTCATTACACTTCATGTTCACTTACTTTGTTTTTAGAAGTTCATGTCCATGGAGCTATTCTTCTTCAGTGACACACATCTGCGTCCAGGTTCAGGTCTGTGAATAGAAGTGAATTCCCCACATCAGATCCTGAACTAAACTGTGTTTCTGTTGATGTCAGTTTGTTATGATCAGAGGGTCTCAGATGCATCAGGACACTTACAGTAGATCTGACTCTAACATGATCACTCTGTTCATTTACATTTTGTGGCATTTGGGGTAATGGATCTTTATTCACTTTATCCACTTCAACATTTGTGGATTTTATTGATTCTTTGCAGTGACATCACGCTGGAGGGTTTTACATACATGTCTATGGTGGAATGTTAAGCAGGTACCATGGTGACAATGCACACGACCATCCCCCACTTCCCTTCAGCTCTCTGCACCCTGGAGCTGATTGATAAGATAAAATGGACAGAGACAATCAAAACTTCTCTTACACAAAGACTCTCCAAAACAACTACAAGATCTACAAAGTTTCTCTACAAAGAAACCAACTGCCTGAAGTCAATTTAGAAAGACTGGCAATAACCAAGACACAAATAAACTGCTGTTTGATCAAACAATCTCAGCCAAAGACTTTCTCTGGAGCAGGAGTGTCAAACCAAACTCACAGAGGCCAAAATTAAAAACTGGGACTAAGTCAAACTAAATATTTATTGAAAAATTTCAACAACATGTGCATGGTTTCTCTTCTTTTCAGATCTGTAATGTTAAACCTTTATAATAGTTTTGTTTATTAATGCATTGAATCCAGAACAAGCTTAATATAAAATAATAACATTTTAAATAAATAATACATATTTGATATGATCTCGCAGGCCAAATATCATTATATTGTGGGCCAAATTTGGCCCCCGGGCCTGAGTTTGACATGTCTGCTCTAGAGAAAGAAGAGGAATGGTGTAAACTGTTCATGCTGTGAATATTGTCAGTGTTGTGTGAATACTGATCTTTAAATGTCATGTGAAGATCTTTTATTTGTGTAAAACTGTTGATGGCAGATATGAGAGGAAACTCACAAATCTCTCCTCATCCACACATTTTTTTTTTTCACAGAGCAGCTCCTTTATCTTTTCTGCTGGACAAAGAACATTCCAGAGAAGACATCTGACAAGTTAAAACTTCCAGGTCTCTTGTACTCGTCTCTTGACGAGTTTTTATCCAAATTACTGTAGCTGGTCTTGACCAAAATCTTTCATATTTTTCTAGATGTAAATATTTTCATTTTATAGTCAATAGCCTTTTGATTGATTGTCCTTCATCTGTGACCTGTGATCTTCAGACCTCATGGACACTTGGAGGGTGTCCTCTGCTCCTCTTTAATCATAACATTATATAACTTTTACATTAACATAACATTAAACACCTGCAGAAATACCTGTCTGCAAACTCTTATGATTAATAAAGTAGAATAACAAAAACATTAAGATCATGATGTGAAACTTTTACATGATTGAAGTAGTGAACCTGCTTTTGTTTGTCAGAAATACAGAGGAATTACTGAAAATGCAGTGAATTAAAATGACCATGCTAGAATTTGTCAGTAAAAACCTTAATTTTTATATTAAAGATAAAAAAATGATCTATAAGACTCAGCACCACTATGTTAACAAAGCACAATTTTGTTTACAAAACACTTGAAAAAAATCCTGCAGCATCAGTGAGACTGAGACTGTTGATCATTTACACATGTTTATGTTGTTTTGTTGTATTTCAACAATCATGTTGCTAGCAGTTAATAAATAAGTTCAAGTTCAAAGGTCATTCAGTCACATGTCTGTGCTGCTTCACTAATTCTCTTCTCTTCACTTTAAGAATCACTCATTTTGAATAATTAATCAAATAAATGAAAATACAAAAATGTCTAACATCACTACCTGGAGTAGACCCAGGACCATGATTAACTTAAACACAGAACACACAGAGGACTGTATTTTGAGACAGACACAAAAGTAGATTTCATTAAGGCAAGTTATTTATTTGATGTTTGACAAGTTGTTCCCTGTTTAGAATTTTGTTGGCTAAAATAAAAAGTACCATTATTTATAAAGCGCTTTTCACACAAAAATGCAACACGAGGCGCTTTACAGTGATTAAAAACAATTACACATTTCCTTCCACAATACACTAAAAGTTAAAATATTATGTAAAGATTCAAAGCTTTTTTTTAAAACTGAGTGTGGCCAACCCAGCCCTATTGTATTCTCACATAACATGACTACTCATGTCTAACAGTGCGCCAGCTAATAGAAGAAAACCAACATAGATGAGCCTGAACAGACACTCGACGAGGGGAGGGGGGAGTGGCAGGATTCGATTCTCTGCAAGTCTCTGCACTGGCTTCCTGTGAGCTTCAGGGTAGATTTTTTAATTCTTTTTAGTTTATAAAGCTCTTAATGGTCTTAGTCCCATTTATTTATCTGATCTGCTTTTATCATATGAGCCTCTCGGACTCTCAGATCCTCAGGCAGTCTTCTTTTAACGCTCTCAAGAGTCCAAACCAAAACTCACGGTGAGGCGTCATTCAGCTTTTACGGCCCCCGTCTGTGGAACAGTCGACCTGACGATCTGAGGTCCACTGCAAGTGTTCATATTTTTAAAAGTAAACTCAAAACATCTCTTTTTAATTTAGTTTTTAATTGAAACTTTTACCTGATTTAACTTAAATTATTATTATTATTATTATTATTATTATTATTGCTATTATTATATTTCTTTTAAATTAAATTATCATTATTTTTTACTGTCTCCATCTGATTTTAGTTCTCCATTTTTATTTTTATTATAACCTTTAGGAGCTATATGTTTATGTTTTTATGTTTATGTTATGTTGAATTATTGTATTGTAATTTTTCTGTTGCATGTGAAGCAATTGAGCAACATTTCAAATGTATGAAAAGTGCTATAAAAAATCTAGTTTGATTGATTGATTGATTTGATTGATTCACTACTGGTTTAAAAAATCTACTGGTGTCTACAAATCTACAAACTGGTGTAATGTTCTTACATACTATATGAAAACATCAGTATCATGTGTCATGATGTATCATGTTGTTCACTGTTGTCTGGTCAAATGTGGCAGGCTACAGTTCATCTTCCACTCACAACATCTTCAACAGATCACATCTGAAACTCTGGATTAACACAAAGTATTAACAGAATGTATCACAAGCTACAGCATAGTATTCTGTCCTGTTATGTTTTTACTTGCTACGTCTTCTTCTTTTGGACCCCTCAGGTCATCATAGTGTTTCTTCACCAACTCAAACTCATTCTCAAAATCTGTAACAACAATAAAGAACAATGGCTAATGCAGTGTGTTGATTTACAGAGAAAGTGTCTCGCAGATTTAACTAGAAAAGCAGTCAGAGAGCGCAGACCTCCGCCAAGGACTACCCCCATTTTTATATAAATTGCAATAAAATTAGTCTTCTGGATCAGATCTGGATCAGCCTTTGGAATATGAAAGAGGATCCCATTGTCCATCCCTGAGTCAAATTTCATGGGGTTTGGTCAATAATTAATCAAGATAATGAGAAACAAAATTTTTGGCCCCATTTACCACAATGTTAACTAAAATTTCAAAGTGATCCAGAATCCAGGATTTCTTCCGGATCAGCCCCAAAATGAAATCAGTTTTTCCTTTTCACATTTCCAACAAATCCTGAAAATGTCATCAAAATCGGTCCATAACTTTTTGAGTTATGTTGCTAACAGACAAACAAACAAACAAACAAACAAACAGACAAACAAACAAACAAACAAACAAACAGACAAACAAACAGACAAACGCAAAAACATAACCTCCTTGGCGGAGGTAATAATAGATTCTTAGACAGGGAGGAGCAGACAGAGGGCACTGGAGCAGGCACAGACTTTATTCATACTTCATAAGAAATACTTTTTACATATTCATGTACTGTCCTGGTTTATGTTTTGTAGTCGTAGTTTTTGCTTATTTTAGTGTATCTTATTCCTTTAGTGTTGTGTGCCCTTGGTCTTATTTTGACATATGTTCTGTCTGCTTGTTATTTTGAGTTTTACTCCCTGTTTGTTGATGGTTTGCCCCACCCTAATATGTTACACCTGTGTCTGTTGTGCGTTTATACGCTGTGTTCTTCTCCGCCCTTTGTTGGGCCATTGTCATTGTCAGTGTCTTATATTGTCATGACAGTTTAGTTTGGATTTTTGGATTTTTGTGTCTTTTTGTTTGTTATTAAAGAACTTCATCTGCAGTCCTGCACTTTGGGTCGTCCCTCTGCTCTAAACATGTACATACACTGTGTCTTCTGTGTTTACCTGGGAATAACTGTTGGTCTGGGTTGAATGACGTATCAATAGATTCCTGCAGAGTTTCCCACAGCTGTTTCTGAACATCATCCTGTTTGATCAAACATGTGTGTATAAATGTAAAGTAATCTTAAAAGACTTCATTACAGTAATGTACCATCAGCTTCTTCAGTAGAGCCAACATTTTATCTTTGGCTTTGTCAAACATTGTGTTCTTTACTTTCTTCAGGTGCTTTTCAACTGTATCTTTCATGTTGTTTAAACTGCCTGGACCTCTGTGGTCTGCTGCTTCTGCAATTGAAAAGTATAAAACAGTCTTAATAAACTGTAAACACGTGTTTGAACATGAAACATTGACCTTTGTAGCATTCTTGCATCGTCTCTTTCACGGTCTCCGTCAGACTGCTGTAGATGATCTTTTTGCGATGGAGAATATCTTGGCACACTTTGGTTGTAACCTTGGTTACCTTATAAAAACAAACATGTCAATAATAGTGAATTGTTCAAGTTATTTTGTATGTCATCATGTACATGATGTAATACCTCACTGCTGATAAATGTCAGATGAAGTTCAAAATTCTGGTGCTGCTGTATCAGTTTGTTTATGTCAAGTGAAAATGCACGAATTACTTCATATAAAGGTCCAGATTTTGTATCATTTCTAAAAACAGAAAAGGCCCAATGATTAGAGCTCTGGATTAAAACGTCCACTATATATGTCTCCTGATGAATGGAATATTCATAATCGTACGGGAATGTTTCTCTGAACTTTTCATCTATGCTCTCAGTCAGAGGAGATGATAATGTTGCATTGAGGTCGATTTGTCTCTTTTTTTTGTGAATGCCACTGTTTTCCATTGCCATCCTTAATGGTAGGTAAAAACCACTTTTCTGCTTCTTAAAAAGACAAAAAACAAGACAAATTCAAACACTGATGTGAATGAAATGATAATTCATGTTACAGATGTTCTTACAGGGTTTAAAGCCTTGTTCAAAGCCTCTTCACACTTAATCTTTGACTCCTTCACACCCTCACTCAGACAAGTGTTAAACTCCTGAAACACTTTGAGCATGGACTCCTGGACTTTCTGAAGATCTCTCTGTATGATTCCAGTCAGGTTCTCAAACACTTGTGCAGTCTGATGAGAATCCTGAAATAAAACAGTGCAATAATAATAGCTCAAAGTGAGACAGAGCAACACAGCAGAGGTGTGTGTGTGTGTGCGTGTGTGTGTGTGTGCGTGCGTGTGCCTGTGTGCGTGTGCGTGTGTGTGTGTGTGTGTGTCTGTACCATATTTCCCAGTTTGGCTCCTTTGATCAGAGACAGAATCCCAAAGGCTCCGTGGACATAGTTCAGAGTTTGTTCATGTTGGTTATTTAGATTTTGAAGATGCTGCTGGAGTCTGGGTATTTCTGTAACAAAATACAATATACTGAATCCTGTGCCACTTGCAGATTACAGATCATCTTTGGGACACACACAAGTACTTAAATCTTCATTGAGAACTTTTGGCACCAGAGTCCACAGAGTGTAAATCCAGAATGCCTCTGTTCCTTTTTAAAAGAATGGCATTCACATCACCACCTCAACTAGGTTGTTTAATTTGTTTAATGCCCACATATCTGAGGGAGCTTACATTGTGTTGCTTTTGAATAACATGCGCTGCCATGGGGCTTCGGCTCTGGAGTATATATACACTGGATCCTTAAATCGGTTTTGTTAACTCTGGTGCGTTGAATGCACTCAGCCTGTGTTGCACCTCCCAAATGAACAATAAGACTAATGTTCAATCACTAGTAAGTCACTGGACTTTCACATGGGCGACCCGGGTTCAAATCCCCCCTCTGACGGGGGGGGATGAAAAATGGGCTACTGGAACACGGAGGAAATGGGCGAGATGCGAGAACAAGGCTCTGTTGGAATGCTACTACTACAGTAACCCTAGTCAGAGGGGTTACATGAACAGGATGTGAGAGAAATAGTTATTACGATACCCACAGTCCAAGCTAACGGCCAAACAACTAGTAGCTCAGTGTTCCAACATCCACAAACGGCAACTGCTATCACAACTAGAGATTGACGAGGTACAACACAAATGCTGCGGCAAGGGGGAACCAGGACGCCAGGTCAGAGGGGATTTAACACCAACTCCCCAACCAGAGATTGGGTACGAAGCCCCAATAAGTATCACGCTGAGCGAGGCAGCGACTGACCTGAAAGATAAGATCATGGCCCGAATGAACACAAGGCAACCCCGATGCCGGTTACAGAGGCTATGTGAAGTACCATCTGAAAGTCTCCTAGACCCTACCACAACCATCACTGAAACCAATGAGCTGATATACACTTCAGCAGCAGTGATCCTAGAGGTGTTGGGCTATAAGAGCAACCATGGGAGTCATGAGATACAATACCCACCGTGGAAAAGATGCTTAGAGGCTAAAATCAAGGAGGCGAGGAGAGAAGGAGGAGAGAGGCCAAGAAAGGTGCAATGAAAAAGCCAAGTACCCAATAGGTACAACCAGTTGCCCATACCTGAAGCACTCAAAACTGCCAAACAAAGGCTCCAAGCCTTGGCCAGCCGCCTAAAGAGGTAACGAGATAACGAAGCCAGACGAATAAACCGGCTGTTCGCAACACAACCGGCGAAAGTATACGCTCAGTGGCAGGGTAATAACGCCAGAGCAGACCCACCAAGGCTGGAGACTGAGAGGTACTGGAAAGGCACATGGGAGAGGGAGGCATCACATAACACCGATGCACAGCGGCTGGTGGATCTGAGAGAAGACCACAGCAACCTCCCTGAACAGAATCCAGTCACCATCACAGTTGCAGACATCCAGGAAAGAGTCTCAGGTATGAAAAACTGGACCAGGCCCTGACATGATCCATGCGTACTGGCTAAAGAAGCTCACTGCCCTCCACGAGCGCCTGGCAGCACAAATGAACCAGCTACTAAAGCCAATAACCTGTCTCTCCACAACATGGAAGCTCATGTCAGGCATCATTGTGGCAAAGATAAGTGGGCACATGGATCAATACATGAGCGCAGCACAGAAGGGCATTGGCAAAAATACCAGAGGAGCCAAGCACCAACTCCTGGTTGACCGAACAGCCGCCCGCGACTGCAGAACCCGTAAGACCAACCTGTGCACTGCCTGGATTAATTACAAGAAAGCCTATGACTCAATGCCACACACATGGATCACTGAGTGCTTGGAGCTGTACAATATCAACAGGACTCTAAGGGCGTTCATTGCAAACTCGATGCAGTTGTGGAAAACCACCCTTGAAACCAATGGCAAGCCACTTGCACAAGTGTCCATCAAATGTGGCATATGTCAAGAAGACTCACTGTCCCCACTGCTGTTCTGCATAGGTCTGAACCCCCTCAGCCAAATCATTGACCGTACTGGCTATGGATACCGACTCAGAAACGGGGCCACCATCAGTCACCTCCTCTACATGGATGACATCAAGCTGTACGCTAAGAGTGAGCGAGACATCGACTCACTGATCCACACCACAAGGATCTACAGTACAGACATTGGGATGTCATTCAGGCTTGAGAAATGTAGCAGGATGGTGACAAAGAGAGGGA